GACTATTCACGAGAGACTCAGTCATGAGTCGAACTCAAACCCTATCTAGGATCGAGTCGCGAATAAGGCTAAGAGCCATGTATTGCACTGTCTCTACCAGTGAGGCACATCTGAAGCCCACGGCGAACCACCTCTTTTGCAAGCACGGCGTTTTGGACCTTGAGTTTGTTTTGATTCTTCTTCTTTATCCTGGAGTATGGATCCTCTGTCAAGTCACCAAGTTTGCGTTCTCCATCCTCTGACTTCAATCCAATGCAGAGACAGAAAAGGATTGCCTTGTCATTGCATGATTCGAGATACACTTCGCGAGCTGTCTGTATAGTTGCAACAGCCGAATTTGGATTCTTGTCTGATGAGGAATCTGAGCCTTCCGGTAGTGCTAGTGGTGGCGGCACACTACTACCAGCTGGAGCGGCAGCGGCAGCGGCATCAGCAGTATCAGCCTGCCATGGTTGACCAACAGAGGAGTGTCTAGCATGCTCTTCATCACTCACAGAAGAGGCATCAACAGGAGAGCTCATGGTGGCAATTCAACAGGAAAAAGAGTGGTTGCCAGTCAACTAGAGGAGTGACAACCAATGGCTAGCGAGCGATCAATCCAATCCAACTGAAACCCACAATACACAATAGACAGGCTAACGCTATGCTATAATCATCTATTGTGTTATTCTAATGATACCTACTTGTTGCACATGGTTGATGTTGACTGATTGAGAAATGCGAAAACAATGCCAAAATCGCCGACGTCAAATTTGTTCCTGTTCAAACTGTCGATAGAGTTCAGGATAGACAAGCTTGGACCTAAAAATGGATTTCCCGACCAGGCCACTTGGATTCAACTAGTGGCCTGGGGGTTCGATTTTGGGTTCGTCCCAGTCACGATTTCAGATTTTTGATGGGAACAAACTTGGATTCTTCGATTCTTGGACTTCGATTTCATGTGGTTCGAAAGAAGGCTGGACTGGCTCTAAGGAGATGGATACCGGTAGCCAGCTTGCTGTTTCCAAGCTCAAAGAGTTGCTGCCAAGGTTGGAAAGTGCACAACTCATTAATCAAAAGGCTGGCTAGCTACCTGAGGTAGCCGTACTAGATGATCACTGGAGGATTGGGAGCATGGTCTGACTGCTGCATGAGGCATTAGTACGGTACCATAGCTAGCCAGCCTCCGGCCAACCAGGAGTATCAGTTGACATGTTTGGTGGGCAAAGCCGATGTGCGTGGCATTGGCTCGCCATAGATCAGGCATACATGTACCGGCATAAACATCGAATGCTTGTTCTCTTTGACTCGGCTTGAAGGCTCAGGCGAGGTCCTATCCAAACTCCATGTGTGTCCTCGGTGCATACGCGAAACACGTTTATTTTCATCGATTTATTTAGGCGTACGTATCAAGATTTCATTCCTATCCATGTGACACACATACGCCGTATGCGAAAGAAACACCACCGCAAATCCCCAACTCTAACGAAAATCACCTCCTCTTTCACCACAATTTCCCTCACTTTTCGATTTTCGAAACTCGGTAGAGTTGGGGATATCCGATTTCACCACAATTTCCCTCACTTTTCGATTTTCGAAACTCGGTAGAGTTGTGGATTTGCGATTTAGAGTTCGAGATTTGTGACCGTGATTGACTTCGGCTGGCTCTAACGTTCTGATTGGTCCTACGCGAATTCTTTTCCCCTCATAATTTCGGTACGGCGAATTGAGAATGCAAAATTACTGATACGGCGTACCGAAATTAATGGGCAAAAAGAGGGAAAGCAAGCCCATTTTAACAGTTAACTCGATTTGGCGTACGTACCGAGGAATAAAGAGGTCAAAATGACTGGTTAGGACCACGCCTCAGCCAACTGTCGAGGATCATGTCCGTGGGGCCAGGAGACATTTAAGGTGGTTCATCCCAAGTTTTAAGCCAGCTAGAAGCTGTTAAAATTACGCCCTCTCTTACACGGTGCTATCGCGAGAGAACAACAACAACAACGAATCGATCAGCTGCTGCTAAAGGTGTTGCACTATGCTAAAAGCTAGTGTAAAGATCTTTCGAGTGTTTTGAGTTTGAGAGAATGAAAGTTATGAGAGAGATTAGAAAGCTATGAAAACTAATCAATGAGAGAGATCATCATCAAGGGATCGTAGATCTGGCTTCCCGCGGGAGACTATAAAGTGTGATAGAGTAGGTTGTGGTAGTAATCCTACGTCTCTCCACGATCCTAAAACGAAACGCGTGGAAGGTTTGTCTAGCCTGGATCTAGTAGCGTGGAAGTACTCCACGTTTTCATCGTCTATAGAGTAAGATATCTCCTGCTAAGGATGCAGAGTAGAGTGTTGTTACCCACTCTAGACAACCTCTACTAGCTGCGAGTCTCTTCGCACTGAGTAGTCGGTCTAACGGTTCCCTTTCTTCGCATGACTAGAAGAACCCCTTCTCAAATGACTATTCACGAGAGCTCAGTCACCCTGGAGGGTCGATAACTCAACTACAGAGAGCCACTTTATATCGTGAGGCGGCCTCGTGTACACGTCCAAATGCAAGTGGACAAAGGAAGCCCGTGATACAATGCATCTTGATGACGGCAAGAGCAACCACGAAGACACAAAGGGTCTTGCGAAGACGAAGACGCAGAGCGGAAGTGTTACCGTGACTCTATGAGAGAAGACCGAATCAGTGAAGATGGAATAGCCGGAGCAAGAGCTCCATCAGAGAATCTGGTAGTGTGAGGAAGCGATAGCCTGTGGCGAGAAAGCAGAGTAGTATACTACCAAGTCGCGAGGACATGAGGAGCTTGACATAGCAGGCAGAACGGTGTATCGAGAATAATCACCCACCTTATGTTCCGGAACCGAGAACGCATGTCCTCTAAGGTAAGAAAAGAAAGTCGAAGTCCTTCGATCTGTCCTCTGCTGGGAGCCGATTCGGGCTTCGTGTCATACAAGGCATGGGTGGGTAGCCCGTACAGGTGCTATGTTATCCTAATGGCACAGTGCAGATGGTATTCGTGCTAACACGTCACTCCTTCCCTATGTTCACGGCAGCTATGCAAGGCTGAGCCACCAGTAACAATCGTGGGACGGCGTGACTGATCCACATAAGGAGGGCCACATCTTGACAAATCTCATGTACACCTATCGGACGATGATCGTGCGGATTTCCGACGGGACGGCCAACAAAAGTCCGCGATAAAAATCCAACAGTGGCCGCGACCTATCTTCACTGGTAGTGGTTTCCACGAGCGAGCTTCGGGGCATAAAGTCCATTTATTTCGGCACGACAACGGGTGTTCCATTTGTGGAAGTAGGAAAAGCGTTCACGGCACTTTTCCGAATCTCGAACGTTAGTTGTGAATCGACAGCAATTCGACGGGAGATTAAATGAGGAAGCGATCCAGGCTAACGGAGAGCAAGGGGGTTTCACTGCCGTCGGGGACACGCAACGGCAGTACATGAATTCCGTCAGGCAAAGCAATGTCTGCACGTTGAAAGTCGTAGAAGACACGCCGAGTTAGGACGGACATTCCGCATCACCAGCAAGAGTTGGACATGTCATCCTGAACGAGGGGAGAGGTCGTAGAACTGTGCACTTCTACGATAGCTTACATATTGAACTTAGAAGCGGGTTATGTACGAAGTTGACGATGAATGGAGTCAAATGAAGACACGCAACTGCGAGCCTGAAGGCCAGACCAAGGAGGAGCCTGATAGAAGTTGGCTTGGAGGGGTGAATTGGAGACAAACTGACGAAGTAGTCGAATATCTGGAAGCTATGGCGAACCGCTGCGACGAACATCCACTCCAGCGCGCGACGTATATTGACTCTGTAGTAAGTCTGAGCTTTTCCGGCTGTTTCAGTCAGACACGCAATACCTGGATTGTAGCAGGAGGAATGCGGCGGTCGCTCTGTCCATGAATAAAGACCTCATGCTTATTGGGCCTATTGAATGCACCAGCGAGAAATGGAGAAAGAGTCACGATTGCCCCACTGTATTCTTTGTATCTTCTAGACGATGGCTAACTTCGTGCATGCTTGTCCGCACTTGGGCCACAGAGAGAGAACTTCCTTCTGGTCTGAACATCGGTGCGAACAGAGGGTTACGTGGATCAAAGTAACGAGTATAGGAGGCAGAGTACAATGAGTGGTTGCCTCAGCTAGGGCGCGATCGGGGGGGAAATTCTTTTTCTTGGGGATCCCCGACACTTTGTTGGTTGTCTAAGATGTGCTGCTCAGATTCAGCGATCCAATGACCACAAAATAGTCCTTCTGGATACCCAAGGGTGAGTCTCCTTCGCAAGTCTTTTGGAGGCATCACTCTATGCTTCTTATACAGTGGCATTTCGGAGGGTAAATGGGCGGGCTTCGACATTGGGTCTGGGCATCATGGCGATTTATAGAGGTCAATCAGCCGGAGCATTACATAGGAACGGGGCACCGGAACGTCTCGATCACGGTACACCAGATGTACAGGCAGTAAGACCCTGACGCGAACTGGGTTTGTAGGGGCTGCGACATGGACTCTGGTCACGTACAAGATGCAACTCCGGAACCAGGCTATCAGTAGCTTGCTGTCGTGACGCGCAGAGGGAAGGGTTATTGTCTACTATCGACAAGAACTATCGACATCAAGGGTTGCAAGTCGCACAATAATACAAACTGACAGGCTTGCTTGCCGTTAGCATGGTAAAGAAGTACAGACGGACATTTCCTTCGTCCCTTATACTACAACGAGTGACAGTAGGCTTTAGGCCACTTTGCTCTCTGTCTGGGGAAAGATGGTGCTTCTGCTAGATCGTTCTCGAGGCTCTGGTTGAGTCCGGCGTGAGCGAAAGGCTATCTTTTGGATCATCGTCGTTCCAGTCTTTTACTCCTGTCGGATTGGTTCGAGTGTGGCCAAGTGTGTCTCAAGGGGAGGAGACTATGTGTGTACTCGCACGAGCCAGGGGAGAACTGAAGGCAATGACCTCCTGCATCGCTAAGTGAAGACCGCGAGAACGCCTGTCAGCCCTACGCAAGTTCACCAGAGCGAGAGATACTCCGGCTGCTTCCGAGCCTGGCCACACAAATCTGACTGTCGTGCAGGGAGAAGACAGGTGATCTGCCTCCGCCGAGAATGATGACAGGTCAATGGACATCCAGACAGATCAGCGGACGATACAGAAAAATATGTTGCTAGCCTTCGCCCTTGCAAGCCGTAGTTCAGGGCAGTAAACATTACTTCCAGAATAAGGCGATCCATCAACGCATATACGCGATCGGTATTGATGTTTTACATGTAAGATTCTTTTGTCCGTATGTACAACAATCATTCTGTCTAGAAGAATGTACGGAACTCTTTTAGAGTTTTCTACGATACTGAGAAGTTTCCTTCTCGGTAACTGTGAACGTGTCTGAGCAGGGTTGAGCTTCCTGCTGTAGAACGCGTATAGTTTTTCCCTTCTGGAAATCACTGCACCTAGTTGAGTTTCACTCGCATCCGTGTGGATACGAATGTATCGTTGAGAGTCAGGGTAGGCGGCAAGTTTCTTTGCTGATGTTCTTTTTCATCTGGCTAAAGGCCTTGTCGGTTCCGCTTCCCATTTCCACTCCGTTGTTTGGAATCAACGAAGCGAGTGGGGCCAGTTACATGTGATCGTTAATCCACCATGTCTCGTTAGTAGTTCACTAGTCCAATGAATCACGGAGTTTCTTTCTGTTGGTAGGAGGAGCGATATTCTTGATCGCGTCTATTTTCTTGGTTATAGGTTGGATCCTTCTCGAGTAATCCAGTAACCTAGTTACTCAATTTCTCCTCTTCCGAAGAAGGACTTGGTACATTGATCTTGAGTCCGGCTTCTCGAAGCCTTCGGAGAACTTCATCATTCAACGTGATCTGCTAGACGCGTTAGTTAGGTGAGTAGATCATCATTGTAGGCACGGACGTATTCTAGGTCGTGCATTAGTGTTCCCACTTCTCTTGGAAGATGTCGGAACTATTACATAGCGCCATCTGGCAACCTCTGGTACTCATACTTTCCCACGGGAGTAGATATGGTACAGAGTGTCTTCGAGTGAGGTGACAGCCGATGTGATAGTATCCCAGTTCAGGTCTAGACGTAGCGTACTTGAATCCTCTGGATTAAGAGCATGTACCTGTATTTTGGGATAGGATAAGGCTTCCGCTTTAATCCTTTTGTTCAGTTTCCGGAAATCAGAGATAAACCGTACAGATCCATCCTTTGGGAATGATAAAAGTTGTGCCGCCCACTCGGAACGGTTTACCTTCTTGAGTACTCCTGCCTCGCAGAGACGTTCAACTCCTTTTAAGATGTGTTGTATGGAACGTGGATAGGTAAGCTCCTAGTGTGATAAGGTTTAGCTCAGGGAGAAGTTTCTACTTCGTAGTCGCCATCTGCCACTTTCCTAAAGTACCATCGAATAGGTCGAGTATTGTCAGTAAGGAATGAAGCTGTCCTTTTCTTCTGTTTAACTGATCTTGACTTTGGCAAACCTGCTTAAGTCAGCTTGTTCGTATTTCGCATCAGAATCTTCTTGAGACGTCTGCACTGTCATCAACAGGGTAGGATCAGGAATGAAAAGTTTTCTTTTCATTGGTGTCGCTGTCTTCATAGGAATAGATGCGCGTCCCATTCCACTGACATGGTAGTGAAATCGAACTTGAACTAAGTCAGAGGAATGTCTCGACCTATGATCATGTCATAGCCCCCAACTCTTGGTGACGTGTAAATCCCACTCGATATTCTATCTTCGTGAATTCAGGAATCATAAATGCACCTTTGCACTTCGTGCTGGTGTTTAATTCTCTGCAGGGGTAGTCACATCGTTTGGACGCCCCAAGATCCTTATGCGTAATTTCTTAGCATGAGTTGAGCAATCAAGGTTCGATGCTCCTGTATCCAGCAACACGGGTGTAACGGTTTTGTTTCCCTTTTTCTCGTTTGTTAATCTAACATAGACGATGTTTAGGTCTCTTGTCTTGCGAGTTTACGAGTGGTTGGCCACGGACGAGGTTAACGATGCTAAATAGATCATCAGAGTCTAGTTGAGCAGCTTCTAGGCAATCATCTAATTTGCCGTAGAGTTCATCGTTGCAAAAATTCTTTTTACTAGTTAGTGAGATATCTTCATCACTTTGTATGAGAAATCGGAACATGGTTCCGTTGATCATCATCCTGGCCTATCCTCAGATGAGATTTCTCCATCCAAGAGTTGAAATTGATAGAGGAGTTGTCCTCATTGTCAGATCTTCTATTTGCGCTTGGCAACATGGTTGCGAAGTTTGCAAGTGGTTGCACGAGTATCGTCGATCTCGTTTTCTTCGTCATTGTCGACGAGAGGAAGAATGGTTTTGTCACGCAACTGTTTTTCGAAGTTGCGGAACGCATGCTTCCTTGAGCATCTTCATGGGAAGGAATAGGTTGAGGGTAGCTGAAAGCTATTGTGTTTGTTAACAAAATGCACTACGCTAAAAGCTAGTGTAAAGATCTTTCGAGTGTTTTGAGTTTGAGAGAATGAAAGTTATGAGATAGATTAGAAAGCTATGAAAACTAATCAACGAGAGAGATCATCATCAAGGGATCGTAGATCTGGCTTCCCGCGGGAGACTATAAAGTGTGATAGAGCAGGTTGTGGTAGTAATCCTACGTCTCTCCACGATCCTAAAACGGAACGCGTGGAAGGTTTGTCTAGCCTGGATCTAGTAGCGTGGAAGTACTCCACGCTGGCTAAATATCTAGAGCGATGTTTCATCATCAACCTAGTATGACTAGCGCGGTCATTGAGAACCCTGTCTCAAATGACTATTCACGAGAGACTCAGTCATGAGTCGAACTCAAACCCTATCTAGGATCGAGTCGCGAATAAGGCTAAGAGCCGTGTATTGCAGTGTGCTGGAATCCTTGTGGCGCCCATCGATACGACTATTGTACATGCAAGCGGTGTTGCTAATAGTACTGCCGACATGTTGATGCCTGGTTATAAGGCGATATTTCCTCCACCTGTTAACTTTGTGCACTGTCAAAAGGGGCTGTCAACTTTTTCGATTCGGCTGCAAGCGCCCCTTAGATCTCGATGTGTGCTGGAACTATGACCCCAGAACCAAGGCCTACTCTCTTGCTTACAGTAAAAGGAAGAGATAATGCTTTGGTTCTAGGGCCATACGACCAGCACCCATCGAGATAATGAGGTCGACAACAACACGATCGAGTGGTTGTTCTTTCTTGTGGTCGACCACCCTTTCGTTTCGACAACGGAATCTCCCTTTTTCAATCGTTTGAACCCAAATATTGGCTGAAACGTGTTATAGTACTGTTTCAGTATAGAATATCGCAAGCCAGTCACCGAAATTGTGAGAACTAACACTCAACCACTGCAACGGCCACAATTTGGCGAGTCGACTCGCTCGGTCGATCTAGATTCGTCGTCATTACTTAACGAAAAGTAGCTACATTTATGGCTCAAACAAGAAAAGGTGGAATCCAGCGAGAGTATAAAGCAAGATTCCTATGAACCGAGCCTGAACATTCCAAATTCCATAATTTATACGAAACATATGTGCGAAAGATTGATCAAACGTAAGCAGCTTTTGAGCTGGCTTACATCCTTGGTTGAACCACTTCCATCCATCAACACAAGATTGTAAGACAACACAGTGCTGGACATGTCATGGGTCTTGTACTCACGAGACACTTTCTTTGCCTCAACCACAGTGAAAGCAGGGGCAGAGTCAGTCTCTTCGATGGCCGGTGACTTCAACCCTTCTCCTTTCACCCAATACTTTGCGTCAGGCTTCACTGTCACTCCATCGCGAAAGCCACCACCCATGGGCAGGACTTTGGGAAGAGCAACAATACTCATCAAGCAAGCATCAGTAGCAAAATCAAGGCAGCCTTCCTCATAGTACTCAACTCTGGTAGCGCGGTTCATGGTGAAAGCTTGTAAGTACACAACGGCGAAATGGCGCAAAACAGTGTCACAATGAGGCTGATCTTTTCGGTTCTTTCTTTTTTCAGTTCAGCGTGATTCCTTTTCGAGCGTGCATACCCACGCTGATTTCGATATCTTTCTGCCGATGGGAGATAACAGTTTCGGCCGCTCACTATTCCAACACAACAACAAGCTACCTTGACCCTCCGACCATGGAGAACAGAATCGGCATGCCACTCTCCAATGACATGATACCAAGTCACTATACATTGTTGAGTACGGGGCATCACGTGCCGAAGAAAGAAACATAAAATATTGGCTCACTATCGAGCAAAGTCAATGCCACAACAGCGATATCCATTGGTTTCGGCAGTTTTTCATTGACCGACGGCAGTTACTGTTGGTGAACACACAACAACACATTTTATGTTTCTTTCACCTCACAGAGATAGAGCATTATCTACTCTATAAGATGGAATATAACAACATAGACAGGCGATGTGGTTTTCGAGGAACGGCAATAGGTCGAAGCTAGCCTCACAATGGAGTTTTCTCACTTTTCTTGTCGTGATCATGCTAGTAAACGGTGCATGTTTCACACTTTTAAGAAAACACCCCGTGGGACATCCTTAATTTTTTAAAAGTGGTGGTATGCATTTCATGCTGCCATGCTGTTTGTTCTGACGACACGGTCATTATCTTGCTTCCTCTGCATTGTGTGGAGGATGATTGCTTGTACCGTAGCTGAGGGGGTGAGAGCATTTTCAATGAACTAACTGATGTAGACGTTCACGTTCAAGCATACTAGTATGGCTGGATTGAGGAGCGATTTTTGACTGCTGAACCAATGGGCGGCTGGGCGATAAAATGAAAGCGCCACAGGACAGCCTCGGGGCATGGAAAGTTCAAATGATAGCTCATTGCATTGTGTCCAAGGACGACCATTCAGATCACCCGCAATCTCATGCCACGGTGCTACCGGTGGCGCCAAGCCCCATCAATACGAGCCCGCATGTAGTTGCTTATCAAGAGGCAATGGTGACATTTGCGCCTCCTTTCTCTTCGGAGGTCCCAGGTTCCATGCCGTGGTTAACCTGAATATCTAGCTTAAAGGTTAGTAGTCTTCGTCATAGCGCTACCGGTGGAAACCACAAAAAATTAGCCAACGAAAATGTAGTCTTGAAACGTGTGCTCACACCATCCTTGCCTGCCCTAAAACTTGGCTAAGGATATTCTTGCATAATACCGTATTCGTGCGGCGAACACTTCAATACTGCTGATAGAACTCTTGGGGTGCTGGCACGGCAACAAAATACTTGTGTTGGGGCTTGACCGGTTTGGGCATACGTCCGCCGTCACCGGGTTGCCAGGACATGATTTCAAAGCACCAGTTGTAAATTTTGTCGCAGAATCCTTGCATGGGCAAAATGGTGAATGGCTCCTCGAGCTGTGTAGCCAATTCTTCCACACCAAAAAAGAAGATACTCAAGAAGAACATGGCTGGGACCATTGCAATATGATTCCAGCTTCCCTTGAATGGGTCGTAGATTGCCAATGGCAAAAGGGCGAGCCAAATAGTGATGAATCGACTGAGGTGACGAGTGTAGAAAAGAGGAACCGGGGATGTGAGCAGACGCTCGCTGGATCCCAAGTTGTCTTCAAAGATAGTGAGAGCTTCTTGGACTTGATTGCGACGAACAAAATGCATGGGCACTTGTTCGATGGCGTAGCTCAAATCTTGCAAGGCTCTGTTGGGTCGATGAGCCGCATCAATAATTTTTTGTGCCTGCTCGCCTGGCAACTTTTCCATGATTTCTATGCGAAAGGCTTGTTCGTCTTCTTCTTCTGGTGAAAGATGCCTTTTCATAGCTCGAACAAAGGACCACGTGCACAAAGCAACGTAGTTGAGTGTTTCCTGGCGTGTTTGGGGATCAAAGTCGGGAATGCCGGTATCATAGAAGGTGTTGGCCATGCGGACCAAGTCACGGGTGTGGTTGATGTTCATTCCCCAGTTCTTTCGAGCTTCGTCCCAACGTTTGTATGAGGTGTTGACACGGAATGCTGTTGACGAAACACCAAAAGGTACAAGCAAAGAAAGAGATTTTAGATGAACAATCTTCTCAGGCGGTGAGTCATCTGATGATGCTTCAGCCCGGCGCCTCGGCTTTGCGAAACATCGCAGTAACGTGCGTTTGGATATTAGATCAAAGGACAGAGATGAGTAATTATAGGGGCCACTTACTGAGCAAAAGAGCAAGAGAAGATCCCGACAAAGTGAAGGGATTGAGAGGGAGTCCAGCAGCAGGCAAAATTCCACCTCCAATGATTGGGTCCATTTGAGTTCCATCAATGCCTGTAGGGCCAGTGACCAGAGCATTCCAGACGCAGACAATGGCGGCGAAAGAAGTTACAAAAAAGACTTCAGACTTCATGTTTTGGTAGACTCCGCTGCTGAAGAGTGAACCCATGTAGATCAAGAATCGATCTTGTTGACGATGTTTCTTCCAATCATCATGGGTGTACACGGTACGGCGGTATCTTCGAGCGTACTCGGGATCGATTTTCACACCCCCAACGTTCTCGATGCAGAAGTTGTCGAATCCGGTCGAAACTGGAGCCTCTTCTACCGACAGCTTCGTCAGACTCTTGGAAGTCATAGACGTCGAGGGCGTAACAAACCCTTGGGTCAAGCCCAAAAGGGTCGCAAAAACAAACAACTTCATCTTACTGTTTTACTTCAAAAAATGAAGGCTGCTGATCTTGCTTGCAAGCGTACGAAGAATGCAGGATCGGCTGAAGTCGCTTTGAACCGGTCAACTCTTGTCTTACTTCGAGAAAGATACGCGCCGATGGAGAAAATAGCATTCGTCGAGAGCTTTCATTTGTTCTTGACGCCGAGTGACGTTTGCCAAACACGTCAGTGTGATGGTACACAAGGTCACCATGCGCGCAACGAGGAAATATGTTGAGTTACCTTGAAGCGACAGCTCCTTCAACAATGAACACCCACCGAAATGAAGATGCAAATCGTAGCAAGGAGGAGAAGCAAATCGCGGAAAGGAGGAGATGCACCTGTGCCGGAAAGCTTCCTTTTTGATGATGGTATTCTGATCGGCCACAGCACTGCTTGTTCCAGTTTTCTCCATCGTGGACTGTGTGTCAGCCTCCCAAATTTTACAATTGAACTGACCCAAAGTTACGCATACTAGCTAGCTAGGGCTCCATTCTTGATAGTTTCAGCCTCAAAACAGTCAACGTTTTCGTGGTCCCTACGGTAGTACTCAGAAGTCATCTGAACCCCACGAGGCGGGGGATCCTACTAGGAGAGGAACTAACCAGTGGACGTTGACAACCCTACGTACCAGTTTGACTGGCCGATCTGGACGGTGCCATTGTAGCAACGTACCATTAGACCTTCTTATAGGCGCGGGTGCTTTCAAATAGGGGTCTTTCCTTTTGTTGGAGAAAACGAAGAGCCCAGAGAAGGTGCATATAGTACCGGTAGGGGGACTACATGTAGTATCCCTCCCTACCACGTACCAGTACCAGTACCGTGATAAGCTCCCCTTTCAAAACTTCAATGCATCCGTTGTGGGCGTCCAGCATTGTATGTACCAGGCTGGTACACCGTAGAGCGAAGAGGACCCACCAGATTGAGTTACGACTGTAGAGCCAGATTAACAGTTACCTGGCCACAGCCTTTGGTCTTAAAAATTCCATTTGGAGCACATCAGTGCAAGCTAAGAGTAGACCCTAGGCAGGCAGGATCTACCAATTTATTTAAGCAAGCAATTGAGCATTGCATTCCAGGACGATCCTTGCGACTTTTGAATGCTGACAGTTAGTTCTCACAACTTTAAAGAATTCACCGTCAATAGAAAACATCGGGACTAGGTCTACAGCAGCATGGATATCCCCAGCTACATTGTCATCGGCAACTCCACTTTGCCACTTTGCCACTTTGCCACTCGTACGAGTAGACGACGAAAAGGTTGAAGAGTCCTCGACCAGGCCCAGAAGCAAAGCTCTGAACATCCCGTCGAGCACTCCTCTAGCGATCAACTTACGATGGACATCTGGTGGGCCAACATTTGCTGCCTTCTCCGCCAAAAAGGGTCGTTCGTTCTGCCTCGGGACCAATGGGCTATCCATATCTTCCTACTCCGAAGATTGGAAGCCGGTCCTCATCGGGGGCGAGTAGACCAAACTTGGCAACGAAGGCGAAGAAGCCACTCCCCGACCTCCTCGCGCCAAAAAAATGGAGAACCAAGAGCTTGAATAACCCAACGGGCGTAGATCCACCAATTCCGTATCGATACTGTCGCCAAACGATCACGGCGTCGATAGGGCAGCAGCAGAGAACGTGGTTGTTTCCTGGGTTGGGCTGGGTATTGGAAAATGTATATGCCGTAAAGTCAATGAGTGAAATCGGATCCGGTGAAATCACCGTAGAAATTGGACCTCGAGTGGCCTGGAGATGGACGGGGGGATACCGGTAGGTCCAGAAGCAAGTCCTGGAGTTGGTCCATGCGTGGGGCCTGGTGATGGATCAGGGACAAGTCCAAGAGTAGACCGTGATGTGGGCGTGCGGAGTTGGTCCAGGTCCAGATGCGGGGTGGTGGACCAGTGGTGAGTCCAAAAGTATGCCAAGGTGTGTGGTCTGGAGATTGGAAAAGGGCCAGAAGTACTGTAAGTCCTGAAGTTTTGGTTCGGGTGCGGTGCCCCGAGGTCGGACATAGTGGCGAATACGTCCCGGTACGGGATAAGATCCTAGTGTAGGTTCAGGTGTGGAACCAAGAGTGGGGCACGGGCTTGGAGACAGTCGGGGGTTAGGCCTGGTGTACGGTATGGTATGGCAGACCCCCACTCAGGGCCTGATGTGGACCAGCTACTAGGAGTGCGCCTGGAAATGGACCATGAATGGTCTTGGAGTGGGTCCAGGTGTACAATCGCAGAACCAGGAGTGGTTGGGGCTTTCACCGGCAGCTCAATCCCTTCAGAATTTTGATTGCGCTGGCTAGTCTTCCTGGTACAACCTGACTGACTTGACTGGAGGAGAGACTGACATGCCAACCGGTGGGGCCGCATCGTTGACAACGAAGTTTTAGCCGCTCAGCAGCTTTTATAAGAGCAGGCTTCACCACGTGGAAGGTTGCAATCCCGCCAAAAAGTGACTCCGTGGATTGTGGCTAGAAAGCTGCGGCGAGTGTCCATCCGAGACAACCCGAGGACTGACGTTTGGGCGAAGCCTTTCAATAACGTTGAATGAATGATTGGATCAGCGACAGCAGCCATCAGCTTGAAAGACGCAACACTTTCGTCCAGTGTGCCTGCCGTTAGCGCCCCCACTGTTTGTGAAAGATCGAATCATTATTGTGCTGCCAGGTGGAAAGCTTGCTGAGCAGCTTGGTTTCATTAGCATTCGTTGAGATCCTGTTACACAATCAGTCATTACTTTCTTTATAGGATCCCTTTGGTTTGGTACCAATCACCAGCCCCTTCACGCTAACAATGAGGTTCACAACGTCTTCTTCCATACTGCTTCTTGTGGCTGTCGCATTGGTTCTACTGGACCAGTCCAAAATTGGAGCTGTGGCCCGAAAGCCTTCTCGCCCATCGCGTGGACCCCCTCCTCGCCGTGGACCACCACCTTCATCACGTCGTCCAAGCAGCCGAAGACGGCCACGTGATGAAGACGAGGGAGACGATGATGACGACGACGATGCAGAAGAAGATATCCTGGGTTTTGCGGATGATTCTGAAGAGGAGGAGGAAGAAGAAGAGGAAGAGTACGAAGCACCCCGTCCCTCCAAAAGGCGACCACCTCCCAAGTCGTCATCAAGACCGCCATCACGCAAGCGACCGCCTCCTCCGCGTGAGTATGATATGGATGAAGAGGACGAGTATGATGACTATGAACAACCACGTAGACCCAGCCGAAAGCGAAGCAGTGGAGGTAGCAGTCGCAACAGCAACAGCCGTAAAGGCCCCCCGTCGCGCAGAGGCCCTCCTTCCAGACCATCCAAGGTTGTGCCATATGGACGTGGACCACCCCGTCGACGAGGACCCTCGGCTACAGAGCAAGCAGCAGCTACTTTCAGCAGAGGCTGGAATGCCTTTGCCAGTGTCATGCCAGATCCAGCCACTGTTAAAGACGGGGTGGCTTCTAGTATTAGCACCGCCAGGGAGGCAACTTCTGCCCTTTCCGGCAATCTCTACCGTGAAGTCAAGGGCCTTACCAGTTCAGAATTGGAGCAGGTCATGCTCAAAGCCACAAGACCGGATGATACTCCCGTCAAAGGAAAACATGTGGAGCGATTAGTTGGAGTGACATACCAAATCTCACCGCGCTATGATATCTACGATGCTGTCTTGCGCAAACTCTGGGGTAAAATGGCCGAAAAGGATTGGAGGACTACCATTAAAGCGTTGTATATTCTCCATCGATTTAGTGCGGATGGGGCACCAGAACACGCACAGGCCCTCAAGGCACGCTTACGAGAGCTGCGAAGGACCAAAGATCCGAAGCGCAAGGACAAATACTTCAATTCCAAGCAGATGTTGGCGGGCGATTCCAAGGTCAGTACAACCGTGCCGTGGGTCGTCCTCTGTAGTCTGTTTTTGCAAATGTTTGTTGCTCACGTCCATTGTCTCTCATTTGTCTAAGCAGCCTGAGAACATCAAGTACCGTGCATTCATGGCACGATACTCTCACTTTGTGCTGCTTCGGGCACAATGCTTTGGAGGTATCTTTGATGAAATATCACAAAAACCTGCACCCGCCAAACGCGACAAGAAGGGCAAGGCTCCTCCCAAGCCGAAACCCATCACATCCACCAACCTCCGAGTGGAACATTTGGATGCCGCCAAAATGATGCTTAAGGCCGGAGTCGCCTGTCAGTTGAAAGATGGAGAAGAGTGTGAAAATACAGCAATTGCTGCCGAACGTGTTGCATCTGATATGATTGGTTTGACCACAGCCACGGCTATTGCCCTCAACAGGGCTTTGAAGAGTGATGATTCCATGGCAGGGGCTGACCCTGCTGTTATTAGGCGATGGTGTGAGTTCTACAGTGAAGAATTGTTGCCACAGACGCGGGCCATGGTCAAGAAGACATCTGCAAGGCTGGATGCCTTTGGTCTATTTTTGCCATCGCGAATGGGGGCAAGTCTGTCGCCGGAAACTCTAGAGAAGGGTCTCAAAGCGGAGGAATGGGCAGGCAGCAGCACTACTGCAGACGACGAAGAGGAAGTCAAAGATGATTCCGCAAACAAGGAAGCAGAAGCAGAGAAGGATGAAGAAGAAGAGGAAGAGATAGACGAGAAAGAGGAGGAACCACTGGAAGAAGAGGAAGAAGAGGCAAAGGGATCGGTGGCTGACGAAGCTGCCTTTGACGAAGGGGACGCTGAATACGATGAATATGAGTACGACGAAGAAGAATACTACGATGATGAGGGTTGAACACTACCTTTGATCTAGCTAGTTGTCTATCAATCTTTACCAAACTGTGCCTTGGATCGGTAGCTACCGTATCACTCATTGCATGTCCATTCTCTTTTGTAAAATTACATATTACATAAGGCTATTAGCTCTCATCGCAACAAGTCCATTGCAACGATAAGTGCGTTTTTTGTTGTAACCTAGAGGCGAGGTAATAGAAACATGGTAGCAACAGCTATTGAATTGTTCGCTCAATGCTTCACAAAGCAAAGGCTACCGTATCCCTTCTTAGCAGCTTCGGCACAAGTGTTGTCGCGTTGCTTCTGAGGGCAGTCACCCTCGCGAGCCCACTGCAAGATTTTAAGATGGCCCTCTTTGGCAGCACCAGAGCATGTCTGCTTATCCCAAGCTAGGGATGGTTTCACTCTACCGGTTGGAACTAAAATAAGTAACCGTAGCAGAGCAGCCTTCCATCCTTGTTACTTGTCTTCAAAATAGCTCAGTCGCACGCTTTGAAAGTCATTAATGCTTCATCAAAGTTGCTATATGATGACGTCATTTTACCGATTAACTTGTCCAGTCCTACTAGGGACTCACTCAGCCGTTGCAAAAGCTGTCTCCGTCCCTGGCCACAAAACCTTTTCTTGCTCCTCGCCGCCCATTGCAATTGTGAGAGGCCGACAACAGCAGTGCACGAAATCAAAAAGTTGGTTGCATTTATTTGTTGGAGCACTGCTGTGGGAATTGGGTCCAGTAGCCCCATTCTAGCCAGCCAGGAACGAGTAGTGAAGGGATTTTGGCTTCCACCATCCCGTGACGGCTCGCCTCAGATCCTTCTTGTCTCGGTCGGAGGGTTGGCGTCACGCGGGAGCCTACGGCGCGACACGTAGGCGGCCACGAACTCATTTATCATTCGCTCAGCAAGCGCAAACACCCAGCAACGGTACGGTACCGTTGACAGCAACAACAGCGCAACTTAGTTGACATTGCATTGCAGGACCACCAAGACAGTACAGGACAGTCATATCATAAGCACATACACCATGTCCACTGCAGCTAGCGACAACCCACAAGCAGGCGCTGGGCGTCCATTGCCCAAGAAGGAAGCCGATCTGTTCAAGAATGTGGTCAAGCATTATGAGATGAAGCAGTACAAGAAAGCCATCAAGCAGGCAGATACCATTCTCAAAAAGTTTCCCAACCACGGGGAAACTCTGGCCATGAAGGGTCTGACATTGAACTACATGTCCAAACGAGAGGAAGCGCATGCTTTGGTCAAGCAAGGTCTGACCATGGATATGAGGTGAGCAGACTCGACTCGACTCAATTTGAGCTGGCTGAGACGTGGCTCTCTCTCTAGAGGTATCTGTAATGTTGTCTTGGTCTCATGTTGACTTGTTGTTTCTCTGTTTTTCCTTCTTATCTTTTGATGCTACCGACGCTACCACCTGTGATGAATGATAATGGGTAGATCGCATGTTTGTTGGCACGTTTATGGGCTGCTACATCGATCCGATCGAAACTACAATGAGGCGATTAAAGCCTACAAACAGGCCCTGCGCATTGATTCAGACAACCTACAAATCTTGCGTGACTTGAGCATGCTGCAAATTCAGATGCGGGATCTTCATGGATTCATGGTCACTCGCCATACACTCTTGACACTCAAATCCAATGGAAAACCCAATTGGTTGGCATTTGCAATGGCTCGACATCTTACCGGCGATCTTCGTGGGGCCATTTCCGTCATTGATATCTACCTGGGAACTCTCTCGGAGGGATCTCCCGAACTTGACCGTGGCTTTGAATCATCCGAACTGGCACTCTACCGAAACTCATTACTCGCGGAGATACCCAACAACTATGAAGAAGCATTGAAACATTTGGACGAATGCCAGAGTGTTGTCGTCGATACGGGAGCACTCATAACCGCACGCGCCAAATATCAGTTGAAACTGGGAGACTTTGACACTGCCCACAGCACCACACTGCGCCTCTTTGAACGTGGCACCACGGATGACTTTCGGATCCAGTCACTCTACATGTTATGCGTCTTGAAAATTAACGACGAAAAAGTAGTCGATGAGGCGCTACGGCTAAAGGGAACACGTACCCTGGCATCTTACTTGCCGCTCACCAACGAACAGAAACAAACGCTCCGAACAGCATACAGGGAAGAACTGGCACCCTTATATCCCAAGTCGTATGCGGTACAAAGAATACCCCTCGCACTCATGCATGATCAAGACGAACTCGTCGCAGCCTTGGATCCCTTTTGCCGTAGAGACTTGACAAAAGGTGTCCCTTCTCTCTGCTCGGAGCTTGGTTGCTTTCTCCTGCTAGAAAAGAATGGTCTTCTCGTCAAAGCCGAAGATCCCGTCGACATCAAAGAACACCCAACCTTTCAATCTTTGGTCAAGATGGTGGATGGCTATGTGGAAAACCTCACCGCTTGCAACAAATTCGCGGCTTCGGACGAAACAGAGGAGGCGCCGTCCACCCTTCTTTGGACATTGTATCTTCGCGCGGGTCTGTATGAGTTGGAAGCAGATTATGGAAAGGGAATTGAGATGCTAGATAAATGCCTCGAACATACCCCCACTGCTGTGGATGTCTACGAGCTCAAGTCACGATTGCTGAGAAAAGCAGGAGATATGAAAGCCGCCGTGGAGGCATTGGATCAAGGGCGCGACTTGGATCGGCAAGATCGATACATCAACAATCAAACTACCCGGTACATGCTACTCGCAGGCATGGAAGAGGAAGCCCTGAAAAGAATATCACTATTCACTAGGCACGAAGGAAATCCTGAACAGAATCTGTTTGACATGCAATGCTCATGGTACGAATTGGAGCTGGCCGCCTGCCTGAGGCGGAAAGGCGAATGGGGACGCAGCCTCAAAAAGTATTGTAAGTTGTCGTCTGTTTCCTTCTTTCGAGCTTTTGTTTGTTTGGGAGCAACAGTCAAAAATCTTACCTTTCATCTCTGCTTCTGTTCATTCAGCCGCTGTCGTAAAGCATTTTGCTGACTACAGTGAAGATCAATTTGATTTTCATGCTTACTGTCTGCGAAAGGTTACTCTTCGATCGTACATTGAAGTTCTCCGCTTCGAGGATAAGCTCTACGGAGAGGATTACTACTTTGAAGCTGTCAGCGGCATCATTGCTATCTACCTACATCTCTATGATAATCCTGATCTGTTAAAGAATGATGAAGAGCCAGACTATTCGAAAATGACTGCGGCGGAGCGCAAGAAGGCTAAGAATATTGCGCGCAAGAAGAAGAAAGCCCAGGAGAAGAAAGAGGCTGAACAGAAGGAAAAGGAGGCTGCTCAGAACGGTAGCAAAAACAACAACGCCAACAGCAAAAAGGGTGGAGGGAAGCCGGGATCGGATGTTGTCGAAGAGGATCCAAACGGCGAAGAGCTTCTGAAGAAGGATCCACTGGAAGAATCTCAAAAGTTTGTCAGTATCGTCTCCAAATTTGCACCCAACTGTTTCGACACCTGGATACTCCAATACGATGTCTCTATTCGGAGGAAGAAGTACATGCTTGCCCTACAGGCTCTGTACCGGGCTCGATCCATTGACTCTGAACGGAGCGAGTACATCTCCCGGTTAGTTGACTTTTCCACCAAAATGAATGCAGTCGGCGATCTTCCTGGGCCCGTTGGAACAATTCTCAAGGAGGAAACCCCTCATTTGCTCGACAACAAGTCAGTAAAAGAGTTCCTTGACGCTGCCGTGGCTAAGATTGGCCAGACTGGATCAAAGGCAACCCTGCCTGTTCGAACATCAGTAGCAAAGGCCTTGGTCGATACAAAGGCGGGTTCAGTATCCACTGCAGCCGCTCTGATACTGGATGGTGGGATCTCGGCGAAAGGCGTTTCGGTTCAATCATGCAGCGATGCTTTTGCAGTTTTGAAATCTTTCGGCGGCGAGGCAGCGTCTGCCGCAGACAAGTGGGTTGCTCAAGTCAAGGAGCGCTTTCCGCTGGCGCAAAGTTTAAGCTAAGAATCATTGATTGAATCGCCAAGATGCAAAGTTGTAGCCATACTGTTTGTCCTACCGTAGCTAACGAAGGTTGTTAATAGTATTTGAACGTGCTCAGACTTCCCATAATGAGGATCTCGGTGGGACGGTTGAAAAGGGTTCTGGACGAACATGAAATCAGACCCATCGAATTGCGATGTTTATCGAACTAACAGTACCGTAGCCAGATTACTGCAACTCTAGCTAGTAGATAGATTTGCTGTTAAAGCGAGAAGGGAGCTGAGAATTCCTTGTCCTTGACCAGCTCCTCCAGGCCCTCTCCCGCAAACGAAGTCAGAGGTGAGATTTCATTTTGATCGCTGTTACCAGTGACTTTACCACCTGCAACCTCCACCCATGCCTTGGCCAGATTGGAAATGGCCGCACGGGCTGTGTCGGGACTGTCGGATGGAGACCCAGGCGCATTTTTGACTGAAAACCGGATAAGCAAAAAGGAGAGTGAGAAACGGCGACATGTCACGTATTGAAACTGGGAAAGAATCGAATCGCCTTCCGGCACTGACCTGGAGCAAACTCCTCCGCCCGAGACACATCCCAAATAGCCATCCTTTTTGAAAGCGGGAACACATCGAAAATGAACGTCTCTAGTTTGATCCCATTGTTGGCTGTAGGTGTGACAGTTTCTTTCTTTTCGTGGTCGTAATAGGGGATCTTTTTGTGTGCCAAATGGTACAGATTACCGAAATTGGGCAGGATCTTCTCTTTTATAAAGTCCAATGTGTAGTAATGGTTACAGATGTTTCCCGCCCCAAAGACGAGTCTCCCATTGCCATCTTCTTGTTCCGCCATTTCTTTGGTGATTTCCGAGTATTCAATGACGCAGGGTCTTCCATCCCTGGCTGCCACAACACCCACTTTTTCATGAGCATTGGTCTTCCAACAGACCTTGTTTCCACAATCAGCCTGTTCGGAAATGCAGTATCCTAGAAAGCGAGGATCGGCTGGTTTGACGAGGGAGTTGTCAATGGCAAAGACATGTAAATACTTCAAGCCTCGCTTGTCCATATCTGCCAATGCTCCTGACTTGCTCAGCGAAGGATAGATGCCCCCATTTCCATCGGGTGCCACAGCAATTTTGCTGGTCGTCTCCATGATGATTTTGTTGTCTTTACCAAAGCACGGCAATACACCTTGTTGGAAAAAGAAAATGTCGGCTCTCTCCATTCCAAAACAATTGTTGCTTTCAAAAAAGGTCACCGTCTCTTCATGGTTGATTGGAGAAGTCATGACGTAGAGTGGCACATTCTTATCCGCCTTGGTCAAATGCTTGAGACGCAAGAGACGTTCCACAATCATTTGAAAGAGTGTCCTTCCACTGGGCAGACCAATGTTGTACATTCCTTTCGGATGATCGAACCCTAATCGAGTGCCTTGTCCACCGGCTAGAACCAATGCTGCCACTTGGCCTTGGGCTATGGCTTCCAGACCCAGAGGTTCTACCTTTTGGACCATCGCAGCATCGCTGGAATAGGCAACTCGCTCGGTCAAGGGTGCGATTGTTTGACTGGCACTCTCCTCTTCTTGCTTTTTCAAAGTGGCTTCCAATTCAGCAATGGGAGGGATTTTCTCCAGCTCCACTGAAGCGAGCTGGTCAAAGAGCGCCTTCTTGTCCGCGTCACTCAGATCTGGAACAAACTGCAACACATGCTCTTGTCCGTGCTCCTTGAAATGTGCTTCGACTTCGGCAGGGGTCTTCATCGGGTATGGTAATAGGATGGTGATGGTGATAATGTCAGAGGCTCTAAAGTGCTTTATCGAAGGCGAGGTCTGCAACAACAAGCCGAAAGACGAAAAGATCGCAAATCTTTCAGTCACTGTTTCCAATCCCGTTGCAAAACGCATTGGCAAACAAACCCCCGGGAACCTAGCTTTTTCGGTTCTTTCCGAGTGAACGGTTTCGTTTTCCGCCGTTTCGGTATCCAAGAAAACCCTTGTATCACCGAGGTCTCGGACGCATCACTATTTTTAACTTTTAACCGATCAATACCCCGGGTTTGATGAGCATACATGCATGTTGTACTGGGCGTAAGATGATGAAATTTTCAGATGTCAAGCACCAATGTGAAGTGAGAAGGTCCCTTGTGGATCATGTTTTGGGTGTGGGGCTCTTTCTGTCATAGTTTGGTGATCGAAGATGAAGTTGTCGGCAGAGGACGGAGTCCTCATCCCCACTTGGCTTTGGGAAGCTGCCATGGCCGATATGGCTCTACAGAGAAAGATACGAAAGGAAGCCAAGGAGAAGAAGAACAAGAAGAAGAAGATGCAGCCTTCTGGAGTTCTGCTGTATCACTTTACGTTTAATCTTCGTGACAGGAGTTTTGTCGACTACAAGGTTGAGACTTCTTCCAATCTCTTTTTTGAGTATGCTTCTGCCACTGGCGAAGATGTTTCCAATGACTACATTGCGGTTCTTATGAAGGATGATGATACCGATGAAATGGGCGAGGGTGGAGTCAAGGCGAGAAGCTATGACGTGGATCCTCTGCGAGAAGCTATATTACGCCAAGGGATTCAAGTTGAACAAGACCATGACGGACCCGGAGATACCTCCACCTCCCGTGTCCTGTACCACATCATTGGATGCTCCAATTCACAGGTTCAAAAACACTGCTATGTTTTCCGTCGTTCTGTAAATAAGCAGGAAAATGAGACGAGGCTGCTGCAGATTCTTCCAGGTCTTCTTGAGTTGGAAAAGGAGAAAGGCATCCCTAAGCGAGTCAAGGTAAGGTATCTCACATCTTGTTTGTTTCTTACATTGTGCATGCACTGCTCACCATTCATACCATCCATATCTGCATTGTCAAAAAAGTATGCTGGGTTATTGTTCAGTGGAATCAAACCAGTGAAACTTCCAGACGAGGTCGTAGCAGAGGAAATCCAGAGCTACACCAACCATAACGGCACGGACTTCACTGACGGTCCTGGTCTCATCTCTCTCAAACTGGCGCTGTGGATCCAAAGTCAGCTCGGATGCAAAGGCGACTGCCCGTCAGTATTTCAGATACGATACTGTGGTACGATACAGCTTTTGAATGAGAGCGAGGAGGGGTTTGTATGCAAAGGTGTTCTCCTCGTTGATCCGACAAACAAAGAAACCTACAGCATTCAAGTCCGCAAGTCCATGATGAAAATTGGTGCTAGCCCAAAAGCATGTGAGGTGCTTCAAGGCACTCTCGGAATTTGCGACTACAGTCGGCCTACTCCAGGCCGCCTCGGACAGCAGCAAGTTTGTTTGCTCAGTGGCACCGTCCCAAGATCAGATTTGTTGAAACTTCAAAGGGACCATCTTGACTGCATGGAGAAGGCAATCCACGACCCATTCTGCATGTCATGGGTTATGGCATTGGACCGAAAGAGCCACGTATGGGGTGCCTTTCACAAACTCTTAATTGCTGAACTGGAAAGATCTAGAGAATGGGACGGACGACAAATTCCAAAAGTGTACAGCAAGTGTGCAGATCTCCTCCCGGTGCCGGAGGCCAGCGCCAAGATTAAGAAGGTTCAACTTCCCTTGGCTGCATCTCGCACACTGTTTGGGGCTGTCTTTCCAGAACTCCTGCACGATCTCTTGAATGAAAATGAATGCGTTGTCCTTCTGGAGGATGGCCTGCTCTACGGCAAGGATTCTTCTGGAGGTGAACAGTATGTCATTGTTTCTCGGAGTCCCTCATACCATCCTGGGGATATCAGAGTTTTGAGGGTCGTACCCTTACCGGATGGACATCCTGCACTTTTGCTACGGAACTGCCTCCTCTTTTCTACGAAAGGCGATCGCCCCGATCCAGACAAGATGGGCGGTGGCGACCTGGACGGAGACAAGTACCTTGTGCTCTGGGATCCTACGCTCTTGAAGCATGTCCCCGCTCTCAAAGCTATTGAAGCAACAAAGTATGACGACAATCCTCCACCTGTGAGTTCCTCTTCGATGAGCGACGATGACTGGATACATTACGCCGCAATGACAGACAATGCAATGCTTGGTGAAGTAGAGAGCACTTTCTACAAACTGGCGAAGAAGAGTGGTGTCAAGTCCGCCGAAATTGAGCAATTGAACAGCTTGTTTTCCAGCTTGGTAGACCGACACCCAACATCGATGGATGCCTTTAGAAAGCTTAAAGGCTCCGTGTCCGGGGAAATGGGGTTGGCAAACTCGTGTGTTTGGGAGGAAATGGCATCGATGCAGGCAAAGTGCAGTGAAGTGCAGAGGATTTCTCTGGATACCGACAGATTGCAATCCTACCGAATGTTTCACGAAGCTGCAGGAAGACACTCGGGAAGGCAGTCCATCCGCGACAAGATGTCGGGGAAATTTAACCATCACTTTCGTGCGTGCATGCAACGAGCTGAGGTCGAGAAGACTCTATCTGAAGTGGAAACGCTTGTTACCAGCACAGGTGCTTCTCTTTCAGACAGTGATGAATCAATCTACTTTGATGAAAATACCGAAACGAAGCTGGCGGGGAGACGTGAGGTAGGACCGCCACCGTCGAAGTTGAGAGTTGACTTTTCCTATTTTTCTGCTGACCCGTTCTTTCCGACGTTTTGCTATTGCAGATCAACAAACAGGAGAGCGACGTACTGTCGAAATTTGTGCGTCGTGCCCACGAGTTGTTCGAGAAACCCATCGCTGAAGTCATAGCTGAAACCAAACCACACGAGAAGGTCGTGGATGAACAGATCAAAAGAAAAGACGAGATAATCAAGCAATACGAAGAGGAGATGTCCTTACTTCGCTGTGAAGACCAGAAATTACGCGAAGCTGAAGACCGAGTAACTTTTCGCCACGATGCATGGCTCAAGGATCGCCGTAGACACTGGGATTCGATTCATGCAAGGGAGGTAGAGGCGTCAGCGACCCATCTAGCTGGTCTGGGAGAGCAACTTGATGCATTATCAGGTAAACTTGCAGCAGAGCATCGGGCTCTGTCCGATGTGCAAAGAGAGCTCGACGGAATGTGGTTCAAAGTGGAATGGTTTTCGACAACCAAACAACAAGCTGCGGGACGCAAGGCTGAGATTCAATCTCGAATCGATGAAATCACCCACATGCGCGAACAATTGGGAAGCCTGTTATCTTCGAAGAGGCATGAGCGAGATGCTCAGATTGAAGCTTACAGAGCGCGTGCTCAGAAGGAACAAGACGAAGCGGAAGCCACACTTCGAAGAAGTCTTGCTCTACTAAACAAACATAAAGTCAGCCTCGAAACAAAAATGGAGAGCAGCGAAGGACACTTTGCTGATCTGCTGAACGGTGCGGAGAAGAAAAGAATCCAAGTGTTAGCTGCTGAGAAAGAATCAGAAGCCAATCACCTTCGTCAAAGCTTTGAGGAGGATACAAACCAAACCACTGACCATGGTTTCCTCCAGGGATTACAGGACAAGATCGAAGTGCTACTGAATGGAGCGAAGGATATTCAAGAAGCGATCTCACGAATGTTTTGCCCCGACACGCTTTCTGGGGCGGAATATTTGATTCAGTCGCACCGTGAAAAAGTAGAATGCATGGAGCTGGGACGTAGTCACATCCTCCGTGAAGTAGCCAAGGCGCGGCGAGTCTGGGAAGCTGAGTTGTTTGGATCGGACCTGTGCAGTAGTACGACGGCTCGCAAGAGCAGGTGGCAGAAGCTGATTGCTAGCCTCGAACGAGTCTTTGCACTAGAGGAGAATCGTTTGCAAGGCTTTCCTCGTGGGGGCGAGCGCAGCGGCCCTATGCCTGTTTACTTCAAACGAGGAGAGCTGCAGCGGCACTTGCGGCAATCCCAGGCTCTGATTGTGACGGCGGGAACAGGATGTGGTAAGTGATGCTGAACGGTGGGTTTCACCTTATGATGCGGATGTGTAGGTCGCGCTCACACTGTTCAACCCTCTTGGTTCTTAGGAAAATCGACGCAGGTCCCTCAGTACATTGCGGACGACTTCTATTCGTACCGAGGCACGGGAACTGAAACTGGGGACGACCCTCCTGTTAGGATATGCTGTACTCAACCAAGGAGGGTAGCTGCTCAAAAGCTCGCAAGTCGGGTTGCCCAGGAATACATGACCAATCTCGGTGAGCTAGGCCTAGTCGGCTTTCAGGTTGGTAGCAGAGGCCGATCACGGGAGGAATGCGTCAAGACAAGTGAGCAAACCGTTATTGAATTTGTTACAGAGGGGAAGCTACTTTTCAACTTGGCAAGGTCACCAGACTTCATTCAACGTTACGACTGCGTTATTATTGATGAGATGCATGAACGTAACACGGAACAGGTAAGAAGATTGCAAAACGTCGGTGGATGCTGTTCGCACAAGATGGAGCTCTTATTTGATTCTGCTTTTCGTTGTATTTGTTGGACAGGACCTTTGCCTCAGCTTGTTGCGGGATTATTTGGTCAAGTGCAAATCAACCCACCCTTTTTTCAAGGTTGTTGTCATGTCAGCTTCAATCGATGCCCAGAGGTTTTGCAAATACTTTGGAGACTGTCCGACAATGGACTGCCCAGGTAGAAATTTCCCTGTCGAGGAAATCTTCAAATCTCCCGAACAATCCACAGGTGACCAGATGGAAGTAGTCGACCACGCAGTCAATGTTTTGTTCGAGGAGATCGTTCCGATGAGCGATGAACCTGGGGACGTCCTTGTCTTTTTGAATGGCGCCGCGGACATTGATTCAGCAGTCAGCATGATTACAGCAAGGGCAGAAAAGACAGGAGACTTGGTGGTGGCCTATCCGTTGTATTCCAGGCTTGACGGAGACGCAATTGCTGCCGCGACCAACCCCGATCATCGATGTGGGCTCAATGGTGAGATGACGGCTGTCAAGAAGAAAGGTGGTCTAGCCAAGCTTAGAAAAGTGGTCGTTTGCACAAACATTGCGGAAACATCACTGACGATAAATGGTGTTAGATTTGTGATTGAGAGTGGGCGCGCGAAAAAAATGAAGTTCGATCACACTCTTCGAACGAGCGTTCTCAGTGCAGACTGGGTATCGAGGGCTTCCACTATCCAAAGAAAGGGAAGGGCTGGGAGGACAAACAGTGGCTTTTGCTACTACCTGTACTCGGAGGACTTTCATCAACAAATGAGGGATTATGATACACCAAACATCTTGGAAGAGTCGGTGGACAGTCTCATCCTGTTCTCGATGCATGTTTGCGGAAAAAGCATTGAAGAAATGGGGCTGCTAGATTCGCCACTGCCCGAGGACGTTGATCATGCCAAACAAAGACTGATTGAAATGGGGCTTTTGGAAGAATCTGAAGACGATCACTGGTGTTTGACCTGTGATGGGAAGATTGCAGGCAACCTCTCTTCCTTGCGACCAGAGAGTGTCCGAATGATGCTGACTGCATTCAGAAAGTACCCCTCCTGTGCGAAGCAAGCCATGATCCTTGCCGTTCTCTTATCCACTTCCGAGTCCGTCTTCGACAAACATATAGAAGCGGACAAGGAAAGGGACCACAGTCATGTTTGCGGGGATCATCTGTCTGCGCTCAAGCAATTCGAATGGTTTGAGGAGGCTTCAACGACGAAGAAAAAGAAGAACCTGAAGAAGCAAGCAAAAGGCAGAGGACTTTCGTTTCGAGTCCTCTCGACGGTCCAGGAAGATGTCCAAGCAGTTCACAGGTAGGCAGCTGCAGGAACAATATATTTGATTCATCTGGTTGCGTTCTAACGTTTGAATTCTCACACATTTGTTCTTTCAGAGAATGCAAGAAACTCGAGCTTTTCCCATCCATGCCGGAGGTCCAAGGAACATTGGAAGAGTGTCTCTTGCGCTCCTTTGTCAGTGGCTACTTCCACAGCTGTGTGCAATGCGTAGAACCGCACCACGCGCGAACTGTAGGCTGTTCCCACTTGACAATTCAAATTCCTTCGCCGCTCTTTCTTGATAAGCAATCCACGTTGATAAAAACGCTCGCTTCGAATGAGCAAGACCCAGTATCCCTTCAAGACGATTGTCTTGATCTCGAGGAAACACGCAACGATTCTCCAGGCACGAGCGACCTCACAGTTGTCAGTGAGCAAGTGGAACCAAAGTTCCTCTTGTATGGAAACCTCACGAAGGTCGAGAAGATCCAGAAAACGTTTATGCTAGATGCCAGCGCCGTGGAAGGGAGGTGGCTTCAAGAAGAAGCTGACGGTCGATGGATCAAGAGAGTGGACTTTGATCCGCACCCCAAAAACAAATGCCGGGTATTGATTAAGAATGTAGGGGCGAAAGTCCTGAACGAGTGCAAGAAAGGCGAAAAGAGCAACAGTGGGGACTTCTTTGCAACTATAGAGGCCAAATGCAAATTGGATGCACTTGTGGTCAGTTACGAGGAACGCCTTGTCGTTATCAATGGGGATCAAGCTGCTGTAGCAGATGCTCGAGAAAGGATCGAGAAAAGGGTGCTGTCTGTATTGAAACAGTTTCGCCTGAACGATCGGGCGCACAATCCTTTGATCCAGGTTGGGCCCGGCATGGTTGTCAAGGGACGTGCCCATGCAAACACTGCCCGTCCAGAACATTTCCTTGGCATCTTTAGTGCGTACGGTCTGAACGAAGATGACTATGTACCAGGCGGAACTGTTGCTTCCATCTGTGTTAACAAGAAGAACTCTTGCTTGATTGTTGCCCCAACACGTGATTTCTCGCTGGACACTGTGGGACGTGCGCTCAACGAAGCAAAAGCATCCGTCAACATGACGTCGAAGAAGCAGAACAACAACAAAATCGGCAGCTTCATCGTGAATATTGGTGGAGCTCCTGGCAGCAATGCGACGTCAAAACGAACTCTGAATCTTCTGCAATCCCACCAAGCCTTCTCAGCTTTGATTTTGGATGGCCGATGTTCAGGGCAGACGACTAGCGGTCTAGCATTCCGTGCCTTGCGTCAGGCAGCAGAGCAAAAGAATACGTTCTGGGACACATTCAAAACGGATGTCCTTTCTGGCGACCAACGAAAAGGCGCTGTGCTCAGTTTGGTCAAGTCCCACGAGTTCTTTGCATTGAACCCTGGCGATAACAGGTCGGCTTCAGTTTTCAAAAGTAGGCTTGTCACGCTGGATGGCGCCTTTGATTTCCACGAAGTTGAGCACACTACTCATTTCCAACGATATCAAGTTCGACGAATTGCATCTATCCTTTCCGAGTTGAGGAAGCGTTGTCCAAAGGTTTTGTTTTACATAGTGGAGTTGAAGCGCTTCAGCGGGGAAGCCGAAGGCAATACAGGTTCGCTTTCAGATTATCTGTGGCTAACTTCGCTGACAAAAGTCAAGAAGGTTCGAGTGGGCTTCTCAGCATTGAGCGCAAAGGAAAAGAAGCAGGCGCGCGGTCTATTAGAAAAGAAACTCACCTTGGAATCCTTGGCAAACGACAATTCGCGCACTGTTGCACCTGATGATGGGTACAAGAACAAATTTGTGGAAGCGTGTGTCATGTGCCGCCGCAGTGTGCGAGTATCTTTTGGCAAGAAGGCTGGCAATGTCGGAACCAATGGTTTGGAAGGCTGGAATCTTACTTTGTGCGGTTGCTCGTATTGCCGTGAGTGTTTTGTACATGCCGCTGTCGAGACGATGATGGATGACGTTGCTCGGTCGGCAAGATGCCTGTGCTGCAGCCGTGAAGTCCTTGCAAAGGATTGCTTCTCCATAGTTTGCGGGGGCAAAAGGGAAAAGGGCTCAGCATCAAGCCAGGAGTGGGATATGCTGTGTCGTCTCGCGGAAGCCAACTACTGCCAGCAGAACGAGGCGCTAATCACAAGAAGCTGCAGACCAGGAAGATCCAGCAACCGACCCAGAGGCTCGACGACCTGCCCCGATTGCGACTTTTCCATGGCTCACCCGAGTGGCTATCTTTTCTTATCGTGCCGCAATCCAAAGTGTCGAAGCAAGATATGCACCCAATGCTACCAAGTCCCAACCTCCCAGGACGATTGCTCGCGATGTGCCAGAGGGGAATGCGAGCCACGAGATGCGTGAGTACTGTTCTTCCGTCGGAACCGGATGGCCAGTTATGGAAGGGAAGAATTGAGAGACTTCAGGATCCGTGTGGTTGGTACAGATACCTATATAGGATAGCCACGAATATTGGTCGGTGTACATGTACTTCCCGGTACCGGTATGGCGTTGCTGCAACAGTAGTTGCACATGGTACTGCATGCCCTGCTCAGTGTGCTGGTATCGTCCTTTTGGCAGCTCCAATGATGTAGACCCAACGTCTATGCCAAAGGCTTGCTTAATGGACCCATCTTGCCTCCTCTTTAGAAGAATACATCGACCGTGTGCTCATGATCAACTACTACTTCGGTGTGGCCAGCTGAGACCTTGCCATGTCGTCGGAATCGAATCGAATCCCACGGAAAACGTCCAATCTCTGTTTGCTTGCTTGTCGTGACACACTCCTCCAGTTATCTGGCCCTGGTTCCAGTCTACCGTTACCAAATTCAAACTGCCTACGGTACTGCAAAGGTTATCACTATTCGTGACTATAGATGAATTCTGGTTTTTCCAACAGGGTGAACCATAGGTAGTTGATTCGATGCTTGTCATCTTCCCAAGCTAGACCCGTACCAAGCTTGGCCAGCCACTCGACCCACAGGGTTCGGGACGCAAAGCTACATTTGGACTTGTAGTGTCCATTGTTGTTGGCAGCCGTTACAGTGTTGTGACGGGTAGAGACGACAAAGTCCAGCCGATTGTGTAGATTGTTCATGGATCGTACCAAGTCAAACTGTCCTTCCCAGTCCTTGTCATCGACCTTGATCAATCCCATGCGTCGTTTCCAAAAGAAGCAACCTTCAAAGAATTCTTCATAGGCACGAGACGATATTCCTTGATTGCGTTCCAACGACAATAGGTCTCCAGCCTTGCAGGCATCATCGCGACGAAACATGGTGGTCAGCACGTGCAAGTGTTCATCCTGCAATCCCATTCCATCCAGACTCAATCTCCACCATTTTTTCTTGTGTTGCAGTAGTGTTGACAAGGCTTGAGGGGTAATGGATGGCAGAGATTTTGCGGTAGTATTCCGTGTTGGCTGTTGTGTTCCCGCACCCACCAATTTCAGTTCATCCAAGGGCGTGGCCGTTTCTGCGTTGGGTGCTGCCAATGCCAGCAAAATGGGATCCAACCAACCAGCAGCAAGACTTGCCATACCTACTTCCACACCGGTAGGCGGCGGCTCGATTCCGACCAAGTTGACTTGCCGCAGGGATCCTCGCTTCTGTTTCAAAATGGCCGACCACTGTCGAATGCTTGCCAGCGAAGGAAATGCCGCTCCCATGAGTTCCAGTTCGTTCAATGCAGGCGTGCCGTAGGCGTCCAGAGCTCCAATGACAGCTGGCATGCTGAGCACTGTTGTTGTGGAGTTATTGTTGTTTTGGGCTGTCGTCGGTGGATCTGTGATACCTTTGAGTTGCAAGAAGGCGAGTGTCTTGTGACTGGCAATGGCGAGCAAAAGACGTGTCTGTCCCTCGTGTCCCAACAGTCTCAACATGTGCGTTCCAATAATGGCATGGGTCAACTGGCCTGTGGTGCTCGAATCTCCAGGATTGACAGCCGCCGTGGTCACCGCGTCCAGCAACTCGGAATACCAGCCTGTCCCATTGGTTTGTTCTTCACCACCACCACCCATTATTGGAACATTATTATTATTATTATTATTGCTGTCATTGTTGTCATTTGTCAATGATACCACAGGCGAAAAATTGGAGAGAGCTGCCAATTCCCCGTGCAGCTGGACATCCACGAATTTCAAGACTTTGGTTTGCCGTGTCCGAATTTTGGCCACGTAATGTCGCCATCGCTCCAATGGCGTTCGAGTGTCCACAGGATACGGAGCCATGGCAGGACCACCCGCGGGGATCATCAAGGCATTTTGCAGTAGATTGCCATAACCCATGTCTTCTTCCGAGGTGTAGCCACTGCTGTAATCGTCGCTCTCATCATCACTATTCATTTCCTCGTCGTCGCCTTCTTCTTCTTCTTCTGCTTGAAGCTCCATGGGATCGTTTGCTACTGCTTCTTCCATGTTTGTTTCGCTCTTAGTTGCTATCGAAGAAAAAATGTGCTCTCGTCGTTGTGGTTTGTGGTGTCAAGGAGCTTTTCCTTCGAAGATCGAATGACCCATGACTTTTCAAAGAACGCTGACTCAGAAACGACTACACCTAACCTTAAACCTCAATTGTACCGTAACGAGCAAGGCGTTCATCTTGGCTCACTTTTTGGAATGATCTTATCGCCAAATGGATGAATGAAAGGATCCATTCATCGTGTGTTGATGTCTTCCGAAATCACCGGTCTGGTCTGCGAAGAAGGATACCGACCAAACTACTGCTTGACGCACGGCACGACACAAGATAGTCTTCTAACTAAGGAGTAATAGAATTGAAGAGGACCAAAATGAAGGCAAAGGTGCAGCAGAAACAATCTCGAATACATCCAAGTTTGGCACCGCCCTCATCCAAGAGAACATATGGAGCGTGGGTGATACCCTTCGCGGTGTTGGGGATTACTGTTCTTCATGTCTTTATCAACATTTTGCCCCCACGAAATCCCAGTAATAAGACTATACGATTCCGTTCCTCTCAAGAGCCCTTAATGATGCAATCGCAACCAAGTGACATCCTGACAAATGCAACGACATCTCTTCTTCTTACGAAAACGGCTCCAACGACAAACGATGTCGTTGTCACCACGGAGACAGCAACAGCAACAAAGGAGCTTCCACCAAAGTCACCCCAAGAGTGGATAGAAACTTCAACTTCCACTTCCACGGCAACCACAACAACAACAACCGACGACAACGGGAAGGGGTCAGATAATCCCAACAAGACAGTCACGGCCGCTCCAGTATATCTGAAGGAAAGAAAACAAGAAGACAATCCGCAACAGGAAGTACCGAATCTGCCAGAGAAGGAAGAAAAAGACTTACCAGCGAAGGATGAAAACGAACAAGGGAAGGACATCCCAATAGAAGAACCTAAAGAGTTGCCAGTGCATGCAGACCAAAAACAGACGGCGACAGAAGAAAAGGCGAAGGAGCCACTTCAGGAAAAGGAGGACAAGGACAATGAAATCCAAGAGAATCAACATTTGGTCTCTGGAACCAACATAACCACAAAATCAGCAGAGAAGAAACCAGAGCTTTCCATCCAGAGAGAGGAGGAGGAAGTCAACCAAGCATCCTCCATTCAAACCACAGATACTGGAACTGGTGGATCCCTACCGGAACCAACTACTGGCCAGGCAGAACCGCAGAACGAGAACGATGTTAAAAAACTGAAGGTATACACGAGTCGAAAGGAGGCGTTGTCAGACAAACGACATGCACGAGTCAAAACCACCATCAGTACAACGAAAAGGAATGTGAATCGACTCAGGGGTACCATCAGAGACTGGAAACCATTGAAAAAAACTTCCTCCAGAGCAAGAGCAAGGCAATCCTTGTCAAAACCAACCACGTACACTGACTCTCGCTTCGAGGAAATGAAGGCGTATAACGGTAGCGTGTTCCATCACCCAGAAGATATTCCTTCACAGGTTGTCTCCAATATGGATGCCATTCTGGTTGTGGGAGGAGGAATGTTCTCATCCCAAAAAGAGCCGTCTCCAGTCGTTCAGCAGACATTGGAAGACGTTATAACGCTTCTGGGTAATGGGACTGCCAATGGTGCCCAAGCATCAGGCAACAATACTACGTTGCCTATTCTGTGCTTGTCGAACCACGCCCCACCGGCAGGATCGTCGTTGTCACAGGCTGCCATTTCAGCTTCGTATCTGATGAAAGAAGGAAAGCGGATTGGATTGGATCCAGATCACATCTACATGGAATCCACCTCACTGGATCTGATAGGAGCGGCCTTTTACAGCAGAAAGAACTTTGCCGACAGCATGGGTTGGAAAAATCTTTTAATTGTTGTCAACCAGCTGGTACAGCCATACACAGAGGCTGTCTTTCAATGGATCTACGGCCTGGATGCCAGCAACAGAGCGCAAGGAGACTTCAATCTTTTGTTTTTGGTGCCCCCTGATATTGTTGTGGAGACCCCGCCATATATAAACACACACCCCGAGAAGGTTGCCCATGTCGCCAAGAAGCTGGCACCACGCCTCAGAACGATGCAGGACGTCCATCATTTTCTAAACCATGAACATGAACTGTATTCAGCCAGACATGTTGTCCAGAGCATGGCTTCTGTCTTTTAGGCAAAGAGGGCCAGGGAACCCTTCCCCACATAACACAAGGTTGAGCTGAGCTGTACACAGCTTTTGCAACGTAACCGAACCAGGGTATGGGTATCCAGAGCAGGCGCAAACCGGCACCTACGGACTTGCCGCCTCCCAACGAATTGTAGATTTTTGGATGTAAATCTATTCGTATTAAAGGATTATTCTTCAGACTTTACCACTAGCTAGCGAACAGCCTCAAAAAGAAAAAGGCAGGAACTGCAAAACGTCGGCAACTTCGGCCTTCTTTTTGTAATTAGACAATTCCCATTCCTGTGTGCTGTGGAAGGACCAGAGGTGTCGCATTTTTTACAGCAATGTAATAATACCAGAAGAAATCCACCATGAGAACCAGTTGGACAAACTGTGCAATGAGGGCCAAATATCCAGGAAGCTTGGAACCGGCACTGTTGGCAAGCTCATGGTAGCTGTAAATCCAGAAGAAGAATTCCATGCAGCGACCAAAACCCAGCGCGGCCACAAAGTGAGCGGTCAGGAGTTCGACCACACCCGACGCCTGCTTCTGGAACATGTATAGCTGAGGGACAAGCGCTGCAGATTCCAGATAAATGGCATAAGTCCATGCCGTGTCACTCAAGAAATCCGAGTTGAGGTTGGGGTGGATGAAGATTGCAATGATTCCAATGGGGACAGCCAAATAGACGGCGCCAAAACCAGGAGGGACATTCATTTCCCCAAAGGTATCGAGATCCGCCTGATACGTGGATTTGAATGGGATCAAGCAGCCATACAAGGCACTGGCCGTGAAAAACAACGCCATGATTTCGATCAAATGATAAAGCCAATCACCAGATTTGTCGTATGGCAAATACCCCTCGTGTCGGATAATGGATGTCAGCCGAAAGAAAAATACAAGACAGTACAATTGCAGGGTTTTGATGGATACTCCAGTGGCGCGGTGGCTCTTGAAGGTCTTTACATTCAAAATGCCGAATCCAAACATACGCGCCATGGCACCGTAAGTCATGAGGAAGGAGAAATCACCTCCAGACAACATGAAGTAAACCATGAGAGACATTGTAAAGAAACCAGCCCAGATCAAGACATTGTTGTTGAGGGACTCCAAGGCGAGACTTTTCTTTCCTGACTTTGCTTTGTCTTCATCTGATTTGTCTCCCATACCCTGCAACAGACAGCAAGAAAGCAAGGAAAAGGCCAAACGAGTTGGGGATATTAGGACCGGGTATATAAAACATCGCACGAGGCCGCCAAAAACCAGTCAAAGATTCCAGATTCCCTCTTCAGACCAACGACTCGTATGTAGAAACAGTACTAAACCCTCCGCCGACGGACAGACGCGGAATCATGGCACGCAGCGACGACAAAAGATCTCGAGAGAATCTTCCAACGGTATGGTCGATTCTCCACGAAACAAGAGATGACCACCATGGTCGTTCATTTTTGTTGATTTCCTTACCATATCGTAGCTGCCAACACCACCATAGGAACCTCCTGATGCAGGTGCTGGAGCCGTGTAGGAGCCGCCATATCCTTGGCCAGGTGCTCCGCCGTAACTAGGTGCAGCATACCCACCAGCGGGCGGTTGCGAGTAGCTGTTGCCGCCGTAGCCGCTGGGATTGGCATTGAAGCCATGTCGTCCGTAGGGACCATCCGATGACATGTTGTTGTTGTAGACTTCTTGTCCGTTAGCGTTAGTTTAGTTTGTTGCAATGACACGAGTAAATGAGTCCGGCAATGCTTTTGTGAGATGTCTTGGCTTCTCACTTGGTCCGGCCATACAGCGTTGCAAGGTCCTTGTCATGCACTGCCTCCGACCGCGCATCCCCAAAAAACGGTCAACCGCACGCCGTACAGTGCAGGAATTTAATTAACGGGGAAACATGCGTGACTGCCAATGACTCAGGACTAAACCTTGCAAAGCAGTTCAGACTGCTTTGGGACCGTGGAAGGTGCCATCTCGCAGAACTACCGGTACCACTAGCTAGCCAGTAGCTAGCTAGACAAGGAAACGAGCACAAGTGTGAATGCCAAGAGATCATGATAGATTTTTTACTACCCTTTTACAAAAGTGTATGCATGTTTTTCTCTTGCCAAATAATTAATCAACCTTAATGGTACCGCAGTTTCTTGGTGACCAGTGGTTGGCTGTACGTGTACCGGTTGGTACGAAGATGGCGCCGGTACCGGTAGCGTAAACTTGTCCGTGAAATTCCTTTGAGCTATGAAGTCCTCCATGCAAGCTACAATAGCTAGAGCTGCGCTGCTCCGTGGGAGACCAACGGGAAAAAAGGTAAATCCTAATCCAAGTTAGCTCCTAGCTACCGGTAGCAGAAGTGGGTTGGGGTGGGTTCCAACTGGAGCCTTAGCAATGTGGGTTGGCATCATCTTTTGGCCGCCATGCATTTCGAACGAAAAGGAGTATGCTTTTGAATTGTTGTGTTCCGAAATACGCCGGCACCGGAAACTACTCTGTTGAAAGTAGGTCACCACAAAATGCCGTCGTTCGGGAATGTTCGAAGAACTAGTGAAAATCCACTGCAGCAAGTCCTTCAAATTCTGAAGAAAAGACAAACCTTACAGAATCGAATCAGCGACCAGACTGGCCACACCAAAACATCAGCAACTCAGATCAGGTCTAACAGAATCATTTCAACATCCAGGCGGGTTGCATGCTCTGATTCACGGAGCCGGTCCAAGTCCTCGTATTCGGCGTGATCGGGAAATATCACGTTCTCCACATACTTGAGCTTTCTAAGCAATGATAATGTCTGCTCCAGTGGTTTTGTTCCAAGGGATTCCAATTTGGCCTGAAACATCAAAAGGCGAAATGTCAGAATAGCGTTCGAGAGGAAAAGTGCAATCACCGTTTCATATGACTTACTCTGATTCTGGGGTAATAGGCAATTCGAGGCTTCATGCTTTTCGTTCGCTTTGCAGAGTGCTCAGTCTCCTTGGAAGTCTTCGTTTCTTCTTCCATTCCATCCACACCCCTGCGCTTGTGGCTACCGTTGGTCAAATCTGCGGCAGCCACAGCACTGCTAAGAGCTTGGAAAGAGATTGCTTTGCCCATGTTCGGTTGCTGCTGGGAACTTGAAGAAACCGGAGTAGTTGGGGGTGCAGCAGCTCTATCTTTGGTGGACCTCTTGCGGGCTACAACAGGCGGAGTTCTGACTCCAGAAGAATGAACTTTCTTCTCGTCATGGTCAACGGCTGGGGTTTTCGAATCGTTGTCGTCATCTCCGTAGTAGGGTGGGGAGAAGTAGTACTGATGCAACTGCCACATGTCAGCATTGTTGAAAGGTAGTTTCCCAACGTCGATCAGAGGCCTGAAATGAGTGCGAAGCCACCGAAGGTTGCGATTTCTCTGTTCTGGGTTATCCAGTGGAGCGTCATGGTAGGAAGCTCCTGTAACAGCGTAGCTGACGTTCGCCGGTCGTCCAAAAGCAGATGATTCTGACCATGCCTCCAGGAATCCATTCTGATCCCCTCCTTCTGTGTCGCTTACCGAAGCGACGAGGCACCGCCCAGAAAAGGTTCTTTCGATAAGAGCTGCATTTGAAGGCACGAGAGGAGACACATCGCTGTTCTCGACGTCATTGTAAGTTTCGATTTTTCGTGGTTCGACATACAACTCTGCACTCGGGTCACTTCCCAGAGAAGCCAGAGCTATTTTGGCTGCTGCTGCAACAGCCGCAGGCGGGGCAGGGCCCTTGGCTTCTTCCGCCTCGCCTTGATCGGCAGGTCCTCTTTTCTTACCCCAGTTTCGCCACATTAACCGTACAAAGCCCAGCACCTTTTCATTGTTCCAGTCCTCAGGGACTTGAGGCATCCCGAGAGTTGCAGTGATAGCTACAAAAGTCCGGAAAACACAACGTAAGATAATCTCCTAGCCACAGACCCAAGCCCAACCACACCACAACTTACGACCCATAGGAAACCCTGTCAATTGTTGTAAAGGGGCCTTTTGATTGGACACAATTCCCGCAGTGATATGACGTTGGGCAGAGTATCCGACCTGACAATTGTCCATGTATACAATTTCCAATCCGGTGTTATACGCCAATGCAAACGAAACCGCCTTGGCTGCGTTCAGGTCGATTGGAATCCCGCATATACCGAGGGAACGCATGTTCGTATCTTCCGAGAGACTCTTCATCAGAGCTCGCACTCCTACGGTAGTGACACTGTTGAAGCTTATATCCAGCTTTTCCAACGATACAGAACCAAGGACCACCGCGCATAGTTGGGCTCCACGGTCCTGCATTTTGTTGTTGTCCAACTTCATTTCTCGCAACGTTGGTGATCCCCAAATTGAATTCATCAGTGATTCAACCCCGGCGCAAGTAATTTGGTTGTGAGAAAGCATCAAAGACTCCAATGGAACATTTTTGTTTTGTGTCAATGCCTGAGCAAGAATCGAGATGTCACTGTCCTGGAGGTTGTTGTCTGTCAGGCACAGTACTTTGAGAGATACGTTGGATAGAAGCATGCTCGGTATTGTGTAGAACCCAGTTGCTTCCATACGTGTAGATCCCAAAAAGAGGTGTTCCATTCGATGCAAGAAGGGACTCTGTACGGCCACTCCAGCGGCTTCTTGCATTTGTAATCTTGCGTCAACCTCCGCCACTGCAGTTGCAAGGGCTTTCGTGCCCTCTGGTCCTATCTTGTTCGCCGTCAAATGCAAACGCGACAAATAGCAACCATGCACCAATGCCCCTGCAATGGACAACGCGCCCTTTTCCCCAATATTGTTCCCCGTCAAGAACAGCGTTCGTAAATGATAGTTACCTGCGATGGCCTTCATAGCTAATCCACCACAGCCATCGTCTCCGATTCCATTGAAGCACAGATCCAACACAGCTAATGCTCTATGATCCAGCTTTCCGTCTGCTTCGATGCATAGCGCGTTTGCAATACAGTGCGCCCCGACATCGCCAAGATCGTTGTACCCCAGTTTGAGCACAGATAGCCTTGGGTTTCCCAATATCACCTGTTCAATGAGGGCTACATCGTTTACCCCAAGGCCCCGCCTTGCCATATCAATCTGTCGAATTGCACGTTGATCGTTAGACACAAGCACCTCACGACTCGAGTCTTCCATGCTTGGACTAATCTCGTTTCTAATACTCCGAATGCACTTACCACCGATAAAGTCCCTCTTACAGAAACTTCTGATAATCTTGATAATAATAACCCCTTTTTCCGATGTGCAATAACTGCATACTCCAGATCTGGGCTTACGGTCTCGTTCTCGGCATCCATTTGCTCGTGCTGGGGTCCACTTTCGGTGGAGCTGACTGATGAATCGGAATCATCTAAATCGGAGGTGGCATCAGAATCAAAGCTACTACCGGAACTGACAGAGCCATCGTCATCAGAACCTGATTCCGAATCTGAATCATCCTCTGCTTGATCATCTCCATCTTCTTCCATTCTGGTGGCTGGGCGTTTCTTCTTCTCTCTGACATGTTGTTGTTTTCGATCTATTCTGTTGTTGGGGGTGGCAGCAGCAGCAGCTTTAGATTGAGCAGCAAGCTTGGCCGCATAGGCAGCGGCGCCTCTGAGCTGGCCAGGTGGAGGTGTTGACGCATCAGCTACAGCCTGTATATTGTGGCGTATCCCTGTCCCAGGAGGCGGTAAGGGTAGCCCCGCTGCAGCTCCTCTGGGTTTCCCTGTTGAGGGCGTCGATACATCTGATGCTGCTTGCACATTGTGTCGAATTCCAGTCCCAGGAGGCGGAAGTGGTAGCATAATTCGGCTGCGGTTGCTGGGCTTAGCTCCATTATTACCAGTGTTGGCAGATGCAGCATTCACAGCCTTGGCATTCACTCCATTGATAGGGGCTGCTGGCGGTGGAGCTGCCGCGTGTGCTGCTGTGTTAGCAGATGGGGTAGCATTGGCGGATTGTCCGCTGCTAGCAGCGTGTGTGGGAGGTGGTGTCGCCTCTGGACTGGCCTTGCTTGTCACGAGTCTGTTGCGCTGTTGTTGCATATCATTTAAAGCCGCATGCATGCTGATGACGCAGCTCTTGCCACTCATATGGGACAGCCACTTCTCAGGCGCTGATCGAGTAGGAAATAGCCAAAGCTATCCTATGAGTGGTACAACTAGTCCCTGCCTTCGCTTCGGGAGGAGTGATGCGTAGGTTGTCGCGTCTTCAGACTACCCAACCCTTTCGTTTCCCTCAATCAAAGCTTGCCCGAGCCAATCAAGAGAGTGGCATCAAGCAAGACGAGAGATAATATAGCTACTGATAACACTCTAGAAGGGAACACAGTCGGTGATACCAGCGCCACGACTTTGTCCATCCAAGTTCGTTTGGTATGATAATTTCTTCTGAGCGACAGCACGGAGCCTGTTGGTGGTGTGTGTGTGTGTTGGGGTGAGCAATAGGGTTACCGATAGCGACGGTAGTGATGCGTGATGCGTGTTTTGGCCTGGCGGGAACAGCCAATAGAAACAATCGCCTAATATCACTGTCAAAACACTGTTCATAGATTTAAGAACCAGATTGAGCTCAATAATGAAATGTTTGTAAACTACAAGTAGCTTTAGCCTCACAGCCCCACAACCCACAGCCCCACACAACCAAGAACCAGAGCTCTGGAATTGCTTCAATAATGATGTGTGTAGGGGAGGGATGATGCTGATCATCCAGCAAGCTGCTCCTCGAATGACTAAATGTGGTAGGGTTAGATGCAATTCTTGAAGGATATATATCATCCCTGGCCCAGCCCTATCTGGCAACAATCTAGAGCAACAAACGGCACTAAATTATTTCAAGTCAGTTGAGTGCTGGCTTCGCCTACAACCTTTAGAAAAACTAAACCTGAGGACCCACCAGCCCGACAGGCTTGGCATCAAGAAAGGCGAGTTTTGCAGCTAGCCTTACAGTCGATTGCAATGTACGCTGCGTTGCAAAGCAACTAACGCCTGCGACTATTTGAAAGACTCATCCTGGCCAGCAAGTCGGTACTAATAGTACTCTAGAGTACCACCTGTTGATGGCACCAGGCTACGAATTCTAAAAAAGAGTTTCAGGTACATGTAGTCTATTGGAGTGTTGTCCATAGAGTTGGAGCTTCGTGTTTTGCTCTCCTCTCCATAAATCAAACCATCCTCTATCTCCCAAAGCCAGCTGATGGCCCTTTAAAACCTTGCATAGTTGAGGCAGGGTCATAGTAAATGGAACAAAAGCTACTGACGTACGAGCCATACGTCATTGTGAGTGAACATACTACAATGATAGCCGCGTGTAAAAGCATATTACGGGATTGCGCTTTCTGACCATCTATTCCGACAGCACATTGAAATTATTGCCGACCACGGAACGGCAGTGCCGGAGCAGTACATGTAAAAGTTCCCAGTCTGTCGTGTCGTGTGTGGTCTGATGACTTGACTCGACTCGACTCTCACTCTGACCGGACATGAGACTCGCTCGACCAGGAGTCGAGTCAGAGTCGAGTGAGAGTCGAGTCCTCAACCGAGCTATCACAGCATTCAGGGCCCCCTGCTAGCCTGCACCCCCTTTGAAAGGACCAGTGCCCATACCGGCAAGGTCCGGAAACGGGACTATATCGTTAATTATGATTGGATTATGAAACACGACCGGTTTTAAAATTCGCACGTTTGAAACTCGATCATTCTTTGCACGGATAAGCTGGCTGAGCTGCTTACGCACATTTCGAACGAAAAGGAGTATGCTTTTGAATTGTTGTGTTCCGAAATACGCCGGCACCGGAAACTACTCTGTTGAAAGTAGGTCACCACAAAATGCCGTCGTTCGGGAATGTTCGAAGAACTAGTGAAAATCCACTGCAGCAAGTCCTTCAAATTCTGAAGAAAAGACAAACCTTACAGAATCGAATCAGCGACCAGACTGGCCACACCAAAACATCAGCAACTCAGATCAGGTCTAACAGAATCATTTCAACATCCAGGCGGGTTGCATGCTCTGATTCACGGAGCCGGTCCAAGTCCTCGTATTCGGCGTGGTCGGGAAATATCACGTTCTCCACATACTTGACTTTCTAAGCAATGATAATGTCTGCTCCAGTGGTTTTGTTCCAAGGGATTCCAATTTGGCCTGAAACATCAAAAGGCGAAATGTCAGAATAGCGTTCGAGAGGAAAAGTGCAATCACCGTTTCATATGACTTACTCTGATTCTGGGGTAATAGGCAATTCGAGGCTTCATGCTTTTCGTTCGCTTTCAGATGCTCAGTCTCCTTGGAAGTCTTCGTTTCTTCTTCCATTCCATCCTCACCCCTGCGCTTGTGGCTACCGTTGGTCAAATCTGCGGCAGCCACAGCACTGCTAAGAGCTTGGAAAGAGATTGCTTTGCCCATGTTCGGTTGCTGCTGGGAACTCGAAGAAACCGGAGTAGTTGGGGGTGCAGCAGCTCTATCTTTGGTGGACCTCTTGCGGGCTACAACAGGCGGAGTTCTGACTCCAGAAGAATGAACTTTCTTCTCGTCATGGTCAACGGCTGGGGTTTTCGAATCGTTGTCGTCATCTCCGTAGTAGGGTGGGGAGAAGTAGTACTGATGCAACTGCCACATGTCAGCATTGTTGAAAGGTAGTTTCCCAACGTCGATCAGAGGCCTGAAATGAGTGCGAAGCCACCGAAGGTTGCGATTTCTCTGTTCTGGGTTATCCAGTGGAGCGTCATGGTAGGAAGCTCCTGTAACAGCGTAGCTGACGTTCGCCGGTCGTCCAAAAGCAGATGATTCTGACCATGCCTCCAGGAATCCATTCTGATCCCCTCCTTCTGTGTCGCTTACCGAAGCGACGAGGCACCGCCCAGAAAAGGTTCTTTCGATAAGAGCTGCATTTGAAGGCACGAGAGGAGACACATCGCTGTTCTCGACGTCATTGTAAGTTTCGATTTTTCGTGGTTCGACATACAACTCTGCACTCGGGTCACTTCCCAGAGAAGCTAGAGCGATTTTGGCTGCTGCTGCAACAGCCGCAGGCGGGGCAGGGCCCTTGGCTTCTTCCGCCTCGCCTTGATCGGCAGGTCCTCTTTTCTTACCCCAGTTTCGCCACATTAACCGTACAAAGCCCAGCACCTTTTCATTGTTCCAGTCCTCAGGGACTTGAGGCATCCCGAGAGTTGCAGTGATAGCTACAAAAGTCCGGAAAACACAACGTAAGATAATCTCCTAGCCACAGACCCAAGCCCCACCACAACTTACGACCCATAGGAAACCCTGTCAATTGTTGTAAAGGGGCCTTTTGATTGGACACAATTCCCGCAGTGATATGACGTTGGGCAGAGTATCCGACCTGGCAATTGTCCATGTATACAATTTCCAATCCGGTGTTATACGCCAATGCAAACGAAACCGCCTTGGCTGCGTTCAGGTCGATTGGAATCCCGCATATACCGAGGGAACGCATGTTCGTATCTTCCGAGAGACTCTTCATCAGAGCTCGCACTCCTACGGTAGTGACACTGTTGAAGCTTATATCCAGCTTTTCCAACGATACAGAACCAAGGACCACCGCGCATAGTTGGGCTCCACGGTCCTGCATTTTGTTGTTGTCCAACTTCATTTCTCGCAACGTTGGTGATCCCCAAATTGAATTCATCAGTGATTCAACCCCGGCGCAAGTAATTTGGTTGTGAGAAAGCATCAAAGACTCCAATGGAACATTTTTGTTTTGTGTCAATGCCTGAGCAAGAATCGAGATGTCACTGTCCTGGAGGTTGTTGTCTGTCAGGCACAGTACTTTGAGAGATACGTTGGATAGAAGCATGCTCGGTATTGTGTAGAACCCAGTTGCTTCCATACGTGTAGATCCCAAAAAGAGGTGTTCCATTCGATGCAAGAAGGGACTCTGTACGGCCACTCCAGCGGCTTCTTGCATTTGTAATCTTGCGTCAACCTCCGCCACTGCAGTTGCAAGGGCTTTTGTGCCCTCTGGTCCTATCTTGTTCGCCGTCAAATGCAAACGCGACAAATAGCAACCATGCACCAATGCCCCTGCAATGGACAACGCGCCCTTTTCCCCAATATTGTTCCCCGTCAAGAACAGCGTTCGTAAATGATAGTTACCTGCGATGGCCTTCATAGCTAATCCACCACAGCCATCGTCTCCGATTCCATTGAAGCACAGATCCAACACAGCTAATGCTCTATGATCCAGCTTTCCGTCTGCTTCGATGCATAGCGCGTTTGCAATACAGTGCGCCCCGACATCGCCAAGATCGTTGTACCCCAGTTTGAGCACAGATAGCCTTGGGTTTCCCAATATCACCTGTTCAATGAGGGCTACATCGTTTACCCCAAGGCCCCGCCTTGCCATATCAATCTGTCGAATTGCACGTTGATCGTTAGACACAAGCACCTCACGACTCGAGTCTTCCATGCTTGGACTAATCTCGTTTCTAATACTCCGAATGCACTTACCACCGATAAAGTCCCTCTTACAGAAACTTCTGATAATCTTGATAATAATAACCCCTTTTTCCGATGTGCAATAACTGCATACTCCAGATCTGGGCTTACGGTCTCGTTCTCGGCATCCATTTGCTCGTGCTGGGGTCCACTTTCGGTGGAGCTGACTGATGAATCGGAATCATCTAAATCGGAGGTGGCATCAGAATCAAAGCTACTACCGGAACTGACAGAGCCATCGTCATCAGAACCTGATTCCGAATCTGAATCATCCTCTGCTTGATCATCTCCATCTTCTTCCATTCTGGTGGCTGGGCGTTTCTTCTTCTCTCTGACATGTTGTTGTTTTCATCTATTCTGTTGTTGGGGTGGCAGCAGCAGCAGCTTTAGATTGAGCAGCAAGCTTGGCCGCATAGGCAGCGGCGCCTCTGAGCTGGCCAGGTGGAGGTGTTGACGCATCAGCTACAGCCTGTATATTGTGGCGTATCCCTGTCCCAGGAGGCGGTAAGGGTAGCCCCGCTGCAGCTCCTCTGGGTTTCCCTGTTGAGGGCGTCGATACATCTGATGCTGCTTGCACATTGTGTCGAATTCCAGTCCCAGGAGGCGGAAGTGGTAGCATAATTCGGCTGCGGTTGCTGGGCTTAGCTCCATTATTACCAGTGTTGGCAGATGCAGCATTCACAGCCTTGGCATTCACTCCATTGATAGGGGCTGCTGGCGGTGGAGCTGCCGCGTGTGCTGCTGTGTTAGCAGATGGGGTAGCATTGGCGGATTGTCCGCTGCTAGCAGCGTGTGTGGGAGGTGGTGTCGCCTCTGGACTGGCCTTGCTTGTCACGAGTCTGTTGCGCTGTTGTTGCATATCATTTAAAGCCGCATGCATGCTGATGACGCAGCTCTTGCCACTCATATGGGACAGCCACTTCTCAGGCGCTGATCGAGTAGGAAATAGCCAAAGCTATCCTATGAGTGGTACAACTAGTCCCTGCCTTCGCTTCGGGAGGAGTGATGCGTAGGTTGTCGCGTCTTCAGACTACCCAACCCTTTCGTTTCCCTCAATCAAAGCTTGCCCGAGCCAATCAAGAGAGTGGCATCAAGCAAGACGAGAGATAATATAGCTACTGATAACACTCTAGAAGGGAACACAGTCGGTGATACCAGCGCCACGACTTTGTCCATCCAAGTTCGTTTGGTATGATAATTTCTTCTGAGCGACAGCACGGAGCCTGTTTGGTGTGTGTGTGTGTGTGTTGGGGTGAGCAATAGGGTTACCGATAGCGACCGTAGTGATGCGTGATGCGTGTTTTGGCCTGGCGGGAAGCAGCCAATAGAAACAATCGCCTAATATCACTGTCAAAACACTGTTCATAGATTTAAGAACCAGATTGAGCTCAATAATGAAATGTTTGTAAACTACAAGTAGCTTTAGCCTCACAGCCCCACAACCCACAGCCCCACACAACCAAGAACCAGAGCTCTGGAATTGCTTCAATAATGATGTGTGTAGGGGAGGGATGATGCTGATCATCCAGCAAGCTGCTCCTCGAATGACTAAATGTGGTAGGGTTAGATGCAATTCTTGAAGGATATATATCATCCCTGGCCCAGCCCTATCTGGCAACAATCTAGAGCAACAAACGGCACTAAATTATTTCAAGTCAGTTGAGTGCTGGCTTCGCCTACAACCTTTAGAAAAACTAAACCTGAGGACCCACCAGCCCGACAGGCTTGGCATCAAGAAAGGCGAGTTTTGCAGCTAGCCTTACAGTCGATTGCAATGTACGCTGCGTTGCAAAGCAACTAACGCCTGCGACTATTTGAAAGACTCATCCTGGCCAGCAAGTCGGTACTAATAGTACTCTAGAGTACCACCTGTTGATGGCACCAGGCTACGAATTCTAAAAAAGAGTTTCAGGTACATGTAGTCTATTGGAGTGTTGTCCATAGAGTTGGAGCTTCGTGTTTTGCTCTCCTCTCCATAAATCAAACCATCCTCTATCTCCCAAAGCCAGCTGATGGCCCTTTAAAACCTTGCATAGTTGAGGCAGGGTCATAGTAAATGGAACAAAAGCTACTGACGTACGAGCCATACGTCATTGTGAGTGAACATACTACAATGATAGCCGCGTGTAAAAGCATATTACGGGATTGCGCTTTCTGACCATCTATTCCGACAGCACATTGAAATTATTGCCGACCACGGAACGGCAGTGCCGGAGCAGTACATGTAAAAGTTCCCAGTCTGTCGTGTCGTGTGTGGTCTGATGACTTGACCCGACTCGACTCTCACTCTGACCGGACATGAGCTACCAGGAGTCGAGTCAGAGTCGAGTGAGATCCTCAACCGAGCTATCACAGCATTCAGGGCCCCCTGCTAGCCTGCACCCCCTTTGAAAGGACCAGTGCCCATACCGGTACCGTTCGGGTGATGCGGCACATGTACGTACCCAGCTAGCTAGAGNNTACATGACAAAACATATGAATACAATAAAATGGAGAATGCTACCCAACTGACGGCAAATTGGAAAATCGGTGATTCCCCAACAGCGCAAGCTAGCGGGCTAGTAGCAGTAGACGTTTGCTTCGTTGCCCTCAGGGAGGGGCAGCCGGCAGCAAGCAAATGCCCCGCCCCCTTTTTTGCCTCTATCTTCCCTCCAGCTTGCTCAGGGTTTTTGGCAGCCTTTGTGAGATTCGGCACCAACTCTTGGCCGAATACACCATGCTTTCGCTATCTAGATGGCCCGGGGCAAAGCTTTGCTCACATACGATCCAGAGTGCAGAACCATCATCTATAAAGCAACCCTGCCACGCATCAAACATTGAGGCACCCATTGGCTAGTTCAGCAACCGCACTCCCTGATATGCCGTACTCAAGGTCGTTTGGCTCAGTGTCATCCGTGGCTTCAATCTCGTTGGAGCACAGCACGCACTCTCTGCGGGCAGCGTTGCAAAACAAACTGTAGCAATCGGAGGGCTCGTCACACGATTCCTCCAGGCCAACGGGTTCGGCACAGATTTGGTTCTCACATCGCAAAGAGAGACAATCACTATTGTCCACACACTCGTCACCATTCTCCTTGCGGGCCACACATTGATTTATACCTCTATCTTTCTTGCAGCGCCCATCAAAGCAATCCGCATCTTTCCCACATAGGGCGCCTTCCTGGATTGTAAAAGTGCAACGCCTTGGATTCAAAGTGCAACGCCCAGAACGACACTCGGCATCCTCGTCGCATGATTCTTCTTTACCTCGTAAGGGCAAACAGGAACTGGCTTCACTGCAGTAGCCTTCGTCGCAGTCCTCGTGTACGAGGCAAGCGCTGCCGGGCGGTTCTTGGACAATACACACATCACTGCTGCATCGTCCAGACGCACAAGCCTGGTGACTGTCACAAGGTGAACCTGTCTGCTTTTGAGGCTCACATATGCGGTTCACGCTACAATAGCCAGAAGAACACTGGAAATTGGCTCGGCAGGGGGATTCGTCCGGTCGAGGAACTGGTTTTGGGAGTTCTGAAAGGGATGGTGGAATCGTCGGGGGGAGAGTTGGAACGGGAGTAGGTGGGGACGCTGGACAGCTCAGATTCGGTGGCGGACTTGGTGGTGGCTGCGGCGTCAACGAGATCGTCGCGGACTCAGCCGCCAGGCATTGGGTCGAATCTGCAAAGCCCTCCACACAGGATCCTTCGCAAGAGCCGGTCCCTGTTTGTGAAAAGCAAGTGGAATCCAAAGAAGTCTCACTGAAGACAGCCGTTTCAACGTTCCCACACCGGTCTGCCAAAACGATTTTCGTGGCTTTGGCGACTGAATCCTCACTAGCAATGTAGTTGCCTTCTCCGCTAAAGGTTGAGTCGGCCGAGACGAATGCCGGTGTCGCAACTCTCCCTCCATGGATACAAGACTGGACAACTTGGATGTGACTGCCACAGATCGCGAAGTAAACAGCCTGTTTTGATGGATGCATTGAAAGGAAGCATTTGTTGCTCATCCGTTAGATCCGATTCGATTCAGGTACAGCCAGCGTGGGTACCGGTACAGTACAGTACAGTACGCATTCACTTACACTAAAGGAGGTGATGTCAGAGACTTGCAATCTCATGACGTTCATGGATCCTCCATCTTCTGCCATTGCAATGTTGCTCAACAGGTCAGGTGGCTGTTACGAACAATACCAAAATTTGAGTGTCAGGTGTGAATTTATGCAGTCTCTGTTGCGCGATGCAGATCGTTGTCTGTCCTGCTTACGCTTGTTCCAACAACATCAGAGACGACAGCGTCGATCACACCGACGTCAGCACCTCTACTGGCACTGAACACTCGCTGGGGGGGATAGTGTACCGGTATGAGGGAAGGGCGGAACAAAATCAGTGCGTGTTGTCCACAGTCCAAGGAGAATGATGAATCACTGCTCCTGCAATGCACTTTTCTTGCAAACTTACATCCATGCCATCATTTTGAGATACGAGGACATTGGTCAGCGTGGCTGTGCTTTCCTCCGTTGCTATGAGAACATTGAAATTGCGAGACGTTTGGGTTTGCATAAAGGCATCAGCAAGTCTATTGTTGACCACTTGGACATCCCTGGCCGCCAGACCACTTCCTGTTCCCTCGACGAAGAAGACACTTCCGAGAGAATTCATCTCAGATACCACGATTTGGCTAGCAGTCAGATACGAGCCAATTTCGGTGGTCTCTGTCACGCGCTTTTAAGAGAGAAATTGGAACCATAGTCAATAATACTTTCTGCCGTACTTCAAGATTCTGCAACCACAAGGGACTTACCACAAGATCAGCCATGGTGACATTCATGTTGGTCAACGTACTCTCCCCACCATCTGCCACGGAGATGCAGGAAAAGGCCATGTATGAGTGACATGCTGCCATCATGTGGGCGAGACACGCCATTTCCTGGACTTACCTGTGGTATGAACTACCGAGGGTGCCCGAACGCCCTCGCCAATGACAAGCCCATCCACCGCGAGAGTACCTCCGGCGTTGTAAAATATGGGATTGGCAAATTGCCCTTCCCGAACAGTACCACTATTGATTACGACGTTGGTTCCAGTGCCAACTCGAACGGCCCAGCTTGCAGAGTCTGCAGTCGTCCACCAGCGGGCGTCGTTGAAAGTGATTGTGGAAGGTCCGAGAACCTGGATGGTCTCATTGTTGAATTCCGCAAAGGTGAGGCCCTGAAATGTGACCTTCATGTCAGCAGTGGTAGTACTTTCATAAACCATGACTTGAACATCACCACCTTCCAAAACACAGAGCTCTTGGTTGGAACCATTATAACCGCATACAAACGTAGCTTCCGGCAACACCACTTCCAACATTTCTTGCTCTATCAAGTACTTGAATGAGTTGCAGAGAGGGAACACATAGGGCGTCCGAGGGGCTTCTCCGCTGTCGATACGCTCAAGTTCCGAACGCTGATCGATGTTGACATCAATAATGTGCCTGTAGCCGATCTGGAGGGGATCATCTGGGCAAGGTCCGGCACGTTCGTTGACTTGATTGGCAAAGTAGAGCTGTCCTTGTGCACGAACTGTGGACAATAGCAATGGCAACAGCAAGATTAGCAGCAGCTCTTCATTCTTCCAACCTCGTTTCTGGTACTTCATGATGGTGTCCTCCGGGTTTTAAAATTTCAATTCAAACACGACTGAATGCCAAAAACGGTGAAACTGCCATTGGCGAAAGCCAAAAGGGTGAAACTAACCCAAAAACGGTGAAACTAACAACCTTAGTTTCCCGTTCACAAAAGCGTGAAACTACACCAAAAGCGTGAAACTAAAAAAAAGCGGAAACTAAACAAAAAGCGTGAAACTAACCCAAAAGCGTGAAACTAAGAAGGTGAAACTAACCGAAAGCGTGAAACTAACCGAAAGCGTGAAACTAAAGCGTGAAACTATGGAAAGCGTGAAACTAAGGAAAAGCGTGAAACTCCCACTTACCAACACTACATGACAAAACATATGAATACAATAAAATGGAGAATGCTACCCAACTGACGGCAAATTGGAAAATCGGTGATTCCCCAACAGCGCAAGCTAGCGGGCTAGTAGCAGTAGACGTTTGCTTCGTTGCCCTCAGGGAGGGGCAGCCGGCAGCAAGCAAATGCCCCGCCCCCTTTTTTGCCTCTATCTTCCCTCCAGCTTGCTCAGGGTTTTTGGCAGCCTTTGTGAGATTCGGCACCAACTCTTGGCCGAATACACCATGCTTTCGCTATCTAGATGGCCCGGGGCAAAGCTTTGCTCACATACGATCCAGAGTGCAGAACCATCATCTATAAAGCAACCCTGCCACGCATCAAACATTGAGGCACCCATTGGCTAGTTCAGCAACCGCACTCCCTGATATGCCGTACTCAAGGTCGTTTGGCTCAGTGTCATCCGTGGCTTCAATCTCGTTGGAGCACAGCACGCACTCTCTGCGGGCAGCGTTGCAAAACAAACTGTAGCAATCGGAGGGCTCGTCACACGATTCCTCCAGGCCAACGGGTTCGGCACAGATTTGGTTCTCACATCGCAAAGAGAGACAATCACTATTGTCCACACACTCGTCACCATTCTCCTTGCGGGCCACACATTGATTTATACCTCTATCTTTCTTGCAGCGCCCATCAAAGCAATCCGCATCTTTCCCACATAGGGCGCCTTCCTGGATTGTAAAAGTGCAACGCCTTGGATTCAAAGTGCAACGCCCAGAACGACACTCGGCATCCTCGTCGCATGATTCTTCTTTACCTCGTAAGGGCAAACAGGAACTGGCTTCACTGCAGTAGCCTTCGTCGCAGTCCTCGTGTACGAGGCAAGCGCTGCCGGGCGGTTCTTGGACAATACACACATCACTGCTGCATCGTCCAGACGCACAAGCCTGGTGACTGTCACAAGGTGAACCTGTCTGCTTTTGAGGCTCACATATGCGGTTCACGCTACAATAGCCAGAAGAACACTGGAAATTGGCTCGGCAGGGGGATTCGTCCGGTCGAGGAACTGGTTTTGGGAGTTCTGAAAGGGATGGTGGAATCGTCGGGGGGAGAGTTGGAACGGGAGTAGGTGGGGACGCTGGACAGCTCAGATTCGGTGTCGGACTTGGTGGTGGCTGCGGCGTCAACGAGATCGTCGCGGACTCAGCCGCCAGGCATTGGGTCGAATCTGCAAAGCCCTCCACACAGGATCCTTCGCAAGAGCCGGTCCCTGTTTGTGAAAAGCAAGTGGAATCCAAAGAAGTCTCACTGAAGACAGCCGTTTCAACGTTCCCACACCGGTCTGCCAAAACGATTTTCGTGGCTTTGGCGACTGAATCCTCACTAGCAATGTAGTTGCCTTCTCCGCTAAAGGTTGAGTCGGCCGAGACGAATGCCGGTGTCGCAACTCTCCCTCCATGGATACAAGACTGGACAACTTGGATGTGACTGCCACAGATCGCGAAGTAAACAGCCTGTTTTGATGGATGCATTGAAAGGAAGCATTTGTTGCTCATCCGTTAGATCCGATTCGATTCAGGTACAGCCAGCGTGGGTACCGGTACAGTACAGTACAGTACGCATTCACTTACACTAAAGGAGGTGATGTCAGAGACTTGCAATCTCATGACGTTCATGGATCCTCCATCTTCTGCCATTGCAATGTTGCTCAACAGGTCAGGTGGCTGTTACGAACAATACCAAAATTTGAGTGTCAGGTGTGAATTTATGCAGTCTCTGTTGCGCGATGCAGATCGTTGTCTGTCCTGCTTACGCTTGTTCCAACAACATCAGAGACGACAGCGTCGATCACACCGACGTCAGCACCTCTACTGGCACTGAACACTCGCTGGGGGGGATAGTGTACCGGTATGAGGGAAGGGCGGAACAAAATCAGTGCGTGTTGTCCACAGTCCAAGGAGAATGATGAATCACTGCTCCTGCAATGCACTTTTCTTGCAAACTTACATCCATGCCATCATTTTGAGATACGAGGACATTGGTCAGCGTGGCTGTGCTTTCCTCCGTTGCTATGAGAACATTGAAATTGCGAGACGTTTGGGTTTGCATAAAGGCATCAGCAAGTCTATTGTTGACCACTTGGACATCCCTGGCCGCCAGACCACTTCCTGTTCCCTCGACGAAGAAGACACTTCCGAGAGAATTCATCTCAGATACCACGATTTGGCTAGCAGTCAGATACGAGCCAATTTCGGTGGTCTCTGTCACGCGCTTTTAAGAGAGAAATTGGAACCATAGTCAATAATACTTTCTGCCGTACTTCAAGATTCTGCAACCACAAGGGACTTACCACAAGATCAGCCATGGTGACATTCATGTTGGTCAACGTACTCTCCCCACCATCTGCCACGGAGATGCAGGAAAAGGCCATGTATGAGTGACATGCTGCCATCATGTGGGCGAGACACGCCATTTCCTGGACTTACCTGTGGTATGAACTACCGAGGGTGCCCGAACGCCCTCGCCAATGACAAGCCCATCCACCGCGAGAGTACCTCCGGCGTTGTAAAATATGGGATTGGCAAATTGCCCTTCCCGAACAGTACCACTATTGATTACGACGTTGGTTCCAGTGCCAACTCGAACGGCCCAGCTTGCAGAGTCTGCAGTCGTCCACCAGCGGGCGTCGTTGAAAGTGATTGTGGAAGGTCCGAGAACCTGGATGGTCTCATTGTTGAATTCCGCAAAGGTGAGGCCCTGAAATGTGACCTTCATGTCAGCAGTGGTAGTACTTTCATAAACCATGACTTGAACATCACCACCTTCCAAAACACAGAGCTCTTGGTTGGAACCATTATAACCGCATACAAACGTAGCTTCCGGCAACACCACTTCCAACATTTCTTGCTCTATCAAGTACTTGAATGAGTTGCAGAGAGGGAACACATAGGGCGTCCGAGGGGCTTCTCCGCTGTCGATACGCTCAAGTTCCGAACGCTGATCGATGTTGACATCAATAATGTGCCTGTAGCCGATCTGGAGGGGATCATCTGGGCAAGGTCCGGCACGTTCGTTGACTTGATTGGCAAAGTAGAGCTGTCCTTGTGCACGAACTGTGGACAATAGCAATGGCAACAGCAAGATTAGCAGCAGCTCTTCATTCTTCCAACCTCGTTTCTGGTACTTCATGATGGTGTCCTGAGTGAAAGTAACAACAGTCGTCTTCTATTCCCTGTTAGAACACACTTGGAATGGGCTTCATTCGAGAGCCATCACGGAAGCATCCTGCGAAAGATCCGGGCGAAAGGACGAAAGGGCCCGAAATGGCGATTTACACCAAATTATACTTGTGTTTCGATTTTATATTTAGGTTTCAGTTTTATATTTTGGTTTCGATCTTATATTTTGGTTTCGGCTTGATTTTACTAGTTAATTACCATAGTAATTTGGTTTCGAATTTATATTTAGGTTTCGATTTTATATTTAGGTTTCGGTTTTATATTTAGGTTTCGAATTGATCAATTTGGTTGGATTCATAAAATCGTGATTTCCGGCCCTTTCGACGGAAAAGTGTGGTGTTTTAAAAATTCAGTGGTGTTTGCCCAAATGTTTCATCAAAAATACAGTTTTTCGGCGAAAAACCCTGTTGGCTTTCATCTGTGCTGGTCTGTAGGCTGAACTGGCAACAGCTCTGGTCAACAGCTAGTCTAGCTACCGGTAGCCAGAGCAATGGGATTTTAGAACCCTCCAAAGCACAGCTCGGTTGTGGTGTGGTGATCCAGCATCTTTGGCGCTGCCTTGTGCCATACTAGTACGGTGTACGGTACCGTAAATACCCGCCCCCCCAAACAAACAACAGTTTCCACAGAACATCGGATCAATACTACATCGAAGAGCAACCTGCCTACCGGTTGTGCTAGTACCAGTACCTGGTAACATGTTTTGACGGGATTAGTCACCACTATACAGCGGCCTGTCTCCTCCGTCAAGTAGCTATATCTCTGTTCTGGCGGCTTTTGTTCTGAGGTGCTGCCTAGCTACGGTAGGAGATTAGGCGCCAGATTTCGATTTCGGCAATGGTACTATTGTGCAGGAACGTTGTACATGTCGGTACCGGTACCGGTACGTCTAGCTAGTACGCCAACACTGTTTCCAGACAGTGGCTCTGGATTGCCAGGCATGGTTGTTCTGGTCGTCTTCCTCGATTCCCAGAAGCGAAGGATCTGTCTTCAGGCTCCTTTCCTTCTTGCTGGCTGTCAGCCGATATGATGGAAAAAGGAACCGACTATTGTACAGGTCTATCGACGTCTGCTGGCATTGGAATCTTGACGAGCAGCTGATGATGATGAAATCGCATGATTGATGGCAACCAGAACAGAACAAAAAGGAACGAAACGTCGTTTCCTCGCTCCGCGCCATCCAAACTAAACCCTTAACTCTTTAAGGGGAGGTGCGCGTCCACCACTTCCTCTTCACAACAGCAACAGCAACCATCGACAACAGCTGCAATAATAACAAAACAAAGCAAACCTGTGTCGGGGGAGAAAGCCCGATCGAGTCGAGGCAACAACATCTACAAGAAGAAGAGCCCTTTGACGCTTACCATACGGTAGTCCAGGCAGCTAGTAGTAGGAGAGCACCACAGCCACTAAAGAGGAATCAAAGTTTTCTTTGAGAGCGATACAACAAGGAATCCAGTAGCAATCGAATCAAGATGGAGGGTGATGACAATAGTAAGGGCATGATGGACAACGATGAAGTCAGTATCAAGGAAGAGGAGGTGGCTCTAATGGACGCAGAGGACAATAGTGGTCGCAAGCTTGACATGAACAACAGCAACACGTCCTTGGACAAGTACGTTGGAAAAGGGAGGAACTCCAAGTACATGACTCTTCTTCCAGAGGACTTCGAACCTGGCGACATGGATGTTCTGTGTGGTAGAGGAAAGCGTTGTTTCAATAGCCCAGTGAGTTGCCGTGTTTCGGAGGAACTGTAGAGAGGGATTGGATCATGTAATGTGATGACTGACTTGTGTTGGGCTGTCAATCAAATCTGTTTTACAGGGAAATCAACGCTTTCGAAAGCTTGTGGCTGCTCGTGCGGAGGATTACGCCGCAGCTACGACTCGAACGGACAAGACCTTCATTGTCTGTTCCATTGTCTCTGAAATTCGCAAGGCCAGTCCCAAAGGAGGGTTTGTCAAGAAGGATTCGACGACAGGACGCTGGTACGAAGTGGGGGACTTTAACGCTCACGAAAAGACGTCTCAGATGTTCCGTGACGTCCTGCATGAGAATTACTTGTCTTCCAACAAGTCAAAGAAGAAGCGTCGAGACTTATTTCGAACAAATTCCAAGAGGCGTGCCATTATGCAGCAGCAACAAGCTGCCAAGACAATCAATGCCTCGGCAGGACGATTCATCAGAGGAAATGGAGTTGCTAGGCATCACTCTTATGGATCTGTCAAGCGTGAGTTAGGCTAGCTAGGACGGGGGGGAAACAGCTTTTGGTCGGCCACACCAGCATCTTGTCCCAAAAGTTGGTTTATTCTGACTCTCTCACAAATTGAAATTTTACTTGTCCTTGTTTGATTTGACAGGAGCTCACCAACAATACAACCTGATGAACATGAGGCAGTCCAGCGGTCAGAGTGTACACAGCGGGCATGAATCCTGGCAGAATTCATGGCAATCAGGGGACGGTATAAATTCAGAGCCTGGGATTATGCTGTCGAATAATCCACGGGTGGCTTTTGCAGGAAGACGCCAAAATTCTTTGGGAGACCTTCAGATGGGAGCAGAATTCAACAACTCCTTTGGAGAAGTCCAGCCACAGGACTTTCACAACTCCTTTGGAGAGTTCAACACGGACATTGTGAACTCGGGAGGAGGAATGAACCAAATTGGCCACAACTCGTGCGTGGAATTCCCAAGCTCCTTTGTGGAAAACCCCAAGAACAACGTTACGGCACAAGATTTCCACAATTCTTTCGGTGGATTCAACACCAACAACGGAGAATTCAATATCAATCAAGACGACCTTCACAATTCCTTTGGGGAGCTTCCGTTGCGAAACAAGTCACCCTTTGGAAACAACAACAATGGGGGATACCGTAATGGAAACAACTTCAGTCCCAACCCCGAGCTGGAACCCCAGTACGCACTCGCACCCGATTCCGTTCCTCTATCCATTTCGGTCCCAGAAGGTACCCGCAGTGGCAATAACGAAATGCAAACGGAGCAACAACAGTTTCAGTTGGAGTTTGAAACCGACGAAAATTCTGGCAGCCACAATCGTTCACGAGGTAGAGTTCCGTTGCCGGTATCTAGCGGTCATCCTGGAATTTCGCAACCTCCAAGAGAAATGGGTGACTTGAGCCTCTTGGATGCCTTGGAAGGAGCATATAATACGAATCAGCCCAACGTCGACGACAATCCCTTTGAACCTGTTCCCCTCCCCAATGTACATCCAGGCGGCGTGTATCAGGCGTAAGGTGCTCGCCAGAACCAGTCAAAGAAGTACCAAACGACAGACCAATCTTCAATGAGCCGGCGCGGCTTGCTATCATGGGTATTCTTCATAACTGTTACTGGACGACTCCCTTGGACGGGCAGACAACTCAATGAGTTAGCTTGGGTCTACGCGGAGTCCGTCAGCAGAACCGAGGCACTGTGATAAAGGTCTTGTGTCACGGGTTTTTGCAACTGGACGAACAGCGGGAAATAATTTCGGGGGTGGAATACTCGTACTCTTGGCATCAAATTGTTCAATAATAATAGATTTGCATCGAAGATACTTGTTCGTTTTTAAAATTTAGTGTCCGTGTAAAATGACGCAATTGCATTGGTTGGTTGCTCTTGTGTACTGAGGATGGAAGACAATATGGAGTGTCGAATTTGATCACGTTTGGCTCTTCACCACAGACAGCAGGGTCCACCGGCGAATTGTTTCGATTCGATGGGTTGGGTTGGCGGAATCCGCGCAGTTGAGCCTGGGATCCACCCGCACGCACTGGTATTGTTGACGTTTCTATCGATGCCATGTCATGACGGCAAAATTCACCTCGGATGAAGCCACCCCAACAAAACAATATTGGTACGGTACTGGTAGGCAGATAGCCACTTCGCTACAGACACCACTTTCTAAAAGGTTTCTATTATTGAATCGGAGGAAATTCTCGAGCTTGAAAGGTCGTCGACGCGAAGGGATCGTCGTCTTTCATATCATCTTCTTTTCGTTTCCAGACGTACGACACCTTGACTCGCTTCTTGTGACCCGCAAGTCGTATCCCAGTCTCCGAGGCCCTCGCGATGACATCACTGGCCAAAGCAGCGCTAGGCATGTGTACCATGCAGGATCCGTAGAATGAATGAGTCTCCTGATCCCTCAGCCAATGGACACGAATGGAATTGTGTTGCTTCTGTTTCTTCGTGCTGATCACAGTCTCTGTTTCCACTGGTATCAACGCCTGTTGGATCTTGGTGACTGTTGCCGTCAATGGCAATCGCGAAAGGAACAGTCGATCCGAGTATCGTTCTCGACTATCGTGTTTTCCTTTCTTGGCCGGTCGCATATTATTTGTTGTGTCCTTTTCGCCGCCGGATCCCGCGAGTACCTTTTCTTCCGCCTTTCGCTTGATTTTGGCTAAATCGGGTTGTGCTGCCCGAGGACGGTAGTTTTCACGACACAAGTCACATTGAAGCGATTGTGGGTTTTCGGTAGCGTGGGTTGTACAATGAGTGCAAACAATGACCGGGACTCCACATAGTTTGGAGGCGCAACTGTACTGTCCTCTGTAGACCGTCCATTTGCGGTGGCACACGCAGCATACGGAATCAATCTCCCTCTCCACATCCTCCATGGATCTTCCTTCTGGGATCTGTTCCATTCGACTAAATAAATGATGTAGTAGCGTGAAATTCGTGAGCCGTCAAATAACTGATGAGGGGAACAACCACATCACTGGACAGCCTAAGAAATAAACGAACGTACCGATCAAACAAGTAATTCTTCCCTCTCCAAAATCCACCTTGTGGGAAGGTTTTAACGTAACGTTCAATGCCGCCTCGTAACTCGTAGACCCCCTTGGGTTTGCACGCAAAGGAAGGATCGGCATCCTCGGATGATTTTGGCTCGTCATTATTCTTTGCATGGTCTGTCTTTTGATTCTCGTTCTCGTTCTTTTCATTGTTGTTATCTTCCGAGGCTGTCACCATTTGATTCAAGAGCGCCGTGGCTCTTTCACAGCGAATCCCTCCCGTGCAATACATGAGTACCTTTTTCCCATTCAGTTCCTTTTGCGTGTCCGGATCCACCAGCCATCGACTAAACTCTATACTGTTGCGTAGCTTGGGATCCACCAACTTGGCGCCTCCCGGTGGTGGATTGAATGCCCCCAATGCGGTTTCATAAAAGTTTCGAACATCCACAACGACAGCATCAGGATCCTGCAATGCTTCATGGTACTCATTGGCTTCCAAATGTGTCCCCTGAAAGTGCGTCAAGGAAGGAGCCACAGCATCACCCTTCAAGCCGTATGCCACCAATTCTTCCGTCTTGCGTACACTGAGGCTCTTGAATTGTTTTGATTTGGGAACACGATCCGTGATTTTAAAGTCGGTTTCCCAAAAGAGTTTGTCGAATTCCCGCAATCCTTGACACACTTGACGCATGCCTCGAGAATTGCCGGTCAGAGTACAGTTCATCCCCTCTGGAGCTACTCGGCCTCTTCCCGTGATTTTATTTTGCTGACACAGTTCCATTAACTTGCGCAAGGCGCGTCGATGTTGGGAAGACGTCCACAAGGGTTCGACGTATTGATAGAACAGGAGGACCGAGACGCCATCCTTTTCTTCGCTGTAGTCGGGTGGAAGAGGGGGCAACTCGCGGTGAGACGTTGCTTTGGCATTTTCTACCACCGCTCCATCTTTTCCTCCTTGTGGGTTTTTTGTGGATCTACTGTCACTTTTGGTTGTTGTCATGGTCTCAATCGAATACGGTTGTACCGTTCTTGTGTTGACTTGCATGTTGTCCCTCCTCTTTGTTCGACTTGCCACCAACCACTCGTTTTGGATCCTTGCACGCACGAATGAGTTATTTTTCAATTAAGGCTGAGGATACAATAAAAACCGTCGACAATGGACGGCACAACGGCATCACCGCAACCTCTCGAAGTGTCATCTCAATCAGCCCTGCCTCTTGGTCCTTTACTCATCATCGTGGTAAAGAACCAATAATAATCACTACTATTAGTATTATTGAACCATGGTACGAGTATTCATCAAAGGAGGCGTCTGGAAGAACAGCGAAGATGAGATTTTGAAGGCGGCAGTTCAAAAGTACGGCAAGCAGCAATGGGCTCGAGTAGCGTCGCTGCTCAACAAGAAGAGCGCCAAGCAGTGCAAGGCACGATGGCATGAATGGTTGGACCCGTCTGTGCGCAAGGTAGAATGGAGCCGCGCCGAAGAAGAAAAGCTCTTGCATTTGGCAAAACTCATGCCAGCTCAATGGAAGACCATTGCACCCTTGGTCGGACGAACAGCGGCACAGTGTCAAGAACACTATGAACAACTATTGGATCAAGCGGCGGGTGGAGAAGACTCTTCGTCGGCGGCGGCTTCTCTTCGAGGCTTTCAACCCGGACAGATTGATTCTCATCCCGAAACCAAACCAGCGCGACCCGATCCCATTGATATGGACGAAGATGAAATTGAAATGTTGCAAGAAGCGCGTGCCAGATTGGCCAACACACAGGGTAAAAAGGCCAAGCGAAAAGCGCGAGAAAAGATGCTAGCTCAAGCCAAACGATTGGCGGATTTGCAAAAGCGACGAGAACTCAAACAAGCTGGTTTGCTGAGTAGTGCTGCTCGCAAAAAGGCCAAGCGAAAATCACGGGATATTGATCTCGGGGTAGAAATTCCATTTCATAAACCGGCGCCGGCTGGATTTCATGATACATCGTCGGAAGCGGCTCGGGGTGAAGTGATTCGGCAAAAGCGCCTCAAACAGGTCGATTTTAAACAAGTCAATGAAAATCAGTACAGGACCAGAGATCGGGAAGCGGCACAGGCAAAGAAGAAAGAACAAAGGCGTCAAATGGCATTGCAAAAGAGCTCCATGCAGTATGTCGTCCAGCAAGTCAGCAAGAAGAACGATCCTCTACAGACACAAAAAAGAGGAAAGCTGGAATTGCCGGCACCGGCCGTCAGCGATAAGGAACTTGGACAGCTGGCCAAGTACCAAGCCAATCAGCTCGCAGGAGTCGAACCTGGTGGAGATCCGTCGTCGGCGACACATGCCTTGTTGGGGGATTATGCCGACCGTCCATTGCCAACACCCATGAGGACACCAGCCACTGGATCAGGTATGACGACTCAAGAATCCATCTTGAAAGAAGCTTCCAAGCTGCGCAAATTGGAACAGGTACAAACGCCACTTCTGGGAACCAGCGTACCAGTGGAGACTGTTGAAGACGAGGAGGACGATGATGAGGACGACGATGCTGCCGTGTCCACAAAGACTCCGCGACTTGGTGGTGGTGCGTCTACGGGAACTCCAGCTCCTAATCGTGCCGGATACAGTCAAACTCCTTCTGTCGCTGCTCCTCGAGACGAATTGGGACTCAATCGACGTTTTGGTGGCCCCGATGATGCCTCTGTGGGGGCATCTACCTTTGCCTCTACATTTGCCACCTCGGCCATGTCGATTAAGGAAATGGCGCGGGAAGAACGCCGTGCAGCCAAGCGAGCTCGATTGGAGTTGGAGCAAGCCCTTGCTGCGTTGCCGGCACCCCAATTCGAATACGAACTCTCCATGCCTCAGGAGGATGACATGGACGTTGATGGTGCAAGGGTGGAGACAGTGGAACCCGATGCTGCAGATGTGGAAGCAGCTGAACTGGAACGGCTCAGGAAGAAAGCCGAAAAACTCTACGAAGCCAGATCCAGTGTTGTCAAGAGGAAAGATCTTCCTCGCCCAAAGGCACTCTCAGATGAAATATCCTACGCCGACGCTAAGGAGGAAGCGGAGCGTCTCATCCAAGAGGAAATGGTCCAACTGCTTCAGCACGATGCCCATGCATTCCCTGTGCTGTCGGTCGACGTGGCCGAAGAAGGAAAGAAGAAAAAGAAGAAGCGCAAACAGGAGGAAGTGGCAACAACAACACCAGAGGGTACGTCGGAGGTCCCAATAGATTACTTGCCTGAAGAATATTTGGATGCCGCAAAAGATTCTGTCCAGGTTGAATTCCAAAAGCAAATGGACGAAATGACGACATCGGCCATCAAGGATGAAAATGCGAAGAATCAAGCAGAGGCTTTGGCGTTTTTGGTAGATCAAAGTTGCAACAATAAAGGAGCACCGGAACATGTGTTTGTCAAGGGCGGATGGGCGTCCGCTGAGAAGGTGCTCGAAAGTCGGAAGCTGGAGTTTGAAACTCTCCAAGAGGCTGCCATGGTGTTGCGGAAGAAGAATGAAAAGGCAGAAGCTAAGTTGGGCGTCGTACATGGGGGCTACTCGAAACGTGCGGACAAGGTCTGTACAGAAACATTGCAGTGTTACAACGAACTGCAGAATGCCCGAATTGAAGAGGCTGTGTACCGCAAACTCCAGTCGCAGGAACTTGCTGGAGCTGCCAGTCGTATCGACAAGCTGAAGGAAGAAATCGAGTCTCTTGAAGCCGACGAGGCCCTTCTGCAGAAACGTTACAGCGACTTGCTAGTGCAGAAGAAGCGTCTTGGAATGAAGAGGAGGGCAACTGCATAGCTACTGGTTTACATCGTTCCAGAGAGAGGAATCACTGCTAATGCATTGTCCCAGAGTTAAATGTTCATAGCAATCTGCTGTTATATTGCTCTTATGTGTTGGGATTCTCTATAGTCTATCTTTTGACTCCTGATTTGTATCAACTCAATAGTTAGTTTTTTGATATTCGTTTTGTACGAGACTGTGTAGGCAGCTTTCGGCGGCCGTTGCACATCAAGAATATTATGGCCATCCAGTCACGCCAGCTGGAAGGACGTCAAACTTCCACTTCATCCAGTCACCATTTCCTTGGACATCTCGAGAGTAAAATGTTTCAAAACCAACGCGGGTTCTGGCCCATCTAGACGGATCCAGGTACCAAACGTAATCATCTCCATCTCGAAAAGTGATTCGAAGTTCCAACTCTCCAGAGGGAAGTCCTTTGTTCCCAAAATCTGTGTTTCCACTGTCGGGATCTTTGAGAAACCATTCATTACTTGAAGGCAATGTGATGGGTTCGTAGATGTTCGTTTCAATATAGGGATCGCAAGAGGTTGCAAAACACGGGAACGGTATGTAAGTATTGCCGTTGCTGATGATTCGAGGGCTCAACACCTTGATACCAGCACTCATATCAATAGTAGAGGCGGAGCGGATATACGTCAAAATCTCAATTTTGTGAAGGTTCATGAGCTCTTCTCGCGGTGCAGCGGGGTTCTCCGATGGCGAGGAAGTGACTCGAGTGGCAATTGTTGGCTGGGGTGAAGGAGGAGCAGTTGGATCTGGTGAGCTGGGGGGATGCGTAGGCCAGAGGGTTGGGTTGGCAGTGGACGAAGCATCAGTAGGGCTTTGAGTTGGTTCTCTTGTGGCTGGAGTCTCGGTCTCATTTGGCACCAGGTTTGCTGTTGGCGTAGCGGTTAGACGTCGGGATGGACTTGCCGTGACAGCTTCAATCGTCGGGCTACCGGTAGCCGTAGACGGGTGAGTGGTAGGCGGCATGGTTCTCTCTTGTGCAGTCGGACTCTTCGTCGGTAGCCCCCCTAACGAAGAAGGCGATGCTGTTGCGTCAGCAATTATTGACGGTGATGACGTGCGGAAAAGCGGAGATGTGGCTTGTCCTGTTGACAACTCTCCGACTGAAGGCTGTGTTGTCGACAATGACGACGATGTGCCTGGTTTTGGCGAGGTTGCCGAAGTAGGGCTCCCAGTACTTTGTGTCAAAGAGTCTGCATCTGAGGTTGATGAGTCTGGAACCAACGTTTTGGGCAGGAATTCGTTCGTCGTCGTGAACACGGGAGAGCGAGTTGGAGATCGTGTAGGACTCTGTGCCGCTGCTATCGAATTCAAATTGTTAGTTCCTAGTGCATTGGATGACCCGCTTCCTTTGAAGATTTGATCACGGAAAACAACTCCCACCAAAACACCCGCAATGGCGAGGCCGATTAGAATGATACATGTCAATCCAATGCAAACCCGACGCCGCAATCCTCGGTCTCTGTCATCAAGTTCCTCGTCCTTGAATTCATCCACCACACCGCCTTCTGCCGTGTATGTCTCTGCCCCGCCACTCCTGAATTCGTAGAGTCCCATGTCATGATTGTAGAATGCACCCTTTTGGTCGATGCCTGACTTGCGATACTGCTGCGCCTGTTGGCGGTGCCCGTGCGTGTCCATGTGATACAATCGATCCTTCTCCGCCGAGGCTCGCCCTTGCTGCTGATTCCAATAGACCATGGTATCTGTACTGGAGTCCACCATTCCAGCGGATGCAACGACTTCCTGGTTGGCCGAAAAGCCGTCCTCCATCAAGTGAGGCTGATACCTATCATCGCAGCTCTGCTCGTCGGAAAGTTGTTCGTACTGCTTTTGACCAGAGGACTGCTTTCGCAAGGATCTACACGTGGGAAAGAGAGGTGTTGGCTGATCGGATTCATCTTGCCCCCTCCAATGCTGACATCCTTGGTCGTGCCCAATCACGCGCCGGTTTGCTGGTGGCGGGGAAAGTGTTAGCAAGTCGGGAAGTTGATTGTGATGAAACTGAACTGCATTGGAAGAAGCTGACGTGGGTTCGTCCGAGAAGGTTTCATCGGTATCCTCGCATTGTTCCAAAAGAGCGAGGTTTCTTCCAGTCTTGTGAGTCTGAGTGGGATTGTGATGAGAGCTTGACCTAGCTTGGTAAGGATCCAAGGTCTCCCAATTGTTGTAGTAATCGGTGGCTCGCATCTTTGTCTTTGTCTTTCTCTTGGGACTGTGTCGAGGCATGGTTGGGTACTGTAATCCAACGGTACGGGTATTTCAGGGGATCGAAGAAAGTACGAGGTAGGAGCTAGTAGAAGTGTTGCAACAAGGGCAGAAGAAAATGCAGTTCTCAACTAAGCACTTTGTCTCTTCTTTTCCATCAACTAGCTGCGAAGTAGCGTCGCGGACTGCTTGATATTCTCACTTGCACAGTAGCTCTGGGATCTTGTAGAGAGTAGTTATGCTCACCGGCACACCCCTTTTCCAAGTTTGTGGGGATCTTGAGAGAAATGTGAGGAAAATTTCGCCCCCCGAGGATTTTTCTTTTGATCTTATTTCTAGTAAAAAGGCAAAATTTGCTTGTGAGGTGGCGCGGCGCAGCCCCGTGTGTAGATCGTGACTAAGAAATTGCATGAATGAGACTGACGTCAGAACGGGACGAAGAAACGGCAAGTGTCAGGATCGGAAGATAGCAAATCAACGCCCTCATCTGCACTTCTTTCTGATGAGATGATGATGAGCTTGATATCTGGCAGCAGAAGATAAGAGGCAACTACAATAGGATCTTTGGTGGCTTATCCACACGTTTAGGTTCCAGGAAGAAAGATTCAATTCGCAATGATGAGAAAGGCACTTGTCTTGGCCGCCTTGGTGGCGGTTCCCGACTTGACATTGGGGTTTCAACCGATCCATAGCGTATCGCCGGTCGGCAGGTCCAGTCCATGGCCAAAATCTTCCTGCAAGGGGGCCAGTAAACGCGAAGAAGGAAGCTCATCCCGGCATTCTTTTCCATTATATCAGTCACTACCTGATGGCAATGAACGGTCCAGTAATCTTCTCGGTTGTGACATTGACAGCCAAAGACGAAGACAAATCTTGTTTTCCATGCTCTACGGCTCGGCCGCTTTGAGTAGTTTTTCACCCAGTGCTGCCGTGGCAGAACCGATAACGGAATCAGACTCTCCTGCCGAGGGCACCGCAGACGATGGACCGATCAATATCCTAAGACCACCCAAAGACGACCGAGAGTACTTCACCTATACTCTCGACAATGGACTGAGGGTGCTCCTTTGTTCGGATCCATCCTCCAATGAAGCTGCGGCTGCAATGGATGTCCATGTTGGTGCCTGTTCAGATCCAGTCGATATTCCTGGTATGGCACATTTTACAGGTAAGCATTTGTAGATGTGCTTCCATCGAGTTTCGGGTTGGTGGATATGGATCTTACCTGAACTTGCTTCCTTGTTTTACCTTCTACGTGTTACCTCTACATTGGCTTGCCTGGCTTTTCATTAAACAGAACACATGAGCTTCCTGGGGAGCAAACCATATCCAAAGGAAGATGGCTTCTCCTCCTTCCTCTCTGCGAATGGAGGATCCAGCAATGCATATACAGACAGTGAAGATACCGTCTACTACTTTAGCATGGAGGCAGAAGCAGACGGCCGCCTTTCAGAGGGTCTCGATATCTTTGGGTCACTCTTCACGTCACCCCTCTTCACAGAAAGTGCCACTGGGCGCGAACTCAACGCCATTGAAAGTGAGAATGCCAAAAACCTTCAAACAGATTCCTTTAGAGCGTATCAGCTTACCAAATCAAGAGCCAATTCCGATCATCCATTCAGCAAATTCTTTACGGGCAACAAAAAGACACTGCTGGATGACACCAAGGCCAAGGGAATCAATTTGAGAAAAGAATTAATCAACTTTTACAATCGATACTACTCGGCCAACCAAATGTCATTGGCCATTGTTGCCCCACAACCAATCAACAAGCTGAAAGACATGGTAAAGAAGTCCTTCTCGGGCATTCCCAACAAGGATGTCGGCAAACCAGAAGAAGAATGGCGTGGCATTCCACCTTACAATGGCAATAGTGTTGTTCCATCCCTCCAAAGCGTGGTGGAAGTAGTACCTGTTCAGGATATTCGACAATTGGCACTTAGCTGGCCTGTCTTGTACCAATCGGAGGATGACAGGAGAGACGCGCTGTTGGAAAAACAGGCAAACTATGTTGCACATCTGATTGGCCATGAAGGTCCAGGTTCGCTTCTTTCTTACCTCAAGAGGAAGCAATGGGCCAACGCGTTGTCATCGGCAACTGAAACGGAGCTGGCGGACTATGAGACGTTCGAAGTTGTGGTCGGGCTGACGACGAGTGGATTGGCCAATGTGGAGAAAGTGGTAGAAGCAATCTTTTCATACATTAACATGCTCAGAGAGTCTCCAATCCCAGATTATGTCTTTCAAGAGGTCCTTCAAACCAACGAACTTGAATGGCGCTTCATGTCCAAAGGCAGCGCCGGAGGCTATGTCCAGTCTCTGGCACCTGCAATGCAAAAGTACCCGCCCAGTCTCGTCGTAGCTGGTCCGAGGCGGATTGCATTGGCAGAACCAGAAGGCAAGCTACTAGACACCAGCAATCCACGAACGGCATTCTCATCAAGGGCACAGTTACAAGCCACAAAAGAGTCTGTCAAAAAGTATGTTTCGAATCTATCGTTGGACAATGTAATGATGACAGTCATGAGCAAATCTTTTGAAGGAAAAACAGACAAGACTGAGAAATGGTATGGAACCGAGTACTCGGCAAGGCCTATCCCAATCGAGACGCTGATGAAGTGGCAGAATTGTCCCAGTCCAAAGTCATTCAAAATCGACTACCCCAGACCAAATGTTTTCATACCATCTGAGACCGGGCTCCGGGTCAAGATTCCGCCGAAAGAAAAGCCAGCGTCCAAGGATTTTGAAACTCGAATAACACCTATTCCTCCACCTGGTGTCATTCGGGACGATGGACCTGACGGTCGCTGGACCGTGAACTTTAAGGCTGACGACCGCTTTGGTCAACCGAAAGCCTTTGTGGTCTTCGAGCTTCTCACCTCGGAAGTGTCTGGTACAGCCTACAAATCTACACTGTCCACGTTTTACGACGCATGTGTATTTGATCGCCTAGGAGAGTATGCGTATGATGGTAAGCTGTCTTTTGCCGAGATGTTCTGATTGATCGACTAGCTGGCGGTCTGACAATTGAAATTTGTTGAACCTCTCTTTCTTGTGCAGCCGGTCTCGCTGGTTTGACATACGACGTCAAGGTGCTTCCGCGAGGCGTCAGGCTTACATTTGGTGGATATAACGACAAGCTGCAAAAGTTCGCTGCCTACGTCTCGCAGAAGATTTCGAAAGACGTGAAAAGCATATTGCCAAAGACGGAAGCTGAATTTGATCGGTACAAGGATCAAATCAAACGCGCCCTGTCGGCTTTCGATGTCAAACAACCCTATGCCCATGCATCCTACTATGCCAACCTGAACATCCAGCCTCTTCGTTTCCAATACACCAATCAACAATTACGAGAAGCGACCGAGAAGGCGACTCTTCAGGATCTAGTGTCCTATGCCACGACAGTGTGGTCATCAGGGAAGGGTCAAGCACTGGTTCAGGGGAATTTGAACGAGCAAGAGGCACAAGAACTGGTCAGACAACTCGACAAGACATTGGGATTCAAAAGCATTCCACAAATCGAGGTTCCAGATCAACTCAAACCATTACCACTGCCAACACCTGCCAAGTTTACCGACGGGAAACCTTCTAGTTTGCGGCGAACGCGCCTGGTTGTCGCTGAACCCAACCCCGTGAACGCCAATGCGGCATCCTACGTCATGGTTCAAAACTTAGGCGAAAGCGCAAAGGACCATGTGATTATTGAACTGATCAGTTCCATTGTCGAGCAACCCTTTTACGACGAGCTGCGGACGCGACAACAATTGGGCTATATCGTGTCTTCCGGTGTCCGTGCTTTGGGCAGGACGAGGACTTTTGCCTTTATTGTGCAGTCCAGCGTCGCTCCTGTCGAGAAACTAACGACAGAGACACTAAAGTACATGGATGGAATTCGTGACCGACTGGACAAGCTTCCAAAAGTGGAACTGGGCACCTATGTCAAGGGTCTGATAGATCGTAAGTTGGAGCCCGACAAGACGCTGGCCAGCGAAGTGATGCGCAATTGGGCCGAAATTGCCAGTGATCGATTGGAATTTGATCGCGTTCAAAGAGAGGCTTTGGCGTTGCTGGAAGTGAACAAGTCGGATCTCTTGGAGTTTTGGGATCGCATATACGTAGGACGCGACAGCCGAGTGCTGATTACTCAAATTGTTCCACGGAGTGGTCCTGCATCATCTCCGGAACCTCCCAAGAGCTTTGGATACTCCAGCCTTGCCAACAAAAATCCTCCTGAGGGCCTTGTCTTGGGCGAGGATGACATTGAAGCGTTCCGTCGAGACTTGGAGGCAGGGATGGCATAATCGCCCTGCCCAGAAAGTCGAGTTCTTGGAGTGATTCATTATCTTTTGGAGGCGAAGGTATCGCATCTACTGTCCTGTCTGACATGCTAGCTACTACTAGACAGCCAAGAGTTGAACATAATCACTAGAAACGACACAGCTATTCATAGAAATACTGATTGAAGCAGCTCTGAGTATGCTCGCTATGCTGACGTGTTTTAGTACAATGTTTAACTTCCATCGCTGACAAAAGTAGTCCAGAGGGACACAACATTTGTCAACAGGTACTGGTAACAGGGACGCAAATGTTTGCATGAAAAATGTTGTTTGTTTATACAGTAGCATAGCAAGCTCAAGTCGTCGGTGATCAAGCTGTTTTGGCAGTGCTATCCTCTACCTCCTCTTCTTCTTGGGATGGATCATCGAACTCCCAAGCTTGCCCAAAGGTATCTCCAAAGACAACTTCCTCCAATTCTAGCCTCGGTGAAGGCTTACTTTCTTCATTGTTGCTGTCGTCTTCTTGATACTCGTATCCAGTAGCGACACAAGCGCAGGCAGCATATCGATCCGGAACCCGCAATATTTCTTTTAATTTCCGTGCATCAAATCCTTCCATAATGGCAGTCCCAAGACCATGACTGGTGGCTGCCAACACATAGGATTGTAGCGCCAGTGCCGTGTTCTTGTATGCCCAGGCATGAACGGGCTCCACCAATGGCATGGGTTGCCATTCGGACAAGAAGTCGGTTGCCATGTTTTTGACCAATGTGGCAGCATGTCCTTGTCCCAACAGAAAGGACGATGCGAGCGGCATCTGACCCAAATAATTGGGATGCCTCATTTTCGATGCGTGTTCTAGTTCATGAATTCGTTCAATGCGCTTTCCCGCCTCCAAATCCGACAAGAAGACTGCCAGAGTCGAAGAATCCATGGTCCGGTACTGGTTCCCCAATCCCAACATGGCCTGATCGGAAAGTTGTTTCTTCAACGAAGAAGAATGCACCATGATGATTTGCGTTGGCTGGAGGTTGAATCCAGAGGGTGCTCGCAGGGTGGATTCCAGCACATCTTGCAGAACGTCTCGTGGGATGACACGGCCCGTTTGGAATCGCTTCGCAGTCTTCCGTGCGTGTGCTATGGATCGAAAGACAGATGCAGCCGTCGACATGTTGATTCCTCCTGTCATTGTGTTCAAGTTGGACCATTGAAGAAGTCCTGCTCATCAGAGAGAATGGGGGACCCGAAGGCGAAGGTGAAGCGTTGCTCATCACTGACTGACTGACTTATAACAAGCCAGCATGCAAGCTGTAATATTGATGCCGAGTGCAGTCATTGGAAGGAAATGTCCAGGACCTCATTTCTTTCCAAAGCTGCTTTGCAAATGGCAAGAGCCCCTTCACAATCTTTCTACTAGCTAGCCAGCCACTTGATCATCTAATCTCCATCTATCTATCTCTTGGTTGACAATACCTGATAAGCTATAGTCCTCACCATGACGTCGGTATCAGGCCTTGAGGTTGACATCCATATCATTGAGGGTCGAAACCTCGTTGCGAAAGATCGCAATCTCATGTTCCAGAAAACCAGCAGTGATCCGTTTGTGAAAATCTTTCATGGCGACAAGAGAATCGGCAAGACCAAGGTCATCAAAAAGACACTCAATCCAGAATGGCACGAACAGTTTCATCTCCACATTGATCAGTACGACTTTCTGAATTATGTCGGTAATGGTGCCAACAAGTTCAATCTTCAAAATGCCAAAATCCCACCCATCATGCTGTATCTGTTTGATGAAGACAAGGCTTCGGCCGATGATCCCATGGGAACCGTCGCCATCCCACTGGATCTACTGGTGGAACCGAAGCAACAATGGCTCAAAGTGGAAAACGGAGAGGGAAAAAATTACTGTAGAAATGCAAAGGGTGAAGTCTCGGTTTTGATCAAAATCCAGGCCCAACAAGTGCTGCAGCTTATCAAAGGAAATATCCACCCCATGAAACATGATCAAGTTACGGTGGGGTTGGCATGGGAACCACTCAACCAAACCACCCAAATTGATTTGGACGCCTCTTGCGTGGCCTTGAGTACCACGGGAGAGGTCCTGATGGAGCATACGGTTTACTATGGGAACCCTTTCAACCCCACCGAGTGCATACTTCACACGGGAGACGAAACCACGGGGGACAAAAAGGGTGATGATGAAAGCATCATTCTGAATCTAAAATACATCCCGGATGAGGTCCTCTGCTTGTACCTGGTGCTGAGTGTCGTCACTCCCAACTATACCCTGGCACAAATCCAATCCACCATGGTTCGCTTCTACTACTTTGGTGGGGACAAGGAGGAACACGGCATCTGCCGTATGTCTCCCTCTCCCGAAAACACAAAGGACACGAGTCTCATCTTGGCGAGGCTTTCACGGGATCACGACCGACTGTGGGAGCTCAGTCCAGTCGAAGTGGGCACCAGTCCTGCCCGTGACTTTGGATCACTAATACCTCAGATCAAGTCACTCACCAAAGACTTGTTGCCCAGAATCAAAATTGACCCCGCAGAGCGGGTGGCCATTATGAGAAAGGATGGTGGTGTGATTCGTATTCAGGACTTTTGTCCTGCCCAAGTCTTGCCCGTGACAGTCTCCTTTGGGTTGGCGTGGGACGTTACGGATGGAAAATCCATCGATCTCGACGCATCCGTCATTTGCTTGGATGCCGATCTAAAAGAGGTCGACATTATCTCCTTTCGAAACCTAAAGTCCGCGGATGGAGCCATTCTACATCAGGGTGATCAGACCACTGGAAAGGCTGCTGGCGATGATGAAACAATTGACATTCTACTGGAGAGTGTAAGTTCCAGATGCAAGTACATTGGAATCATTGTCAATTCATACTCGGGTCAGGAGCTGGATGACGTTGCTCGAGCTTCCTGTCGTCTCTATGATACTGAGACTAGGGCGGAAATTGCGCGATATGCACTTACGGATTCCAAAGAGCTGGACAAGCATACGGCTCTCTTGATGGGTTGTCTCTACCGCAGTTCTAACGGGCAATGGCTTTTGGCCATCATCTCCGCTCCGGCGCACGGGAGAATGGCGGAAGACAACGTTGATGAGCTGCAAAAATGGCTACGCAGGAACCCACCACCGAATGCACCCACTGTCGTCGTTCAGGAGGTGCCTGACAATGACCTCGTTAGCATGCCTGACCACGTACCACACGACACAGAAAAAGAAACCGTGTTGGTCCCCAGCACTTATTTGCAGTAGTTGCTGCTGGTGCAGTGTTCCGTACGAGAGGGGCAAGCGCAATGAACAAACTCTACATGTAGGATGCATCGGAAACGTCCGCTACAAACCAGAAGGTCCATGTACAGAGGAGCAATTCAATCAAAAAGGTAGACGGCAACGAACAGAGCAAACTTGCATGTTTTGATGCGTGTGTTTTATTAGTGAAGAGTCCATGTTTTGTTTCATTAATTTAAAGTTTCGAATCCTCCTAATCTGTGCTCTTCTGACAACGATGAAAGAAGCCCGCATCGTCGCTCGCTTTGCTGTAGTTTTGTCGTCTACGACCTTCCGAACAAGAATCCCAAACCTTTCTGTAGGCCTCCCATACCAGTGGAGAATCCTTGCTCGTCACTTTCGTTTTCTTGCGCATTCTTCTTTCCGTACTTTCGCAGCTGCATCTCGGTGAGACCACGGTCGGATTGCACAGGCAGCAGGGCGAATCGACGCGACGACGGCAATGGATTGTTGATCCAAGGCGTGGCGTTAGATGCAGTGGTGCCCAAGTCGGCTGATGGAACGTCGGTTGAGCTTGACGCAGCATCACTTGCTCGTCCCAACAACGAAGTAAGGAACAAATCGATAGCCTCCAGTGCACGTTGATGCTTCTCTGGGATGGTTTTGGCAACGGCCCCTGCCCTTGGGAATGGAGTGAGCTTCCGATCAGTATCACCCAGTAATTCTTCCAGGGAATTTTTGGAGTTTCCTAGGATATCTTCCCTGGCTTGTCGCTGTTCAAAGATTGCCGCAAGGTCGCGCTCCAAACGTTCAAAGTAGCATGTTTTTACGAATGAAAGATCCGCTTTGAGCTGTAGCAAGGACGACACCGGCGGGTTCTTGTACTTCTTCTTGTTGTTGTCATCTGTTTCGCTCTGGCGAAAATCGTGCTCTTTTTGTGCATCCTGGTATGCTGCGACTACAAGGGCCAACGACTGGCGCACCAGCGACCAACGGATGGTGTCCTTCATTGTGGGAATCTTGCCTCCCTCTGGATCAGAGGCATCCACAACAATGCCAAGAGAAGTTGCATACTCCATCGAAGGAACCGGAAGAAGGGAATCGGTGGGGAAGATGGTCCCGTTCAACACGGATGACACATCCAAAATGTACCCGACGACCATCGGGGACACTTTCTCGATTGCTCCATTGGACCCTGGAGAGGCTCCTGTGTTGTACAGGCGATTCCATTCGTCATCTGTCGTAGTAGAGGCAACTTCGTAGAAATTGGTGATTCGGGCAGACAGCTTTTCCACTGAAGGACGCAGGGACGCCTTGGCCCAACCCAAAAAGCAGTTTTCCACAATGTCATCTAGGGCCTGCTGGACAGTACCTAATGCACTGTTGGTGCCAGCGTTGTCATGACGCAATCCTCGTGCCGTCAAGAGCGCCAATTCGCTGATGGTCACATTAGCGGGCGCATCCATGGACGAAGAAAGGGGAACACTCGCATTTGAGCTGTCATAGGACGATGCAGCGGCTAAATCCGACGACGACTGTGGAATTTGCTGCTGTTGAATATCGTATTCCGCTCCCAACAGCAGTGTCTCCTTGACCATCTCCGCTCCGTGAAAGGGTGTTCCCGAAAAGGCACTCTCGACTGCTTCCATGGCTTCGGTAAATGTGATCAATCCATCATCATTGTCATCGGCCAACTCAAAGGCGGACTGCAATTCAAAGCGGTTGATCATACCAGTACTGTTGGCAGCACCACCAGCCGTAGCACTGGATGGTGCTGATTGAGGATCCAGCAGGGTGGGCAGAGACGTCAAGCGGAACTTCAAGAGATAGCACAAACGTCCGACGATGAGCTCCTGAACGGCATCTGCACTGGTCTTTTCCATAGAGGACGAAGATGTCAACAAAACCATTCGACGCAATTCACACACCAACCGCCCCATAATTTCACACGTCTGCACATACAACGACAATCGGAGACGCCTTTCCGATTCTTCCCGTTCTTCTGCATGGACAAGCAATTCATGGGCATCCTTGCGGACATTCCATAGAGCCTTATCCAGATCCGTGGCGATCTTGAGCGTATTGCGGTAGGCTTCATGTGGCAACATGGCTTCCAATGGTGGAGCATTGGCCAAGGAGGTTCGCAAGGTCGAGACGACCTTGGTGTGTACCGATTGAAAGGATGTCGTCAAAATGTTGTGCACCAAACTGGAAAATGTGTTGCTGAAAAGCGCACTCCAGAGCGAAAACTTTGGGCCCTCACCGGCGGGTGGCACCAGAGGCATGCCTCCACCAGCCGCCACAGTGGGTATATCTACCAGACTGACGAGTGCGTCATCCCAGGAGCACAAATTGGTTTCGACATCTTTCAATAACGCCATGCAATCGGCTCCATCGGTCTTGTCGTAGAGTGACTGTCTCATTTTCCCCAGGGCACTGGCGGTAGTCCCGGCAATGCTGACTAGAATGGATTTGACCTTGGTGCGCAAAAGAGGCAAATGTTGCGCCAAGAAATGGGAACACTTGGACTTGGCCATGGCGATATCAAAGAATGGCAGAGATGCCACAATGGCACTGGCGGTGGCCGGCGCTTTGTCGGAGACGGGAAAGTTGCGCAAGACAAATATTTGGTATGGATGCAAGATAATGTCATATTGCAGAATGAGCAGGATTTTGGACAATATTTCTTCGGCATTGTCGGGGGCTGCCGAATCGGCATCCGTACTGGTATCGGTGGTGGATGTGTTCAACTGATCCAATAGAGACTGCAACAATTTGGCCTTGGAATCATAATACAAATCCAACAACTTGGATGCCCGTTGCGCTGGTCCTGCAGCAGTTCGGTCCAACAAGTCGAGAGCGGACAAAGCTGCCGCCGACCACTGCGCTCCGAAAATGGGAGGTTGGCTCTTTCTGTTATTGTTGGACGACACAGCCAATAGCGGTCCGTACGATGCCGCGCCTTGCAACATTTGTTGTGCCAACCGAGCAATTTTATCGGGAATGGTTTGGACGTGGAGAAATGTCATTTTCATTTGGGCGGCCAGAGCAGCATCTTGGAATTTGGGTGTCACAGTAGTAACTGTTGTCGATTTTGCCAATGCAGCTGCCAATGGATAGGCATCGGTCTGATTTGCCACGAGAGTAAAGAAATGAATTAAATTCAAGGCAGCGCCATGCAAATTTTGCTGATCCAAGGCTCGATGGACAATTCTCGGCAACGTCGATACTTGACGCCTCAATTGAGACAAGGCTTCTTGTTCGGATAGGGCTGGGGCTGCTGCTGGCGCCTCTTTGCTCTCTTCTTGTTTCTGTTTGACTGCAATCGACTGGATTTGTTGGGTCATGCTGTCATTTTCGTGCACCAGCGTAGTGAGCAATCCAGGCAATGCATGAACCAATTCGTGCAATTCTTGCGATCGCTCTCGCATTTTCAAGACTTCGTCACTGGATCCAACCAGTTCGCGATAGCGAGACGCCAACACCAACCGCAACTCGGTTCGTTTGGCTTCGGCATCCTGCAATGCTCGATGGTGCAGTTCTCGCATTTCATCAATCGTCATGCTCTGAGAAATGGTCTGGGCATACGATTTGGAGCCACCACTGGTGGTTGCCATGGAGGGTGGAGGTGGAAGTCCACTGCCAGAAGCTAGACGAGCAGCGCGCCCACTAGGGGATGGCAAGCCACCAGAAGTACGCTTTCCAGAAGTTGGGGAAGATAACATGGTGGACGATGGATTGTGGTGGACGATAATAGAGCACCGGGGAATAGTAGTACCAATGACCACCTAAGGGTGTCGGAGCAAAGGACCCTGCTCTGTTCACTTAATGCACTCTTGCCAAGTAGACAAGTCACCACAGCACAATTGTATTGCTTGTCTAATACGATCGTCCAGTACAGCCGTACTAGCTAGCTAGTAGCCAGTAGAATGATGCGAGTTGGTGGCGGCCGAAAAATAACTGGGAGCTCATCGCATCGTCGGATCTTTTTGGTGAACACTGCTAGTAATTAGCCAGTGAAGCCGCTAGCTACCGGTAGCTGGAAAGAGCAGGCTTCAAAGTTTGGTTTGATTTGATTTCGTTGTTGACTTTAGAAAAGGATCTGCTCCTCGTTGAGCGATTGTGCTGGTCTGAAGATGTCAGCACTGTAAGGTACAACGTACAGTCAAGGAGCAGTGAAGTGGCAGTGTGCTCTTGGCTAGGTATTTTTGGTATAAGGTAGCTCTCCAAACATCTTGTGATGATACAACCCAATAAAGGTCCCGATTTTGGACGAAAGTGTGGCATGCGGAGTGCGGAGGGACATGCCTTTCTAGTTTGAAAATGACGCTACCGATGGCTAGCTACTGTAGGAATCCCGCAGAAATTGAAAGACAATGCTGAATCTTTCGTTACAGTAGAGTTAGTTGCTCAGCTAAACTACCAATATGACGTTTTATCAGGACTAGCCACAGCAATCAACCCATTATTCGAGCCAAAGATGCGACTGGTCCGTCATTCAAGTCTATCGGCATTGAAGCTTTCAACTCCACCAAAAGTGTTTACCGGTATGATGGATCTTCATTCTATTCATCGAGTAGCAGTTTGTCAATTTTCTGAATCAATGCTATCTTTTCGTCTTTTCTGCTGACAAAGCGCTGAGGATGTTGTTTGTTGTGATAATTTCGCTTCTTGGAATGAAGAAGGATCTCGGTCGTCTGACCAGAGGCAGCCGACTTGATCTTGGTGGTAATCTCAAAATTACCCGTCACTTCCCAATCTTGTTCACCTTTGACTTTGATGAACCTCGCAAATTCCTGCTCTCGTAACAGCCTCTTGAGATTGGCAAAGTGGATGCGATAGCCTCATCCTCCGCAATAACGAACATGAATGACCAAGGGCTCCTTTCCCTTTCTTGCATCGTCGTATTTCGTAGGCAGAGCACCCATCGTACCGTATTCCTTCCTTCTAGCCTGCTAGCTAGGAAATGACCTCCTCCGCTTCTAAATTTAAAATAGAGACTCGCCTTTGCGCGGTTGTCTCTTCATTGCGAGGCTTGCTGTTCCCTTCATTCAATTAATTGCCTGAGCAGAGATAGATACCGGTAGACGAAGGAGAGAAGGAGAGAAGTTTGGAGCTCAAGCAGCTTTCAAGTCAATTGGTTTGCTTTTCCAAGAAGCCAGAAGCCTGAAGAGCTTCCAATTCGATTTATCTGTCGTTCGAATGTCCAGGAGATGTGGCAAGATTTGTACCATACTGCCGGGTAAGTCTTCCTCGACATGCCACACTCTGGTCGTGGGAGTTGTTTTGGCAACGTGTTTCGCCGCGACCAAGAACACCGTTCCTGGCCATCGTGCATCGTGACACCGGTAGTTCATGCTACAAATTCGACAGGAGCTGTACAACCACACCATACAGTTGCCCAAAAGCGGTACCTCCACATGTACCGGTATCACCCAAGCCAGTCGAAACAGAACCGAGCTTGCCCAACCTCCCGCAAAGACACAATGTACCATGCCCGACCTCGAAATGGCCCCGTTTCGTCGAAGCTGCAACCTCTCAAGGGGTTCACGTAGTTGACGGTTGCCTTGCACCGGTTCCCATACCAAAACTCTGGCCACACCTTCTGGCATTCTTGAGATTGCAAGAGTTCCTTCTTACTTGAGCCAGATCACATCAACACAAGGCCTTGAAAAACAAGCCGTGACGATAAGGGGGGCATTCTGAGGTTGGTTACTCGACATTGACCTGCTCCAACTCTCGTACCGTACGGTACGTGAGAGGGTGCCTTGCTCCACTTGCCTCCACTCTCGCGCCGTTCGCATAGAGATCAGGGTTGACGCAACCTTGATTGTGATGGTGACTTGCAGAGTGATTGATTCAATCTAATCATAGAAAGTTTCAAGAGTCCGAGTGACGCAGTCGAGTTGAGTGGCGGGGCACCAGCAACCTTTGGTGGAGTCGAGTCGAGTTGAGTTGAGTCAAGCCAAAAGATCCAACAACTGAGAAGTTTGCTGGCAAGCAGGATCCGATTTTTCACGTTCGGTACAACTTACATGCTGCCATGCAGTTGATGACGGAACGACGGAACGTGTCTCGAGCTCTAATTCGTACCGGTGGGTAGAGGAACGAAGCAGCTTGAACTGGGCACGGAACGATGATCTTTCTGAGTGACAGTTGAGCATAAAGAGGTCACCAACGCGGCGACAATTAAGGTCACAGTGCAGCCCCAAGCTGTTTTCTAGGTGGCAAAGCAGGAATACCGATTTACGACCAGTTCTCTGGAGTACAATTAATTATGGAGATGTACGGCCCAGGAACCCCCTGATTGATCACCCCGTAGCAACTGTATGTAGTACCGGGCGTTGTGTACTCCTGGCCATACACATTGGCCAATGCGCCGGCAGAGAATAAAGTGAACGCAAAGACTGGGTTAGACGTGCGTACCTGGCTGGCGATGAAGTCGTTGCCTCGAAACAACAGTGGATAGCTTACCGTTGCCCAGCAGTCACGAATGAGACAGGGAATCGACTCCAACTTTCTCAAAATACCCAAGTGATACCCCTCCCGCCAACTGCAACTTGTTGTTAATATGAAGAAAAGAAGAAGAAACCGTGAACGACACATATGCCAGGAAAGCCAACAAGCACTCTGCACCGCTGCTCACCATGGTCGTGCCCCCTTCTATCAGTTGTATTTGTTGTTCTTGTTGTTGGTTTTCGTGGTGCCATTGTTTCGAGACTTTCTAATTCTGGTTGGCGGCAGAAATGAGGAAAAAATTCTGCGAGTCTTCACGGGAAAACTTGGAGCATAGAAGCGCCAAAGCAAGCATGGCACTGAAATTGAAACTCATCGCTTACTTATTTGCAATGTGCTTTGCCAGTCTGGCCACCATGCCATCTCTCTGTTTTGATACTCACATTTTGCGAAAGTTAGGTTGAGACTCCATCACTGAGAACAGTGCTTGGGGGTACCCAAAACGCCCATTCCTGGCGGAGAAACTGAATTCGGAGAGGAGGGAGATGTCATCGCGGAAAGTTTGCATCGCTGAATTCAGTGAGACGACGTTCGCTTATTGTCCAAGCAGATTTCACTCGCAGAATCGCAGTTTCACTCGCAGAATCGCTCCTTGTTGGGCGAAGCTTTCCACCATGTCATCGCAGAATGGATCCCCGCCGTACAATGAACTTGATATACGTACTCAGAGTAACACGCAAAATAGCAACCATACCACTGCCAATCCCGTACCACAACCACGTGTAAGCGTCTTCCCTCCTTATTATGCACCCACTCACTATTATGGTGGCTACAACCAGTTTCCCCCGTATCCTCTTGTGCCACCACCGTATTCGTATGGTCCATACTATTCGCATGCCTGGATTCCCCCAAGACCAATACAAGCTCACCTCACTACAAGTTCAACCAGTGGCAGGAATGAGCCACGACCACCAAGACCACCCAGACCTGTGGCGAACGCAGAGTATATCGAGGATCCCGCGTGCTACCCATGCCCCACGAAGGAAGAAGCCAAAGCACTCCTAATTGACAATTATGGAGGGTTCATTGACGTGCAAGGTGTTAGCAAGCAAAGCATTCGGCCTGATGGAACTCTAGTCACAAGTGATGGAACCAAAGTCTTCAAGTTCTGCTGTCGATTCGGAGACAAGGACGATCCTTGTCGTAGCCGGTGCTTCTGGAGAGCCCAAATACGTGATTTTGGTCACGAATCTTTGTCCAATCTCCGTTTTCGAAACTACGTGAAGAAAGGACGAAACAATCACAGCCATCCAAGCAAGAAACAACCTGACAATGTCAAAGATCAATATGGGATTGCTCCTGCTTTGCTTCCCCTGGTACAGAAGTTCGTTTTGGATGAAACCAACAGGGGGAGATGTGTTCTTCGAGTCACTGCTGAGGAAGTTCTGAAGTCTGTACAATCCACTGTTCGTTCGGATGTTTCCCTCCTTAGCCACCGACATCATGTTGTTCATAGAGAAGCTCGCGATCATCTCACTCGCCAATTGCGAAATTACATTGCGAATCAAAGGGAGGCATTCATTAAGGCTAATCTGTTCGGTCATTCGAATCTACGCAGCAATGACACCCTTATGCGAGTTCTTGCGAACTGGACGCTAGTGCTTCCAGATGCCTATGATACAAGATGTAACTACCGATCACCAGATGAATTTGCGACTGCCATTGGAGCTTCTAGTGCGGCAGCAATGTTCGCCATGGATTTAGGAGGAGGTGATCTCGTGCACCGATACAAAGCAGCAATGCTTAAGGACAACGAGAAAGACAACCATTTCCTCGAGCGAATCGAAGGTGCTTTTATTGTCTTCTCACCCACCGGATTGTTTCAGCTCATGCATCTTGCTCTACGAAGGAAAGGTACAAGGCAAGTTTGTTGTGATGGCACAGGAGGAATGATCAGAGATCAGAGCTGCCTAATCACAGTGGAAAGTGTATCAGTCAAGCTTCGAACAGCATGCGATGAAGTCACATCGTCGTTTCGTCCTATTTTGTATCTTCGTGCTGGTGGTGAAAGATTTCATCCATACTGCATGGTGCTCTATGCAATGAGAGAGCTGTGTTACCAGTGCTTTGGATTGGAATTCAACCTCGACTGGGGCACATCCGATGACGCCGATACCTTTGTATCCTTTCACGTATTCTACAAGCAGCATCCTTCTCTCTGTGACAAACAAGACACGAAAATGCCTCCAAGTGCTACACGGACGCAGTTCACAATCGAAGACATAGACGAATACCCTCCATCCCCGCTGGAAGATTTACCAACAGAGCTTCCACTCACCCAACTCGAAAATGAAGAACACAACGATAACGCCAGTACCGACAGTGACGATAATTGCATTCAGGAAGAGGCTGTTCTTAACTGCTTCTTCCATGTTATGGATGCCTTTGCCAAACGCAAGAGTTACGTGGGAAAAATGAAGAATAAGTCATTTGCTGCTCCGAAGGGAACGGCATATCGTCATGTTGCCAACATCGCATCCACGAAAACCATCGAACAACGTCGGGTTGTGACACAACTGTACCTACAAGACTGGAGGGAGAACCGTGATGAAAAGGCAGCTGCTGACCATCTCGAAAAGGAGTACTGCACTTATCCGAGATACAATTGGAACTATGCATGCACCGGTGAGGTAGGGGTATACCCCACTAACTGCCCGAACGAAAGCTTCAATCGCCATGGAATAAAGAGTGTTGCCACAGACTGCACGAAGAATGCTTCTCTTGCCGCTTTCTTGGTGCACACAGCTCCAAGACTACTCGAAGAGGATGCAAACAGCCGCAGTGACCCATGCACTATAGAGATCCCAAGAACTGCTTCTGTTTTTGCTGTTGGTGTCACCGGTTTCGTTCAAGAAGGGCACGACATTGTGGAACTTGGGAAGAATGAATACGGAAAGCCATCCAGTTGGCTTGCTAATATCTCGTACAAAATCGGCGTTCCTATCGACCAAGCACGCATTCGCAGAGTACGTGCATCAATGGAGGGCGACAAAGAATTCTTCGAACAACTTTGTAAGAGCCAGGGATTCGTTCCCACAGCAGACATGCTAGCTGACATGATGATGCGTGCCACCACTACAGTTTGCCATCTTGAATGGAAGCAAGGAAATATTGTGGGAGATTGCCAAGATTGTGTCAAGCACTTGGGATACAGTTGCCCAGGAGCGATATTTCTTCGAAGCAAACACAATCTCTTGACTTGTAGCCTCGAGATTCTCAGAAAGACGGATGCTAATGCAAGGGGAGATGCTGCAAAGGCTTTCTCCAGAGGAAATTCGAAGAGACTTTATCAGAGTGGTCTTTCTCGAAACACCAAGAGACGTTGCCGATCGAAGATGCTACACTCGTTCGATGGGTATTTGGCAACTCTCAACCACCAGCAACTAACCCGACTTGTTCTCTACCTGGGGTTATTTAAGTTGGACAACAAGTGCCCCGATCCCTTACATGGAAAGACGTCGCAAGGACTACTCGACATGCTACAATCCTTTTATGACAATCCTATGGGGTATCGTGCCATGCTACTGAGTCGACCAAAGGATTCGACACGTTACACAGTGGTCAAGGAACTGGCTGGAAATCTTAAACAAGCAACTACAGCGTTCCCAGGCAAGGAAAATTCGAAGAAGAAGAACGTGTAGAAGTTACTATCGAACTTGCACGTAGTATCTAACTTACTATCATCTCTATAGCTCCTAAATTGTTATGACTCTTTTACACCTCCTCTTACAGCTTTCTAAGCAATAGTCGTACCATACTGCATGCTGAAGAAGTGAAGAGTGCATTGGACCAAATTTCGAAATGGCGTATTGGCGGTCTTGTTGAAGCAAATGGTTGCATAATGCCAATGCACAACACGAAATATTGCCCCATGCCGATACTCCCTCCCGAAATATTCCAATGCCAATACAACTCCTTCTCCGGTTTTCACAGCATTGGTTGATTGTTGTGATTGTTGCGAACATCCTGAGTGCCACAACTTCAGCATCGAGCTAGTGTTGAACCAAGAAAACACTTCTGCGATCTATCTCTGCCCTCTTTCCAACCATGTCTTACCAAACGAACGATGGAGGCTTCATGCCCTATGAACCTGTGCCAAGACTGACTGTGAACCCCTATAAAGATGAAAACAGCGTCGTCCGACACTTGACCCAAGACCAATACCAAGATGAGTTGGCTTTCTGTGCCCAAAAAGTTGACCAGATGGTTCGAATGGGGATGGACCTGCAATCAGAAGCTAATGCCAAGCTTTTTGCCATCAACAAGGAACGCATTCGAACTGGCTACACCCCTCTTCTTGACTTCGTCCATGATTACGACATGACTGGAGTTTGGCCTGTTCGTTTCTTTGTTCTTGCCGATGGAAGCAGAAGCCCTTTGCCCCATGTCAATGGGATGCCCGATCTTGGGATCTTCGAAAGGCTTATCAAGATGAAGCTGATTATGCCGGATCCATTCTCCGAAGCCGTCAAGACGTCACGTTTCTGTGAAATCTGGAAAATGGACGAAGATGAATACATCATGCGATACCAGCGTTGGTTGGGCGATGTGGACTTGTACACTGAGGGTGGCGAAGAAGAGAGCAGCGAGGAAGAAGAAGACGAAGTCAATATGGGCGGGATCAACCTTAGCCGAATCGAGCGTTTTGTGGACAATCTCCCAATTGTACCCGGTACTAGCCATCAAGAAGATGAACAACAGCCAGAGGTTGAAGAAACTGACGCAGACTCCGGTGGATTGACCGAAGAAACCAGTGAAGTATCCAGTGACGGAATCAGCGATGGATCGAATGGTGAACCTCCTTCCCCTTCAAGCAGTTCTGATGCTGAGATTGACACCATCTTACAGCGTCGGGTTGATTGGGGCATTATGTCTCAGGTACAGCCTTCCGACCAAGAAGAAGCCACTTCCAACCAAGAAGAAGCCACTTCGGAGGACGAAACTACCGAAGAACCTACTCAGGAGGAGCAAGATGATGTGGACGACGAGTCCGAGGAAGAAGAGTTCGACGAAAGTCCAAAGAAGAAGCAGAAAACAGGAGAAGACACCGATGAAGAAGACACCGATGAAGAAGACACCGATGAAGCCGACACTGTCCAAGGAGATGACAGCGATGGAGATAACAACGATGGAGATGACAGCGACGATGAGGAAGATGGCGACAATAGTGAAGAAAGCAAGCTGCTTGCATCCGGCATTGAGATTCTTTGCACTGGTAGCTTTTCGTATTGATTCCTACCATGGTGTTGATCGGTGGCATCTGCTTGCAGTTGCCACCATGGTAAACATCTGACATAACAATTTGTTGTGGGTCAGATGGTATCCCATTTGCAGTCATTTGGGCATGCTGGAGTGTTTTGATTGTTGGATGAGTCTCGATTATAGCCATGTATGGTTTACCACGGTCCTCTATTTCAATACTTACCACTCCCATATTCGCGCCAAAAAAGATCAGATCCGGGCTCGCTTACACTAGTATACGTGTATTAATATAAATAAGTCTGCGACTGAAAAGGTTTAGCCAGTAGTAAGTTATAACCTGTAGTACCAGCAATAGTATCGGCTGCTTGATCGTGCTGTCGTGCCAGTGCGTTTGGCAAGACAGGAGGAGGACTCTGCTGAACGATTGAATCCATGGGCGAGGCAGCCCGGTCGGACGAAACGTTGAACTAAGGGGCCCGCCAGTACACAGCAAAGCACTACCGGTAGCACCTTGGGCATTGCAATCTTCACACGGAAGGCTGATTCTGGCATTCTTTTATAATTAGGAATAGACATTGCACTTCTGCGCACAGAACGCCGGTACTTCGCTTCGTTTGCGCTTGGTTCAGTCAAAGGCTCAGTGCAGGCTCTTTGCTTCGAATTTCATAGGCAGTCCACGTACCAGTAATTACTACTGTATTAGTTAGGCTTGTAGCTGGCGAGGTTTCGTTGCATGATCACTGCCCTTCAACTTCCTTCTAACATAGAAGCAAAGAAGCTCCCTAGAACAATACATCGTCAGTGCATCTCAAGTCCCGTCCACTCTCTTGGTGCCCCCTCCCCCCAATTCATCCGCTCCTTCAATGAAATATACCCCATCCTGATGCAAGGAACCGCTGTTTATCAGGGTGACTGTACCTGGGAGCACTGTGCATGTACCGGTACCGGTTCTAGATATTAGCCACTGAAATGCTCTTTGTTCCAAAGTATCCCGATACATGCCTGTACGGCTCTCATCGAGTCCGATCATGATATCGCCCACTAGCTACGGTAGCTGCGAACAGAAGGAGATTAAGCTTCTCTATGCCAGATTACAGCTTGTAGATTGGCTATAGCGGCTCCCGATGGGCTCAATCGAAATACTTTCTTGCTTCATGACACCTCCACTGACGGCCGAGGTAGCAATTGTTCAATAGTAGGAACTGGCGAAAGCCAGAAGTATTGTTTGGCCAATACATGTAGCAGAGAGCCTTGCTTCTGTTATCTCCTTCCCACCATCATCTTCTTCGCATCATGCTATCAACTTTCCGAAAAGGTTAACCAAGGAATCAGGGAAGGCAAGTGCATGTACATGTAACACTGAATTCAGCGGGGCATCTCATACATGCAGCCATTGTCAAATGAGAGAACAACTGCTTTGCCCGTCCCTCCAATGCATAGGTTCAACATATGTTGTAGATGAAACTTCACTGTCTGAATTGAATTGAAACCCTTCGATGCTCACATGGGTAGGTTTTCGTGGAGTTGAAATTCAAAGGGTCCGGAATTGGTTGGATTTCAGTCGTGCAGAGCTTAGTAAAACGAAAATAATATTTACGGAAAATTGGTAAATTCGGAAAGTTGCTTGAGCTCCACTTTGCTTCCTATGGTCTGATTCGAGGATCTTTCACCACAATCTACAGCATCAGCTTGGAGAGAATGAGACGGTTGAAGCTGATGGAGGATACGCTGGTTTGCCTCTCCATGTTCGCACTCCCATTGATTGCTTGAACGAACTCCCAATGATTGCTTGAGCGACGACAAGAGAGCCAAGGGGCAGGTCCGTGCCCGCCATGAGGTCATCAATCGCCGCCTCAAGCAGTGGGGAGTTCTTGGCCAGAAGTTTCGCCATGAGCTGGACTTCCACCTGCTTCTGTGTTGTGGTCATGATGACCCAGTTGGCGATCCTCGATGGTGAGGCTGTGGCGTTTGGTGTTGACTATTAGGTAGTGGTAAATGTTGTGGTGGTGGTGGCTGTTGATGGTTTGTAAAACCATAGACTAGCTAGACCATAGATAGCCCAAAATGACCACGCGATGGGCCACCATTCCTGCTATTATTAGCACACTGTTCTCCTTTTGAGAGGAGTCCACAGGAAAAGATCTCTTGATGGTAAACAAACAATAAATAATGGTAGCCTACGGCTTGGTTGGTATTTACTGTTATTACTTACTGTGTGGAGGGGCCAAAAAGTAGCAGTAATTGCAGTAATGCAGTAATTACTCAGTAACAGTAATATAGGTCAGTAATCCTAGCTAGTGCCAATGGCAGTAAAGAAAGCGTTAATACGTTTAGCAGAATACTGCAGTAATTTCAGGAACTAGCATGAACAATGGCAATGGAGGCCACCACAAACAAGTTTTAGGGCAACATGAGTTGCAATCCAGCTGCTCCAGAGGAGGCAATGAAGCCTCCTAGGCCCTCTTGGGTCTCTTGGAGGGGGGATTCTGCTGAGAAGCAGTGGCTTTCCTCAACGTTTGGATTTCTTCTACCTTGCCAGGCCTGCTGTGCTAGTGTCCGTAACCGGTACCTGTACTGGTAGCATACCACTCCTAGGCCGGTACCATAAGAATGTGTGCTGAAGATCGTGCACCGATAGGCTGCGAGAGTTGATGCTGTCATGCTAGTGTAATCTCACCGCAGATCTTGCACCTCTATCGGTACCGGTGCGTACCATACCGGTACCTGCACGACTATTAGCAGTTTGAATGATACCATAGCTACCAGTAGCTCCAAGAGATGCTACCCTGCTGCTAGTAAACACCAAGCAAATAAGCAGGCTGCAAGAGTTGATGCTGTCACGCGAATGTCATCGGCAGATCTATTACATGTAGTTTGAACGATACCGGTACTGGTAGCTCCAAGACGTGCCACCCTCCTGCTGGAAAAAAGCCAGCAAATAAGCAGGCCACGAGAGTTGATGCTGCAATTGTGGTACATGTACATGTACCGGTACTGTACGGGTACGACGTACTGTACTAGTACATGATACACCAGACAGTACGTGTATACGGTACCGGAGTTCCGGAGTAATCCACCGGAATCCTAGGAATTCCTGCCGGAATCGTGCATGCCCCTTATTCCGGTGACGTTTTACGGTTATCTTTACGGTTGTTCTATAGAGTTCCGGAATCGTACCCTAAGTAGCCAGTAATCCGGAATTCCGGCAGTAAATACCGACCAAGGCCTACGGTATGGTAGAGGGTCCTGTGTGCAGCCTTGTAAGTCTAGCTAGTCCGGAAACCCGGTAGTTTCCAGCTCGCGGTACCCAAATCTAAATTTCAAGCTCCATTTTTCAGGAAACTACACTTTCAGTTTCAATCTGATAATAACTAAAGTCCAGTTTCAAGAATTGTAAAAACCACAATAGTTTAATTTTACATTTAAAAGGCTAATTTCACACCTATGAAACTGTAAAAAAGTTGGAGAGGTGTTGTGGACCCTGCTGCTGTAGGTACTGTACAACTTTTGCTTTTGCATTGGTGCCAAGCAGTACAGGATGACTTCTTTTACCGCTGACAGGTGTCAAATGTGAGCGTTTTGGACGGTTATTTTTTGGTTTTCGGAAATGGGAACCCCGAAGTGGTCATTTCGCGAATCGTGGCTGATTTGCGCGAATCTTTGCGCGATTTGCCACCAACAGCAGAATAGAAAAGAATAACAAAGAACAAAGAAAAAATCAATTTTACCACCATGGCAACAGTGTTGGCCAAATGGTCTCTAGCTTAACCAATACATTGTTCTGGCCTATCCGGTCAGAGGACTAGCTCCCCAACACACTCACAGGCACTCTACTTGCGCGGGATAGGCCATCTCCAACCTTTGTCATGGAGCATCTATAAAAAACCAGGCTTGGATTCCATTTTGTTGTCATTCTGCCATGGATTTCTCCATGGGAAAGGTGTTGAAACCATCACTCCAAGCACTCAATCTGCACTGTAGAGTCATGTAAATGAATGGTTGGCTTTGGATGAAGGCCGTTCGAAAGAGGCGTCATGGTCGCTCCGTGGAAGAAAGAAGTCATCGACCGAATCGATCCATCGGGCGATCGATCGACGGCTGCGGCTACCAACCAAACAAGAGGAGCCCGTCATGTTGGTGAGTAGTAGCCTTTGTTAAGAGGAGTAGCCGCTGTAAAGAGGAGGAAGCATCATCTTGATAGAGTCAATAGAGTAAAGGTATCGAAATAATGAAAAAGAAGAGGTGTAGGAGTGGCTTGGATCGATCGAACGATCCGAGAGATGTCAGTTGAGATTAAGGTTAAGGCTATATGTCCTTTAAGTCTTTTCGAGCAACGTTCGTGGAAGTTCTGGTTCGCATTCGAGTGTCTTACCGGGAGTGGGCTTGCGTTTGTCTCGATAGTTTAGATTCAGCCTGTACAGCCAGGGCTCTGTGCTGATGTGCTGGATGCGTTTGTTCTCGGATGAAAAGATATTTAGAAATTTTTGAATTTTGTTCTCGGATTGGTCATTAAATAAATTTTGTTCTCGGATTGGTCTCGCAATGGTTATATGTACCTTTCGAGTTGGAGCATCCTTCTTAAATCTGCTAAATATGTCGTCTATTCGCTGTATTTTCGCTGTACTCGTGTTTTGTGTCGTCCACGTACTGTAATACTCATTATTTATTACGAGGTTGGTTGACAACGACAGGTTGTACCAGCTGAGAGCCTGTATGGTGGCGGTACTACAGTGCTTGCTTCAACAGAACATAACTCTTTCGGATCTTTGGATCTCTTTGGAGCGAAGGTTGAGAGCTTGGGGATACGAGAACAAAATATTATGTCCCCACGATACTCAATGCACCCCGGGCAACCTGTGTGAAGTGGACCAAACTAACTAAGAGGCCAAACCAAGAGCTAAACCAAGTAAAGCTGCCATCCCATCAAACTGAGCAACTGAGCTCACAAAGGCGAAGGCAAAACACAAGCACAAGCAAAAGCAAAAACACAAGCACAAGCAAAAGCAAAAGCAAATCAACACAAAATCTGCACAATGGTTGACCGAGGAATGTTTGTACCCGCCGGACAATGGCCTCAAAATGAAAGTATCGCAATGTCAGAATCCGAGGATCAGCTTCTACCACGCAGTTTTCACCCTGACAGCTGGACCGTCGTTTGCGGCAGAGGCAGAGAGTGCTACGATCATAGTGAGTTCCTCTGCATGTAGCTATGGTGGTCAAGGGTACACCGTCTGAGAACAATGGCGATCTGATGCATCTGTCTTCGCTTTTCCTCCTCTCTTTGCTTTGGTTGCAGCTGGAAATCGACGCCTTCGTGTCCTTGTTGACGCCTATGTTGACAGGTATGTTGCAGCCATCAACAAAATGCAGAAGAGCTTGATCGTGAGCTCCATCGTTGATTCGGTTCACGAAGCCTCCAGTTCTGAAGGCTTTGTGAAGCGAGACCCTGCAACTAATTATTGGGTGACGGTATCGGAAGATACAGCAAGAGAAAAGGTAAGAACCAGGGTCGTTGGGCAAAGATGCAGTTAGCAGTACACGACCAGTCAACGACGCACGCACCAACACTGTTAGTAGCACCACTGTCCAACATGCTCTAAACTCAACTTGCATCCTCTCTGTCGGAAATCGAAACAGGTTGGACAGCTTCTTAGGGATGCAATAGCAAAGAAGTACCCCAAGAGGGCCAAGGCAAAGAAGGAGATGAGAAGGGCGAAGGCAGAAACAGGGTCTCAGGAACACTTGCCGAAGTTGCTCCTGCGGAGTGCGTCCGCACCTCTTGTACACGTGAGGGAAGCACTAGGAACTGGAACGGGAGCTGCTGCTCAGAAACATCAGGAAAGTGAGGTGTGCCCGGCACCTCGATTGACTTACATGCGCAGTTGGCCTGGGAATGTAAGCAACACTCGTACTTTCCACGACATTTTTGATGATGCAAAGTTTTCAATTGACGAAACTACTATCATGGATGCACCCACCCAAGAAGGTGCCAACCAGCATGTCAGAAGCAAAACTCGTACATTCCACGACATTGTGGATGATGCAAAGTGTTCAATTGACGACACTACATGTACTGGTACTATCACGGATGCATCCGCCCAAGAAGGCGCCATCCAGCCATGCCACACTGGCAAATGAATCAATACCTTCATGGCAAACATTGCTTGAAGGATACAGTATTCCAACACCTGACCACTTCGAAAGAGCTTCCATTGAGTACCATATAACAAAACTTAGGACACACATCCCTCAGTGCTATCTTGGCCTTGCTACTCTTGGCCTTGCCACTGGCACTCTTGTAGAATTGCACCAACACAACCTTACACAACCTTTGCCGCAGATTATTTAGATTCGGAACTGATTCGGCCTACTCGAGTACTCCAGTGCCTCATTGCTCAGCATCAGAGTACCGACCAGTTGGTATCAAGTGAGAGTTGAGTGCGTGGCAACCAGAGGTCTTTTGGAAGCTCCACCTTCACAGTGCAATGCCCATAAGCTGTTCTATGTTGCACTGTGAGGGAAAGCAAGTCAATGGACTTGTTGTTGGTGTTGCGTACTCGGAGTGCCGTACCGTTCAGAGGGGCTACAGAGTACAGCTTATTCTACTAATAGCTGCTAGAAGAAGGTACTAGTAGGTTGGGTTCTTTGAGGCTTTGGGGCGCCCCCTTTTCATTCTCTTTAGCTGTCTTATTCAACCATAGTCGACTGACCTTATTAAATCATCACTTGTTGTAAACTCATACATCCTTGAACATTCACACTTCTCCTGCCCTTTTATTTCACCCGACTGGGGCGTGTGCGGGAGTTGTTGGTTGTTGGCTCAACAGCGCAACAGTCCACCAAACCCAATTCAATGCCCGACGACCGACGACACGCCAATGGAGTACCACCGGCACGGCTCATCAATGGGACCAACTCGAGTGGCTTCTCGTAAGGGAGATCGAAATCATCAGCCCAGTACTTGGTTGCAAGTAAGATTCTGGTCGTTTCAGCCGCTGCAGCCTGCTGACGAAGAGCCGTGCAGACAAGTCACGTCAACATTGGTGTGGCTGTGCATTTCCTCTTCAGCAATGCTCGTCTTCTTGTCTCGGTATTGTGCGTCCTGATGATACAGGTGTAGCAAAACGTAAGTTCTTCTCTTCAGAGGGCACCTCTAAAGTACCGGTACGGTAGGATACCGGTACGACCTTCTTTCTGTTCTCCAATGAAATGCGTACCGCTTCAAATGATTGCTACGACTGTAGTATCCGATGCCTGTTTGGTTTGAATCACCAAAGGGCAAAGCACCAGCAAAGTGCTAAGACTTGCTTTCCTGGAGGATGAATCGTTCGATAGATTACTTTCTGACCAGAAGTTGATTGAATGCACCACTCCTAAGAGATGTTGCTCAAACACAACAATTCAATTTATTGTGCTCCTTGCTCCCAACAAGTTGCTTTATCAATAGTTGCGTGAATCGAGCACTAACGAATGGAGCTGGACCAGGCAGCCTTTCGTCAGAGTTAGTTTCGTCCTCCCCCCAAGTGATGAATGGCTTCTGTGCAGGGATTTGGTTAATACCGGTGTCGTCAACCACCCTGATGTCAACACCGATGTTGTTGCTGCAGCCAAGAGGCCAACATAGGCTGAGCAGTGCTGACCTGCGCTGAGCTTTGTTTGACCTCGTGCCTGCACAGACCTCAGTGAGCCCTTCAGTAGATGCTGTAGCACCTTCAAAACACAAGACTGCAGCACTTGGTAGGATGATGGAGCTACAACGCACAGCAGAACTTGAGGCTTGTGAACTCCGGAGTAACAGCTCTAGCTGTTGTGTACCTGAAAATCCTCTTTCACACGAATGTTCTTAACTAGTGCGTACACGTCGCTGCCTGCCATTGTTTAAGGGATAGGCAAATCTTTATGTAAGACTCATATGTCTAATTAGTCATTGTTTTCTCTCACTTGTAAATCAATGGGGCTTTCAGGAAAAGCACTGTACAATGTACGTACCGTACAGTTTTCAGCCAGCAATTTCGCAAGATAGGAGGCGGAGGGAGGCCACCAAGCCACAATAGCGAATCCAGTCACTTAAGGAGATTGCCCTCGATTTACTTATGCAACTCAAAGCAGACAAGGCCGCACAGAGCGCAGATCACAGTCGCAGTTTGTCCTCACAATTTGGATTGCTCACAACTCAAAAGCAAATCAAGCTCACAACTCCAAACACTAAACTCCCCCACCCCACCGTCAAAGTACAACCTAACAACTCAACAATGGTCGACCGAGGAAACTTCAAACAACAGCAAATCTGCTTCCTGGACGAAAGCATTGTCATCCAAGCTAAAATGGACAGCAAGAACCTTCCTCCCTCCTTCAAGCCCGACAACTGGTCCGTCATTTGCGGGCGAGGCAAGGAATGCTACGGTCACGGTAGGTTTGGATCATACGCACTGAACTGTTTGAAAACTAATGCTGATCAAAAGTCCTCACCTATCTTCTTTTCTCTCCTGACAGTCGGCAACAAAAGGCTCAAGGTTCTGGTCAATGCAAGCCTTGAGCGGTATTCAGCCACAAAGTCCAAAATGGAGAAGACCCTGATCGTAACTTCTATTGTAGACTCAGTCCGAGAAGCATCACCATCAGGTGGCTTCGTAAAACAGGACCCCAAAACGAAGAGCTGGTATGAAGTCGGGGATGCTGTTGCGCGCGAAAAAGGTTAGTTCGACGGTGCTCGATCTCGCACTGCTTGTGTCTCCTGCCTCGAATGATTTCTTACGATATCTTCCTCCTCGCTTCGCCAGTGGGTCAACTTCTCCGAGAAGCCTTATCCAAGAGACGAGCAAAAGTTCAGCCCAAGAAATCCACTTTCAAAGAAGCCAAAGCAGCCTCTCTGGCACAAGTGGAACCCGCAAAGATGCAGACTCCCTCCGTCTCCGAATTACTGCATAATTTGCCCCAGGACCTTCGGTTTGTTTCACTTCCACACGGTGGTGATGTCGTCCACAACCGCCGTCGCCAGTCCATCAGAGCGTTCGGCTTTGGCACAATGGACCTCAGCAACGACGTCGTCACCAAGAACGTGTTTGAGCAAAAGGCCAGCGAGGACGAGGCAGAAGTTGGGGGCGCAGCCGATCCTAGACAACACGGTTACTTTGAGCTCTAATTTCATCGACGATTGATACAGCGTTTGAATACCTCCGTGAACAAACTTCTTCAAACGTCAAGGGATTTGACTATACCGCACTGAGACGAGCCTACAGTGCCAAAACCGATACGATTCTAATGAAACTCCGTGCATAAACCTCCAATCAACAAGTACAGATAGATATATACATGTAGAGGCTACAATCTGTCAACGAATCACTACAGTAGAGAGGCCAGCGAGCTGCTGAAGTTGATCATTGCGGGATCATGGACATTTAGCCGCCAGCTGCGGCACGGTGTGTGTTACTCTGAGTAGGGTTCTGTTTACTTGTGGTACTCGTAATTTCCCCACGAAACTGACTGGGGTCGCGTAGATTTAACGTGTTTCTACGGATTTCTGTCAATACCTTCGTTGAAGTTGGGCTAGGTTTACAAATAATAGCCGTCTACCGGTAGCTAGCTATGTAGCACCAGCTTGCTAGCGGTAGCCGTTCTCGCAGAGGTTCCAAAGGCTCAGCAACTCCCGCCGAGCCGAGGACGATCAAGCCAATACATGTAATAATAAGACGCATAGTAAAGCCTACAGGCACGATGCTAACTAATGAGGCTGGTACAAAGTACAGGGTGGAAGCATGCAAGGGCGATCGTGCTTTTCTAGCTAGAGGATAGTGGAATGTTTTAACATAGTTAACTTCCTGAGAAGCACGAAGTAAGCTATCTAACACACTCGAAATTAGAATGTCTGACGGTTGATTGTTGTTTCTCTGCCTGTGGTCTCTTGGGCTGAAGAACATAAAACCACGAGCTAGATTCGCCAAGCAGAACCCAGAAAACAGTTGGAACTCAAACATTCTTCAACAAAACCGACTACTATGTCCAGCTGGTGGCAGATGTGACGATATTGAATTGTGAGCGTCCGACTTCCTTCTCGCGTCTCGGTGCGTGTTTGCCCCCCAATTTGGAAGTAATCTTCTTGGAAATTGGCTCACCTCCAAGAAACTTTTTGCATCCCTTTTGGAAGCTTTTAAAAGCCACGATTTCTTCCGTGTGAAGAGCGACCTTTTTGTTCAGGCAATAATAGTTGTAAAGCAGAAAAAATATCCCAGCATGCCCCGGTACAGGTACAAGTACCAGCACGTTCTGGATATTCGTAACCGGTGGCAGCTTAGCAATTGTCCAGTTCAGTCCAACCTCAATTATGCATGATGATTGAAGATTCAACGCCAAAATGACTGCTGCAGTTATAGCTGGCAACCTTCAGTTACATCATGTAGATTGTAGGTCGGCTGTAAAAGACCAACCAATAGTGCCAACGAGCTTTGCAGTACAACTCTGCGGCAGCGAAGGGGGCTTCTCTTGTCGGTCGTTTATTCCTTTTCGATGAGTACAGCTTCACCACTCTAGTCTAGCAGCTTCGCTACTACCAGTAGCAGCTCCACTCTGGTAGCTTCACGGAAGTATCTGCCCCAATCTCAATATCCCCCAAGAATTTGTTGCAGCTCTTGCATGTACGACTGCACCGCACCGCACTAGCTAGCTAGAGAGGTTCCTTGTAGCTTTGCGCTTTCCCAGCTGACTACATGCACATGATGTAGCTGTATGGTGAGCCTTCTTGTACGGTAGCCGCAAAGAGCAGAGGAAGATAACTTGTCGTTGAGGCCGTTCCAGCCTGGTCCCCTCATCTTTTGGGTAATGCAATGTTCGGTGCCAATAGCTGTGCTCATAGCTGTGCCAATGTCATAGTCAACTCTAATCATAATCCTCATCAACTCGAGCACAGGGCAAAGGTAGCTTTCTGTCCATCTCTGAGCAATACTCTGAGTAGTTGTTGCTAAATTGGTTTGGTCACAAGAACTTTACCGGTAAAGATATGATGCTGGTATGAACGAAAAAGATATCCCAAGCAGCTTTGGTATTGAGGTAGATGTGGTAAAAATAGATTTTTCTTCAGCAACTGAGAGTTAAAAAGTAGCCTTAAACCTTCAATTACCTGAACTGCCGATTTCAAGTCGTCTTCCGACTGCTGGGTTGTGTGTGGTGTATACCGGTGAAATTATTTGGCAACTGTTGGGCATGGTAATGATAGATTAGTTTTTAGACTGTACCATTGTGTTGTTTGTGTACTGTAGCTTCCGCCACATGTACGGTACATGTGCCACACACCACACACCACACACAGCAGCGGTTCCACCATTAATTTTTCGTTTATACCAGTGTGCGCTTGTACCGGTTCTGTTACTCTTTTTAGGACCGGCAGTTGAACGGGGTATTAAGTAATCTCGGAAATCGTCGAACACAGCGTTCCTAACAACATCGTTTTTGATATGGCAGCGATCAAGAGAGCATACACACCAACAACTTGCGTGCTGCATTGACGCCTGCTTGGAGCAGTAGTCTAGATAGATATTTTACTACATTAATCTGCGAGCCTCCACACTTTCACCTCCCGTCAAACAAAAGCTCGCTACTAGCAACTGGTACCAGCTAGCTAGTTCGACGATGCCCCGGCTTATTAGTCTCTTGGTATGGCGCGAGGGGGTGGGAAACAGCAATGGTGGTGCTTTCGACTTTGCCGGCGGCAAAAATCCACGAATTTTCTGACAACATTCTTGCTTGCTACGCTCTAACATGATGTCCAGTTTTCGTTTCAAACCAAAAAGCCACAGATCAACCAGCAAAGCGTCACTTTTCTGTTGAGATTACACCCTTCCGATCAGTCAGCACGCAACATGGCGAGAGGGGTATTTGGGATATCGGCCGCATACCAGGATAAGCCAAGGCAAACCAAGTGAAGACATCGTTGCAGCGAGGAAAGCCAACAATCAACGAGCTGAACGAGTAACCAACTGCAATCGACGAGCTGAATCAAGGAAACATACAAGCTTGCCCCATTCGTCTTGTTGGAGGAGCAGATGGTGGTGGTAATGGTGCCACAGTTGGGACTTGTTGTTGAGTGTGGGTACACTGGGCGGCAGCTTGGCGACAGGATAGATCCCACAGGCGCAGCAGAACCAGGTTCGAGGAAGAACGATGCTGAAGAGGGTGGCGGATGCAGGAGCTGGGTTTGGGTGGCCTGGCAGATCTACAATATCGCACCGAACGAGTAACCAACTACAACAATGAGTGCGGTTGTGGGGAGAGGAGAAGGTAAGAGGGAAAGAAGAAAGTAAGAGGAGAAGCGCACGGCTAAGGAGGTGGTTAAGTGTAAACTCGAATGTGGTTGAATGTGCGTCGTTATTATTATGAAAGCATGGTATTTACAAGCCCAACCAGCATCTTTGGTGTAACTCGAGAGATAATAATTGAAAAGGGACCGGAGGAAAGACGGGAGAACGACGAGAGGGAGGTTGGGAAAACGTACAGGACAGACAACACAAACCCAGCAAGGCAACATGTCATCCCCTGCTGTCTAGTTGTCTTGTTCCATCCAAGGCCAGACCATGGGAGGAAGGTCTTCATAGTTGTTTGGCTGCATCTGGTGGAAGTTGTTGACCTGGATGTTGTTGACTACCTGGGGAGCGCGTGCTACATTTTGCGCAGCGGCAAAGCTACTATTGGCGCTGGAGTGATGGGTATTGTGACTGCCATGGGATACTTGCTCACGCATTGCCGTAGGTTCCAGATCAGCAGCGTTAAACAAGCTTGCCGTTCGCAACCGTTCTAGCTGCAAGTAGTACTGACTATCGTTTTGGTGTGGAATAACACCTTGCGCTTCGAGGAATCGTCCAACACCAGTAGGCAAAGGTCCTGTTGGTAGGGGAGTTGGCTGCATAGCTGGCTGGTGGCGCGTCATAGGCGGCATTGCAGCAGGAGCTGACATGGATCGATCGCCGAGCGAAGCGGAAACAGACTCTTGCACCTTTGCAGCTGCGGATCCGATGGATGCGGTGCTCGAGCTGGATCGCTTGGTTTTCTCGCGGCGCTTGCGCTTCTTAGCTTCTAGTTTCTGAGGGCACTTGCGGATGAGTGCCTCGCGGAGCATCTGGCCAATCTTCTCACGGCTGGCCTCGTCTCCTATCTCAAACCAACGACCTTTCTTAGTGTCCTGATATGGATGAAAGGAAAAGGCAGCAGAGCAGCGTAAGGGGCGTGTTGCATGTAACAATTAAACGCAACAAGACAGGGCTGATTCGAGCTTACCTTACGAACGAAAGCACCGCCATTGTTGCAGGCTTCTCTCACGGTGTCGATAATTGACGTAACGATAAGGGTCTTTTGAAACTTATTCTTAGTTTCCTGGTACTTGTCCAGGTTCTCTTCTACCATTACGCGCAGGCGTCTGTTTCCAGCTGAAAGTTTAACGAAATCAAGGATTTGTGTGAGCTACCGCATATCATTGGCTCCATCCAGCAAAGGGGATACTCCATGTAGCAATAGCGCTCTTCCTGACTTACCATGGTCATAGCAGTCTCGTCCACGTCCACAGATGACGGACCATTCTGTTGGTTCAAATCCATGTGGCATGAAACGCTGGCGGACAGGGGCGTTGATTGTAATTCCTTCTTCCTCCTGGAAGCGGATGTTGACTTGCTGGTCCAAATGTCCTCGATCAACCATTGTGAAAAGCTGGTGGTGTGGAATAGGAGATTTAGTAAGATTCTAGAGGTAAATAGCTGCAATGAATCGTTGGAGCTTGTACTGGGCTGCAAGCGTGATGAATACTACTGGACTGGGGGAGTTGAAAGTGAAGGATGTCGATTGATGGATCAGGTGCTTCGATTTTGTGCGCTGGAAAAGTTGTGACCTTTGATCAATAGGTTTTCGGAGGTTGCTGGTGATGCTGACAAGGTTGCTTATTCTAAGGTAGAAACTACAGTTTGTAATGACTTTGTTGAGATCCACAGCATCCAGAGAGCTCCAGTGTTGAGGAGATATGCATAAGAGTATCAGAGTTGCTTGGTGTTTGTTTTGTCTCCACCACTCTGAGTGCAACTCATCGATCAATCTATGGCCTCGATAATGTGGCCGTGTGCGGGCTCTGAGCGTCCGATGGATAAGAAGATAGTGGCGGCATGGCAACGAAATCGTGTCCAAGTAGGATAGGTACGACTGTGCAAAAACAGTACTAGTGGTACGGAATGGTTCATTTTTAAGTGCTTAACATTCGATTATTCAAGTCAAATAAGATTTAAAGGACACAATCTCACAAAAGTATTCTAATCCATCTGGGTCTGAACTTTGCAAACAGCTTGTCGAAAAATAGGACGACGGACAAGCGGTGAAGAGAGTTTATCAGGATACCTGCCTGTACAATGGTTTGGGTTTGGGTAGGTTTGTACACGTGTAGCTCGTTACTCGTCGGGTTGGCTACAAGCATAATTTTTGATGTTGGGCTGATTTGGAATTTGGTCTGGCCATCGAATCAACAAAGTCGGAATACCCCTTTGGCAAGATAGAATCTGAGCTGAAACAGCAGCTTTTTTTATTAAGCAGTTCAAGTGCCCCATACCTTGTCAAGAGGAAAAACAAAAACTAGTGTAGCGATTAAAGTACATCGATCTTGCGATACTGAAGGATAGATTTAACAGCGTCTGATCGGATATTTTTCGCCGTTCGTAGCTTTGGAAGGTCTTTATGTGAAGCTTGCAAGGTAAACTGGATATATTTAACAATCCGTACAGGGTACTGGAAAGTCTCGAAAGCAAGGTGAAAAGCACCTGAAGGAGCATCGGAACACTTCAAATACAGCTCAATTCCAGTATGTCTTCATTCCCCTCACGATAGCTTGATACAGCTGAAATCGCTCGTGTGAAATTTGAGGCTGGCTCAAAATTTGGGGCTTTTGGGGGGGTACCTCAGGCGAATCTTTTGTTGATGCTAGATCTGGCTACGGTGTAGTACCGGGTAGGGCATGGGGCGAGCAAATACAACAAGCTTGGCAGCTCTTGGCAGCTCTTGGCATAGGTTACAAAAAACAATTGTAAAAGGAATGAAAAAGAGAGCATTATGCTGTGCTAGAAGGAATTATATAAGTTAGATCAACAGTACCAAGTTCTGAGTCTCTCAACCATTGGAACAGTATCAAGTAGATGAGCTGTTGTTGTCCGGCAGAGATCATGGCATGCCGCTCCATTGCTTGATATCCCCCAATTATCTCCCCCTTTTATTTGTGACTGTAACATTCCAAGCATTCTTGAGGAGCGAGTAGCATTCTCTGGACATCTTGGCATCTGACTTTCTCTTTAGCCCTGCTTCTCCGTTTCTCCACTCCACGCTTTTCTGCGATGCTGCGATACATGTACATGCAGACAGTCAGTGGTGCCGGTGTGTCGGTACCGTAAAAGCCGATGCCGTGGAAGCGCTGCTGCAAGAGACACTGTCCAAAGCAAGAAAATTCGTACGATACCCGAAGGTTTACGATTCCTTGTGCCCTTTTGAACTCCATTCGCTCCTTTTGACACGTTTCCTCTCAACTTGTCTTCTGGTCGATGTCCTCGTAGCAAATCTACGCTCATGTAGACTTGGAAACTCTCGTGCACGAAGCATCCAAAAAAGGCTTCAACTGTGTCTGAAAAGGGGGGTTTACCTCCTAAGCAAGTTGGGTCGTTTGTTTGAAATTCAGAGCTGTGCAGTCTTGAAGTCCTTTAAGTATTGGTTCGAACGATCAATAATTTGTTAAGCTCGTACATCGAGATAAGAAGAGCGTACAAGATACTAAATCATATAAACGCATTTTTGGGAATCCCATCAAACACTTAGGCCGGTAATCCCATCAAACGAAATAGCCGATGCTACCAAATCAAATGCTTCCCTTTGATAGAAGATATTCATTCGGTATCATTAAAATTTGTTCTACTAGCTAGTGCCTCGCAGTGGGGTGCGGATAAATAGCAGATCCGCAGTTTTATCCGCGGATCGAGGATAATAGGCAGCACTTGGCTGACCAGCCTCCGATGGTGTTTTCAAGCTCGACCATGGCCACTTTAGTGGTCTCCAGCGGCTCTGATGTCAACAATAGTCACCTTAGACAGTGTGGCAATAATCTGAATCGGTTATAGTAGTTGATTGTTACAGTTTTCATGTGAAACTTCTTGTTGTTTGTTGTTTCCGTGCGGACGACTCCATGGGGATAACAGCTCTGGATAATAGCTGACAGCTCTGGATAATAGCCGGCAATACACTCTTCCACACTCCCAAGCTCACTAGAGTCCTTTGGCTACTAGCTCTCGATGGATCTGGACGCATGACTTCTTGTTGTTGACCAACCCACGACGAGGAATCATTGGCCGCACCTTGTTGCAGATAGGAACGCCGTAATAGATCTCTCCAGCGTATGGCTTCTCCTTCTTTTGACACCCACTGTTGCTGCATTCATTTCGCGTGTCAGTGCCACAAACAACACACTTTCTCTTGTTGCCTTGTCCAGTCAAGTCCTTCATTCGGTTTGGAACAGCATCATGGTGTTGGGGGGTATCTGTTGGTGTAAAAGCAAAGAGGCTGTTGCTCATCGACATTGGGGATGGATTTTCACTGCCACAAAGGTTGATGGTCATGTTGTGAAGTCCTCCGGTAACACCTGCAATCGCACCACCAAACATGACAGGTGGAAATCCGGACGTCCGAGACATGACCTCCGGATCATTGGAGTGCAACCCATCAGCAACAATATCTTCACGAGCGGACGCAATGAGCCCGCTGTTGAAGGTATTGTAATAGCAATCATATGCCAGTCTGTCTGCAAACTCTTCAACTGCAGAAGAAGAGGAGGGCGTGTCAGTCAGCAAGGAGGAAAAAGACACTCAGAAAGGAGGAAAAAGACGCTCACCGGTCATTTTTCGGTACTCCGGAAGACGCCATCGAAGGGCTTTCCAGCAGTCGATGATGGTGATGCCAACAATGGTTTGGACGTTTCGAATCCATGGGTTAGGAGTGCGCCAATACTTTTCCAGCCCAAGAAGGTCTTGCCTTGCTTGGTTGTGTACATCGATGATGTTGCTGACTGCAAAGTAAGAGGAAATGGCCTGCGGACGTGACACCAGTCTCTCTTTCGTGTTGCCAAAAGGATCTGGAAATCTTGCTCTGTAAGCTTTCCCTTCGATGGTTGACCCTGCATCCTTCGTCATGATGAAGCAGAGTATCTTCTTTGCGTTGTACCTATGTCCGACAGCAACAAGCTTGACATTTGTTTGAGGTGTGGTGCACTCGAGGACAATGTGAGATCCACTCGGCCATGTCTTCATCTTTTCTTCGATCTGTTTCTTCGGAAACCAAGAATGGGCCGTTTTAACAGCGGCAACCAGCTCATGGCCACCAGAGTTGCCCGTGGCGGACCGGTCGATTCGATAGCCATCCAAGAAAAAATGGTTGTAATAAGGAGAGTCGTCCTCCGGTCGATCAGCCTTTCGAAGCAGCTTGATTGCCTCCGCAGTCCTTGCGCTACCAAACCACGAGTCCGCATAGATGACATGGCGAGCTTCCTTCTCCTTGGCACTCTGCCTCTCCTTATTTGACAAACCAGTATGTGTGCCTTGAACAACAAGCCGAAGAGTACATGCTCCCTGCCCTCCAAGCTCCGGTTGGAACGGCAATTGTCTCATTGGCTTGGCTCCTTTCTGTATTTCCAGAAAGGTAATGATCCCGGTAGAAGGATCCTCGATGCACTTGTACTCTGTCCCAAGAGGCTTTGGCTTCCGAAAGATGAAAGATAAGAATGGGAGAAGCGATGTCTTGGTTGATCTTGGCCGAAATGGGCTCATCAGTTCATCCAAGACGCGACTGAAGTCACCACAGATCCATTCCTTTCGGTTGGCATTGAAATCGGCAACCAATTGAGAGATTGGATGCCAAGGATCTTCATTGTTGGTACCATCGTCGAACGCTCGATGCAGCCGCTCTTTAATGAACTTGAATCGGTTCCACGATATCATTTTCTTTCCCGCCACTTTGATTGCCTCATTGTATCGGCGTCGGTCTGTGCTCATGTCGACTCCTGGTGAAAGTCTACCCGGGCCTGTCTCCTCCGCGAAAAGCTTGATGCCACCCTTCTTGCACGGACAAGCCACAATGACAATACCCCATGTAATCCACCACTCTTGCTCTGTGACAAGGGTTGCTTTGTGCTTGGCGTTGGCCTTCGAATTGTGTTCCTCGATGGCTCGGTTCAAGTTGCGATGGTGTTTTCTCCAATCGCCAGGCCACAAGTGAATGAGAAGAGACAAGAATGGATATTGGTAAGTCGCCTTTGTTGACTCTTCCTCGGCATTTTCGAAAGCTTTGGAGAATTTGAAACCCGACACTCCGATGCTTGAGTGTTAGCTAGTAATACTGCAGCTTATTGGGGAGTAATTTGGTTTTGGATTAAGCTGAAAAGCAAAAGTGAGGATTTTCTGGTGGTGCATAGCAATTCTTGTGATTGAATTGGATATAAGGACGGACCCTCCGTTAGCCGTTTTAGACCTAAAACTCCCTTGGTTCCTTGCATGATGAATTTACATGCGAAACCGGACTAGATGTGATTAATACACGAGTCAATAGTAAAGAGGTGTCAGGTATGTTTCCTCCAACACACTCCTGCACGTGCCCAAGTGGCTACCGTGGAACGAATAAATAAATTAGGCAATCAAACAAGGGGGGATGCCCCATGATGAAAGCCCTGTGCTCGTGGAAGAGCTTCCCCTGAAGGGGCTTCGTGAAAAAATCTCCACGCATCTCCAAGGTTGGGCAATACACAACTCTAAGGTTGCCTTTTCCAATTTGGTTATGAATAAAAAAGAAACGAATGTTGATAGCCGAGTTCTTTTGCCCGAACTGCCTTTGCCATTCTCTGCAAGAATGAGTCGTGCTTTTGTTGTCCTCATGAGGATGTTGTCCTTGACAACGATCCCCTGCTCTTCAAGGAACAACTTTGCCCACAACATGGGCGACATAACATCGTCAGCTCCAATCAATTCCGCTTCGGTTGCTGCTTTTGATTGAGCTTCTTTTTCGCGGATACAGAAAGCACCGC